AAGTTTGGGTTTTGGGGTTCAGGCACCCGGCCCCCTCCAGCACGATCACCGCCAGCGCCGCCACCACAACCACCACCTGCTCGGCATCACTACCATCTTGGAAGGTTTAAGTGCATGAACCCATCGGCTGACATTGGTTTCTGCAAGGACCCAACGAAAGACGAATATAGTCGCCTAAGTAACTACCAATACCATTTTGGGGAGTTCCTTATTATAAGTATGGTATCATGCGGCCCCAAAACCGTATTCTAATTATTAAGACCCTTGTATTACACAGCTATTTGCTCCTGCAAGAGGAGTCGGCTTCATGACTCTCGCGATGTGGCTGATCTTCGCAAACAACTCCAAGGTGCAGTGGTGCTGAATATGCTAAGCATCAGATCTCCACACAGAAAGCCCACATGTGAACGGACTTTTTTTGGCTATTTTCACATCTCGTCATGTTTTGGGCAAGGTCGCCATGGCTGTGATTTCTGGGTGTGTCTCTTTGTGGCGCTTGAGCCTGAAACTGTCCGGAGTCTTTTAGTTAAGGTTTAGGGGCTTAGGGTTTAGGGTTCTTAGCAACGCATATCGCAGTAGCTGGCCCTTGCACTAACGATGACAGTAACAAAGCCTAAACCTTAACCCCGAAACCCCAGCCCTAAACGCCCTAAGTCCAGCAGAGACCTACATCTGTCGTATAGCAACCCCGACACCCCTAAACCCCCATACTACCCAAAAGTCCCAAACCCAAAATATTGAAAGCAACCCATGACCTCCCCCACCCTAAACCCTATCCAGAAGTCAAAAGCCCGAATCCCTTCGCCCTAAAACTTAAACCCTAAACCCCAAACCCCGAACCCTAAAACTTAAACCCTATAAACCCGATAACCCCTATAAGCTCTACAAAAAGCCTGTAAATCCTGTAAACCCTACAATCCTGATAAGCCCTGGCCCTAAACCCTCTAAACCCAAGAACCTCGCCTGGCTGTGTCCGAGTTGTGAGAGCGTAAACCCTCTAAACCCTGGAAAGCCTTGGGCCTAGACCCGGGTAAAGAAAAAGCCAGAAAGTTGGAATATGATTATCCTTAACCCTTCTATGGTAAGTTATAGGGTTTCCTACCATGAAACCATATTCCAACTTTCTGGAGTTCCCTTTATTGGTTTAGGTTCGTACCATAACCCCAATTAGGGTCCCTTTTAGGGTACTTATAAGTCTATTTACTACCTACTTACTAAGTCCCCCGACCCTCCAAGTAGGGCCGAGACCCGGGTAAAGAAAAACAGGTGGCGGTTGCTCAAAAGGCTCCTCTGGAGCAGCGGCACCAGGCATCGGAAGGGTGAAGCTTTGGGTCTGACTCGGAGGTTTAGTAGGTTTTATGCTTTAATGTTTTTTTTTTTTTTGTGGTGTGTGTTGAGGCTTGGGGTTTTGCGGTTTTTGGGGGTTGAGGGTTTGGGGTTTAGGGACCAAGCAGCCGCAAAAAGAGGGTTGAGGGTGTAGGGTTGGGTTTAGGGCATGAGGTTCGCGGGTGAGGGTTCAAGGTCCCAGGACAGGGTTTTCAGTAAGGGTTTGGCAAAGTCCAGAAGGACTGGCGACATGCTTGGACTGGGACTGTTTCTGCGAGCAGCCTATCAACGAAAGCTGCCACAACGACAACAACAGTGTCAGGACCAGACATGAAGATAGCAGTGTCGGCGAGAGCCATAGGCATCCATCAGTAATATCAGCGCCAGCAGACTGTCAGTCATGGAAACAGCAGTCGCAACAGTGAGAAGCACAACTACCCATCTATCATCGTGCCGCTTTCTGCCTATAAGACTTAAGAAGAACGCGAAGACCCCTCCCTGGTCATTTCCTGCAAGCGCAAGAGCTTTCCGCAACATCTTTGCAGATCTGCGCCACCATCAGTACGGCCGTCGCCCTGTTCTCCGGTTTCTTCAACATTCTGCAGCTGCTTTGCCCGAGTTAGCCCTAAACCCTTTGCCACCCAAACCGTATACCCAAAGCCAGGGTTTGATTGTCTGGCCACCCGAGATTGAACTTGCGGTTTTCCTTCAGCATGGTTTTGACAGTACATACAGGTTCTGCTTAAGCTCCAGATCGCAGAACCTTCGGGCTTGTACAAACCATCGCGTCCTCCAGCACGTCCCCGTGCGGGGCACCCTAGAACGGTCTCAGCTGTAGAGCAAGCAACTTTTGACCTTTGTTTGGTATCATAGTCGTGTATTACGGATCGTTCCAAAGGTTGACCTTTAGTTCGCTTGCGGACTCGACGAGTAAGAGGTTGAGGCCAAGCGGCGTGCGAGGCAACAGTGACCTGCCGTGCTTTCCCATGCGGGGCCCGGAAAATCCTTAACAAGTACATCCTAAACCCTAAACCCCAAAACCCTAAAACCCACAAGTTGAACGCGAAACCCGAAACCCAAAAGATAAACCAAGAGGTAATCCCCAAACCCGAGATCCTCCATCGTGATACTGAGACGGAGAGCCCGGGCCTGTACCCTGATGTCTTCTCTGTACTATAAGGGCGTTTCCGAAGATTAGGGCTACCTCATTTTGGGGCCCTTATAATAAGGGTCCTACTACACATTTAGGATACAATATTAGGGTCCCCTGTTTTCGGATAAGTGTGCCATCAGGAAGGGTAGCAACCGTGGTAGGTTTGCAAGCTTTTACGTACCATTCGCCAAGCTGACCGTCACGAACATGCCTCGCCTGGGATGTTCGGGTGAGAGCCTCGGGCCCGATACAGCCCTTCGGTTTGGGGCTTTGGGTTGAGGGTTTGGGGTTCAGAACCGCTCATAATGCCTGTGAAAAAGCGAGAACCCAAACCCCCAGCCGTACTCAGCACTTAACCCTAGACTTTGAACCCTGTGACCTTGGCAGGAGCAGAAAGAGGCCTTAAAAGAAAAAACCTTGAACTTCCTGCCCAACGCGGCGCTCCGAACCTCTGCGGTGAGGAAACAGGCTCTCAAAAAAACCTTAGACCCTCTTGCGCTTTAAAGCAAAGCCTGCAACCCCTACTTGGAGGATCATGGGACTTAGTAAGTAAGGTTATAAGTACTTTAATAGGAGCTATAAGTACTTATAAGTATAGTTACCCTGATTATAAGCCCACTTACTAAGTCCCATGATCCTTGAACTAGACCCTAAACCCTAAACCCTATAGATCCCTTTAAGGAACCCACCCTAAACCCTAAACCCCTAAACCCTAAACCCTCAAGCCTACGAGGCTCACAGCGATTGATGATTTCGACCTCCCCGGCCGCCAGAACAACTTCACGCTCAACTTGTCCCGCTTCTGGGGTCTGATTTAGGGTTTAAGTGATATAGGGGCCTCAATAATTTAGACTAGGGTTTCGGGGTATCTTTATGCTTATGAAAAGGAACCCCCGAAATAGTATAGGTCATGATTTAAGCCTTTGCAGTAAGGTCTGTCGGGCTTTGAGTTCTTAGGGGTTCCTTTAAAGGGTACTATAAGGGTTCCTTTTAAGGGATCTGTAGGGTTTAGGGTTCAGGGTCGAGGGGTCTATCGTATAAGGTTCAGGGCTTTGCGGATGCAGGTTCTGCTTTAAGGTGGGTTATATAAGGGTTCAGGAATTGAGGTTCACTGGGCTCTAGGGTCCAGGGTTCTGGTTTGACTGTTTGGGTTTCGAGTTGGACACCTGATCCTCTTTCAAGGAACCCAAAACGCCTGACCCTAAACCACTAAGGCTTAACACTCTTAAACCCTAAAGCCCTGAAACCCAAAGCCGGTCTCACCAAGCCGACCTATGACCATGTGCCTCACCTGAAGTGTCCGGGTGTGAGCGCCGAAAGCCCTAAACCCTACAAAGAACCCTAAAATGGCCCTAAAACCTGACATCCAAGGTCCTGTGGAGTGGATTCTGACCTGCCCCATCATGCAGCTGAAGCTTGTGGTGCTGGCAGGCCTTGTTTGCCGTTGGATGGCTCGAGGGGGCAGCGAAGATGGTGAGGGAGAGCGCATGCTGATGCACCCGTTTTGAGAGACGATAATCGGGGTGTTCTCGTTTCGGAGTCCTCGAAGCAAGACTCGATTGCACAAGTTGCAGCCACAAATGCCGAGCTTGCCTAGCTGCACTGCACCACAGGTATCTGATGAGTGTTGTCTGGTGCCAGTGTCATCAGTAAGACCAAGTGGGCCGCGACCTACACATTTCATTTCCTCAAGCATGTCACGGATACTACTTTACGGCTGGTGCATGGGTTTGATTGTCACCGTTTCTTCTTGCATTTCTCGGCTTCTCAGTTCTTCTGTGTCGGTTCTCTTCCGGTCCTTTACTTTGCGATCTTTCTACCACGGCTTACGCAAGCTACGTGCCGGATTCCCTAAACCCGACACCCTAAACCCTACAACCTAAACCCTATGAGCCCTATAAACCCAACTAGCCCTATAAGCCCAATAAACCCTAAACCGTACCATGAGTGATGTCTCACTTGTCAGACTCCGAACCATATGCCTCGCCTGGATTGTCCGAGTGTGAGCGCCGAAACCGTACTCTGCCGCCCGAAGTCCAGCAGCCTTTGCTGGGTGTTCGGCCTCCGGGATCTGTAGGGTCTTCACTCGATCCAGAGAGGGACTTGCAGAGGCGCTATAAGGGGGGCCTTAAGAATTAGAATAATTAGAATAGGGTTCCTTCAAAGGGTTCTTACAAAGGGTCTATAAGGGCTACTATAAGGGTTTAGTACAGCGGCCTTAATGCTTAGAAGAATCGGGTTTTCCCTCTTTGGGTCCCTATTATAATGCGGCACCTAATATTTAGGGTGCCCAAAAAGGGGCCATAATTTTGACAACCACTCATGTGGTTAATGGCTGAATCAGGAGGTGCGTACAAGAACATGAACGAACTTGTGACACGAAGACAAGTTTCAATGAAAGAGGGAAGAAGCTAAAGATTAAGCTGATGTGATTACGCGAGAACTGTCAACATCTCTAGAATCTAGAAGCAGTTGATGTTGCCTGACGTCAGGCGCACGCGTGCCAAGCTACCGCCGCTTCATGATGCCCCTGATCTAACGGCTTTCATATCTTGTCTTGCCAAATGTCGTAAACCCTGGACCGTGTCGCATGCACGTTGTCGGCAGGATTCGGGGCTTATCCTAAATCCTTACCGGCAAGCCAACTTCTTTTTTTGAATTTGTTTTGGTTGCAAAAGACCTGATATGAGGGTTCTGTTGCCATCAAACCTTAATTCCTCAATCAACATTGAGCTAGGCTCAGCTAGACCCTCAGCCCCCACAACCTGAACCTAGCCTGCCTTGTGCAACGCGAGAGTCGAAACGCAAAAGCCCGAACTTAAATTATTGTAGTGGTCGGGGTGATGAGTCACAATATCACCCTCGTTGTCCCCATCATTGTCTTTGGGCCCCTAAGCCCTGAGCCCCTACCCATGCATCGTACGTGCTCTTGAAGCCAAACCCTTTTTCCGCCAAATCCTCAACCCTTCAAAGCTGAGCCTTTACCCCTTAAGCCGCTAAATGGTAGTAGTGGTACTAGTCATACTTGTGCTGTCGGTGAAGGCCTCAGGTTAGCACCCTGAAGTTTCAATTCTCATCCGAGGATGATCTTCAGTTTTAACAGGGACGGGAGAACGCAGAGCCCTTGAACGCTGGCATCTATCGGAGGTTCTTTTGTGGACGGCGGACGGGCGTACAGTATTCTTCCAGCCCTAAACACAAATCACTAAACCCTGTAAGGAGCCAAGTAAGCAGCATCTCGGCAGCACTGAGGCCTTTGATCTCCGTGGCGGTCCTTCTTTGCGGAACCGCCTCCATGTTCACAGGACTGTCGTCCCACAATCTTTCTGGAGGAGTAGAGTATTTCAAGTCAGGGGTGATCCCACCCCCACGAGCCGGTCATACCATCGTGATGGCAGTCATCGTCGTCATCCTTGCAAGTACTGAGCCACAGCTCCTACTATCGTCAGCATCGCTCCAATCATCTTGATATGTTTTGTCATTTAGTTTACCGTCGTCAGCCTGAGCAGCAGCATTATCATCATCGCGACGGTGTTAGTCATCATAACAGAGGCTTAGCCACAAGATGCCCCAAGACAGGGTGTAGGATGTAGGGTAGTGTCCCTAAAGCCTAAGCCGCCAAACGCTAAACCCTAAGTGTGACGGTAGTATCGGTGGCAAGCCGACCTCATGAAGCCCTGCCTGCCTTGAGCGAGTGCGCTAGTCGAAACCCTAAACCCTAAACAGCAAACGTGGGTGGGGGGTTCTTATAATAAGGATCCTACTGTTTAGGGTACTATATTCAGTTGTCGTGGAGGAGATGCGCTGCGCTATGTGTGGTATGCCTTCGGCCTGATGCTGGCTAGCATCATGTTCTACCACAACGCTCTTCAGATCAAAGAGAAGCTTGGCAATCCATCTGGGTAGTCGTCAAAATTAAGGTCCCTGTTTGGGTACCCTAAATAATAGGTGCCGTAGTAAAATACAATGCTTTTCAGATCAAAGAGAAACTTGGCAATCAATCCTGCAGTTGCGACGAGTACTCTGAACAACAATCGTTAGAGTGCTTTCGCTATTATGGTAACTTAACTCAAGCTCCTTTACAAAAAACCCAGAGGAACGTGACTTTGTCAAGCTGCTGCTGCTATTGTTACCGGTCATCCTCGAGATGATCCCAGAGACTCCAATATCCCTTAACGCGGAATATACCTTAAATCATAATAGGATCCCGAATATGATTTACGGAACATTCCTCAATTTAGGGATATTGGAGTCTCTGGGACGTCAATGAATGGTTATTCACGCACTTTGTAGTTCTGGGGTGCAGGATTCACTTCAGGGAGTTGTGGTTTGTGTGTAGGGGTATATAGGGGCCAAAGTTTTTTAGCAATGTTATTCTTTAGGGTTCCCTATAACTATAGTACAATATACCCGGAAACCTTGTTTTAATTATCAAGGCCCCTATATGATTGTCTCACTGTAGCCCTCATAGTACCCTTGTGCAGATCCTTTGTAAGAACCCTTTACAGGAACCCTACACTAATAATCTAGGCCCCCATATCAAACCCCTAAGCCCTCATCTCGCTTCGGCTCACGAGTGCTCTGTTGACTCAGCGGTGGTGCGTATTCCGCCCCAGACCAATTCAAGCCGAGATATGCGAAGAACCCGGAACTCTTCGAATCCGAATCCCTGAACCCTCTAAGATGCACTAAAGCCTTGTACTAATTACGCAGGCGCCGACGTCTACTCGCCATGCAGAAACTGGGCTAAAAAACAACTCCGCGTCTCAGATCTGACCCGAGGAACAGCGAGGGCGAGGAGAGTCTGTTCAGTGGCGGCCCAGCTTATTCAGTCAGGCGTTAAAAAAAGCCCAAGTCCTGCACTTGACACCCGAATCCTCCAAGAAATCTCGCGGTTCAGCTTTCAGGCTTTTGGATTTGTCAGTTTGGGGCTTCCAGGTTAAACCCTAAACCCTGAACCCTAAAAACAAAAAACCCTTATTGGGTCTAGGGCACAAGATCTCAGCGAGTCTGATTGCAACAGAGATGGGAATTTCCGAAAATGGGGGACCCTAATATAGCACCCCAAACAGTAGGATCCTTATTATAAGGACCCCAAAATAAGGTACCCCTAATTTTCGGAAACTCCCAGATAGAGGCCTTGGGGTTACAGGGTTCAGGGCTAGGGATAAGGGTTTAGGGTTTAGGGTTTAGGGTTTAGGGATAAGGGTAAGAGTAACCACGAGCCTCACGGAGGTCTTCCCAGACCTGTACAAGCCTTTGGACGTAGGACATCGTAGATTCTAACCGCAATAGTAACAATACACATGACACTACTAAGCCTTTTAGGAATAAAGACAATGAGAATAGCATACAACGATCAGGAGCGCTACGGATTGCGGGCCCCCGGCCGTTCTGTATTCATGGCGATTGCAAGGTTTAGAGTTCAGGGCTTGGGGTTTGGGGGACACCCAAAACCCACAAGTACAATAGAGGCCTTAAGAATGAGATTAGGGCTGTGGGGGTTCCTTACTGTAATTATTCCAGTGTAATATGGGAGTTTCAGAATACTAGGGGGTACCTTATTTTGGGGTCCTTATAATGAGGATCCTACTATTTAGGGTACTCCATTAGGGTCCCCTATTTTCTGAAACTCCCTATGTCGTGCAATCTCCGAGTTCGGTAGGCAGGGATCCGGCGGTAGACAGGTACATTGCAGGAACTTGGAGGATGACTAAGCATTGATATTGGGGGAGCTAAGGAGCCAGGGATGATGATATAATCCCTACTAGATAAGGAGCCAAAGAGCCAAGGGAACCCCCCAAAATCACTGGTTAGATGATCCTCGCAATAGATCTTCACTTCGGGTAGTAGCCCCGCTCCCACTCTCGTGCACAACGACGGGCGAGGCTCGCGAATTCGAAGTACCCGAAACTCCGTGGAATCGCTATGAACAACTCACAAACCTGCTTGATTGTAGAGTTCCAGCAAAATTCGGAAAAGGATTCAATTACAAAGGATGCGCTTTAAAGGGATCTATAAGGGTTCCTTTGCAGGGATCCGCAATCGTATTTATGAGGAGACTCCGACTTCCGCAAGCTCTCCATCGTTTTGATCGTCACTTGGTTCCCCTTCCCGCTGTGGTGGCCAAGCTTGCATCAGGGTTTAGGGGTTTAGGTCCTGGGCTCTCGTGCCTAAAAAGAGCGAGTGTGAGAGGGCCTGGGATTGAGGGCTGGGCACTGATGTTGGATTTTCAGCACCGGAAGCCACAAAATGCTTTGGTTCTCACTCTAAGAAGTCGGGTGGACCGACAACAGTAACAGCATCAGAGTACCGCTTTGCACTTATGCGTGCATCCAGGCAACAGGTAGTGTGCCAGGGTCATGGGCAGCCGCAATGTCTGCTTTTCCAGAGAATCACTGTCAATATGTCATGCCAAAGAAGACTGTCTGGTTCAAAGCAGGGAATGGGGGAATGGATCCTTATAGTAGTCCTGTATAATCCTCTCCATAGTCCATTCCCCCCAGTATCTACTTAGGACCAGATAGAAGAAGAACAACTGCAATAATGGGAGCCATCTTGGGAGATTCAGGCGCAAGGTTGCAGGGAGGACACGAAGCATACAGGCGGACAAGAGCAAAACAACAGGGTATATGCACTTGTAGTCAGAAGGTGGATGAGGGTGAGTTCCTCAGTTTCGGGAAGAAGGCTCGGCTACGGTAATGATGTAGGTGCAAGGTTGCGACGCTGCTTCGGAGCCGTCGCACTTAGGTTTGTGGGGCCCTTGGCTTCTAAAATGGAGCCTCACTTGTTAATGGTGCAGAAAAAGCCCGGACATCCCAGGATCATCTCGGCCCTTGTATGTGCAGCCTCAGCATGGCTTCAGCCCTCGTCTGTGCGCGGTTTCTCAGGTTCAGCTTGAGTGTGGAGGGCTTCGGTGTCATCAATGATGGCTTCATCATCGAAATGGGCTGGGTGATCCTGATCCTTGGGCCTGCATTCAAGTATACTGAAGCTCGACCAGCCGAGTGCGCTGGCGTCTGGTCACATATGCACATAGAAATAATACCTACACATACAGCTTTCTAACTCTCTCTCTCTCTCTCTCCCTCTCTCTCTCTCTCCCTCCCTCCCTCCCTCGCTCTCGCTCTCGCTCTCGCTCTCTCTCTCTCTCTCTCTCTCTCTCTCTCTCTCTCTCTCTCTCTCTCTCTCTCTCTCTCTCTCTCTCTCTCTCTCTCTCTCTCTCTCTCTCTAAATATATATTTGTATACACATGTACGAATGCACGTGTATTTGGGCTGAGCGGTATCCCGGGGAAGAGATTCAGTCGTCGAGTCAGGGTGTGACTGGACGAAGGCCTTGGTGCGTTAGGGGCAACATCTGAGCCCTCGGGGAACCCTAAACTTAGGCCCTAAACCCCAAATAAACCCTAAAGCCTAAATAAACCCTACGTGAAGCCTTGCCTGCCTTGTGCGAGTGTGATCGTCGAAATAAACCCTCGCCTGGATTGTCCGAGTGTGAGCGCCGAAATATACCCTAAACCTGAAGCCTTAAGCCCTCCAGGAAAGCGGACTTAGTATCTGAAGCCATGCCTGCCTTGTGCAAGTGTGTGAGTCGAAACCCTCCAGGAACATCGTGTCGAAGTTCCTTTTCATCATCATGATGCAGCGATACAAGATGATCCACCAGCGCAAGATCGAGGCATTGAGATTGCCTCGATTTGTTGGGTTTAGGGTTTCAGGTTTAAGGTTCAGGGTTCAGGGGCGGTCGTGGTTAATCATGAGCCAGATCTTTGCGTTCTTCCAGCTCATAGATGCCGGTATGGCTTCGTCTCAAGAGTCAAGCGCTCCCCCAGCCTCCTCAAAGCACTAAAACCTATCTTCGAAATGCCGGTGGGACGAACAAAAACCCACACCAGATGAGACTTTGGTCATACGCTTAGGCGAGCTCACTGAAAGCATCGTGAAAATCCAACCAACATCCAAAGAACACCCCACCAACAAACCACGAACAAGAAGCAAGCCCCAATAACACGCTAGTCAAACTAACCGCCAAGATCACTTTGAAAGGACACCATAATACGGCCCTTACAATAACTTCAAGAAGAGAACTCAAAATCATTTAGTCATAGTGGAGCCTAGCAAAACGCCTACCAAGCCACCCTTTAAAGGAACCCGTAAAACAAGTGACCCCGTATTATTACCCTAAGCCCTAAACCCCCTTATAATTATCGAAGGCTTAGAGAGACCCCTAAACCCTAAACCCAAAACCCTAAACCTCCTTTCTAAAAGGCGGCCCGGGAGCTCTATGGCCTCTCTCCTTCCGATGAAGTTAACGAGGCCCCGCGCATGTGCGGGGGGTTTCAGGGCTTTGGGGGCTTTTGAGGGTTTGGGGTTCAGGGTTTGGGGTTTAGGGATTAGGGGTTCGGATGTCAGGGCTTTTGAGGGTTTGGGGTTGGTAGAGTTTCGGGTGTTTGGGGTGTTAGGGGTTCGGATTTCAGGGCTTTTGAGGATTTGGGGTTGGCTGAGGGTTTGGGCTTTTAGGGTCTAGGGTTTGAAGCTTGGCTGAAGGGATTCGGGGCTTACATAGTGCATTGCAGTCCCTGCTCAAAAAAGGGTCAGGGTTTAGAGCGAGAAAAGCTTTCGAGGGTTTAGGGTTTAGGCTTATGCAGGGTTGCATGACTGCACAGTCGCCGTGCTTAGTCCAGTGTTGTTTTTGAAGCTTTTTTGTAGTTTCGGGTCTATGAACTACGCGTTTCTTTTACTAAAAAAATGCACAAACATACACAAACATGCACTTTTCCTTGGCCCGGGCTTTGGAGCCTGCGACCCTAGGCGGGCCGTAGCCCCTAAGGTCTGAACCAACGCCTCGGCTTTTTTTGGCTTCGGTCGGAGGAGGGTACCGCACGGTACGTTATATTTTAGGTGCGGCCTCCATACAGTAAGAGTCTATAACAGGGCTACTATTAAGGTCCTAATATACCTATAGTATGAATGATATTCAACTATTACTGAGTGGGGGCCGTACCCAAGTTATAGTACAGTAGAAGCCAGAAAGTTGGAGCATCATTATCCTCATGCCCTTGAGGTAAAGTAGAGAGCATCTCCGCACAAAACGGGCCTCCAAACGGTTCACGGCAATCATCACTTTCACGTTCAAATCCGCATGGTATTTAGTTGCATAGTTGGCGATTGGAGTTGTTTGGGCTTGAAGTCTCCGCAGCCGTGAACTAGCAAAATCCACGAAACCGCAACCAAACCCTCAAGTACAGAAGCTCTAAGCCCTGATAGGCAAGATCAGAAACCGCCCAAACCCTAAATCCCGAAACCCATCTAAACCCTAAGCCCAAAACCCTGAAACCCTGAACGCATCTAAACCCTATGCCCTAAACCCTGAAACCCTAAATGCATCTAAACCCTACGCCCTAAGCCCGACATCCTAAACCCCAAACCCTACCTAACCCCCAGGAAGATCTGAAGAAGCAAGCGATCAGCAACGGGGTTGCGGCCTGAATCGGGGCCCGTCCGATGGATTTCGTTCTACAGGGCCGGCATCAGATAAGAAAGCTTCAACTAGAGAGTGTTCGCGCATCCTAAACCCTAAACCCAGACCCAGAGATCCCAATACCCCTTAATTAAGGATTGTACCTTAAATTACAGGGGCCTTGATATTAAGATTTAATGTATATTCCTTAATTAAGGGGTATTGGGTTCTTTGGGGAGAGAGGGATTGACAGGGGCGCTGGCCGACTTGCAAACGGCAGTCCACGTCCTCGTAGATTCTGTTTCCCACGATGTGGTAGACGATCTGTTAAGCTGCCAACAATCACCCAGCCCCTCAATTTCTTGATTCTGTTGGTTTCGCCCGGGGCTTTTGGGAGGTTGGGAGGCTGTTTAAAGGGTCTTGAAATGCTTGGTTGGAAGGCTCGCAAGACCAGGAGCCACGACCGTCCGGCTATCAGTGTGGTGCTGTGCTATCGAAGCGCGATAGACTGAACGCATCAGCTTAGAACGGAGAGCGCCGCCCCTTCGAGTATTGTAATATGGGGGTCTGAATCTTCGTGAGACCACTCAAGCTCAAGTGCGAGTCTTCCCCCTACGGTCCTTTCTATGCTTATATAGAATCAAGATACGATGCCCTTCACGAAAAGCGGCTGTTCTACTTGTTAAAGCCCCTCAGCTCTCCAGCGGGTGAGTTGGGAGGTTGTGACAGAGTCTGGTTGGCGCTGCGCTCAACCGTAAGCTTAAACCTTGTAACATAGGGGCCTTAAAAACTAGAATAGGGTTCCTTTAAAGGGTTCTTACAAAGTGTCTATAAGGGTCACTACAACTACAAGGGTTTAGTATAGCGGCCCATTTTTAGAAAAGGCTTTTGGGGCCATGTTTTTCTATAGCTATAATTTAGGCCCTATATTAACGCCCCAAACAGCTCTGAGGCCTGTACCGCCAAGGCAGCAAAACCAAACCCCTAAACCCATCCGTAGACCCTAACCTAAACCCCTAAACCGCCAAACCCTAAACCCGAAACCCTATACCCTAGCAGACTTGGTTTGCAGTCATCAAAAAGGAGTTCCAAAAAAACAAAACCAATCGCCGCACCCAGGTTGCGAATGGAGGCGTCAACGCCGAGGCTTACGGCCTGGGCCAGGGAGAGGCCGGGGATGAAGCGGAAGGGTTAATGACAGAAAAACCTGCGTCAGCCATAATAATAATGCAAATAAAATAATAATGCGAATATTAGTACTAATAATAATGAAAATAATGAAAATAATAATGAAAATAATAATAATAACAATAATAATAATAATAATAATGATAATGATGATAATAATAATAATAAGAAGAATAAGAATAATAATAATAATAATAATAAGGAATATGACATAATTCCAATAGTTTAGGGTCATGCTTAGCACCAGATGTGTCCTTCAAAAGGAAGTAGTAAGGAATATGACGTAATTCCCGTAGTTTAGGGTCACGAAGGTAAGCATTAGCTTACTCAAAAGGCCCAACAGTGACCCTTCGTCGTAGCCCCTGTCAAGCCTGTTTGAGAGCCCGTCCCACTTAGCACCAGATGTGTCCTTCAAAAGAAAGGCATTACGTCAACATAGGTCAACCTAAACTCCAGCCACCAAAGTCTTAAACTCTAAGCCGAAACCCTGAACCCTAAACTCCTAAGCCTTAAACTTTGAGCCCTAAACCCCTACATCCCTAAACCCCGAAACTCGCAACTGCTAGACGGAGGTCCTCGACTAGGGATCATGGCAGCTACTTGAAGGATTTAGCAAGTGGGGTTAGAAATAAGGCAACTATACCTATGCCTACGTATAACCCCAACTAAGGTACTTGTAACCTTACTTACTAAGTTCCATGCTCCTCCAAGTACCGGGGGTTCAGGGTTTAGGGTTGCCTGTGCAAAAGGGTTTAGGGTTGGGAGTTTTTAAACAAAGGGTTTAGGTTTTAGGTCGAGTCCACCGCGCAGTCGGCGCCTCGATTCCTGGCATATGCATAGTCTCCAAGGCTAAAAGGAGGGACCCTTAATAAGGAGCCCTAGGTATATACCCTTCATATAGCTTTATATACGCATTATATAGTCCATTATAGGGTAGGTGTGCCCATTAAGGGTCCCTCCTTTTCCCCTTTGATAGTCCAGGTTTAAGAAAGGGGTTCAATCAAGGGGCGAGAGATGGATGAAATTCAAGTACTGGTGGACCTCCAGGGAGACCTCGTTCAAGAAAGGTTTAGGGTTTAGGGGTTCTTTGTTCTGTCTTCTCCCGTTACTAAGCTGTCGTTGCCTCACCAAGCCGTACCCCACCTGGATTGTGCGATTGCGCAGTGAACTCCCTAAGAAGCCCCAGAGTATAGAAATATCCCCAAACCCGCAACCCCTAAACGCCGTCAACCACAACCCCCACAACCCCAAAGCCCTGCTCTATAGCAGTATTATAGAGAGACATGATTCCAAAGCCCCTAAACTTTGGCCCTGAACCCTAACCCCTGAAGCAAGTAAGTTTTTATTGACACATGGTTCCTAAACCCCTAGGCCCTTACAACCTTTTCCTCCCTGATAACGAAACTCAATCCTACCCCCCCCCTCCCCCCAGGAGGCGCAGAGTGAGTTGAAGCTCGTTGAACTGGTGGCCGAAACGATGGCCGCTAGCAGCAATCCTTAAACCCTAAACCCTAAAACCCTAAACCCTAAACCCGTTGATGGTTTAGGGTCAAGGTTTAGGGATTAGGGTTCAGTTTTTAGGGGTTACAGTATTGGCCGGTGCAAATGCATCGGTGCGCACTTTACTACTACTACTACTACTACGACGACTACTACTACTACGACTACTACTACTACTACTACTACTCCTACTACTCCTGCTACTCCTACTACTCCTACTACTCCTACTCCTACTCCTACTGCTACTGCTACTGCTACTGCTTCTCCTACTGCTACTGCTACTGCTACTGCTACTGCTACTGCTACTGCTACTGCTACTACGACGACGACTACTACTACTGCTCCTGCTGCTACTACTACTGCTACTGCTGCTGGGGCTGATTCCGAAAGGGTTTGAGGATGAGCCTTTTTGGGTGAGGACTGCGTGATCCGGATGTAGGGGTTCCTTACAAGGGGCTCCTTAAAGGGATCTATAGGGTGTAGGGTTTAGGGTCTACTCCGAGGATCATGGGACTTAGTAAGTAAGCTTATGAGTGCCTTAATTGGGGCTATAAGTAGTTATACGTATAGATACCTTCTGTATAACCCGCTTACTAAGTCCCAGGATCCTCTAAGTAGGGTTTGAGGACTTAGGCGGTCAATAGAAGCCAAAGTCGCGCTCGACCCCGTAAACCCTGTAATCCCCGCTTTTATTGACACTAGCAAAACCTATAGCACAAAACAACCCGTATCTCAACCCCAGAATGCTATCTTAAATCCTCGACTTTACACGCTAAAATCCTCAACCCTAAACTGAAAACCGTAGAATTCCGAAACTCAACCCTTCAGAGCCGCCGACCAAAGCCCTGGACCCCAGGTGACGCTTGGGATGAGCAGCCACACCGACCGGCTGATGAGGTGCATGTCTTGGATTAGGGTGTAGGGTTTAGGTTTATCATGTCTTGGATCATCTGCGAGGTTTCCGAGGGCTTAGGGTTTAAGGGTTTTGGTTTATGGGTTTAGGGCTTGAGAACTAGGTCTTTTCAGTCTCCTCACCATTCGGCACCATGCCTTGTGGCCTCGTTTTTGACGTCTAAGACGCAGGCCTCGGGGCGTTTTAGGCTTATGGTGCAGGGTGGTTAGGTTTGAAGGTGCAGGGGTTTGGGCCAGAGGCTTCCGGAGCTGAAGGTTCATGCAGATACATGTGCATGTATGAATACCAACCGCCAGGTTGTTTGTTTATGCCAGCTTCTAGTCATTAGTTGCCTGCGGCTGCAGACTGCATTTGCTCCATTCTTTCTTGGAGTGTTCTACATGGACATGTGTACATAGATACCGCACATACATGCATGCATACATGCACATATGTTTGTATGCAGAACCGTTATATGCTCTTGTGTTTGCAAGACAACCGCGCGTCATACCATGCCAAAGAAAACTTGTTGCACCGCCTCCCTTGTACCATTTGTACCGTTGTTCTCGCACTCTTGGTTTTTGGAATGTTTGTAAATCTTCCTTTTCGCCTTGCTGGTTTACTGCTTTATCGGTCCTCTTGGTCGTGCTGTTCCTTGCATGCGTCACGAGTAGCTTGCACGCGTTGGGCATGAGTAGCTCCTGTAGAGACCGCAGGTTTCAAGCACAGCCCGGGTACTGTTCTGTGTTGGGCTTACTGTGCAGTGCCGTTTGCTTGTAGAGACCTTTCGTTGGCACCCTGGTTTAGACCGCATTCCCTGGCTCTGCAGTTTCAAGATCCTTTGATTATCCTCCAGTAGACAGCACTTACGATGCAAGACTTCGAGGGTATATCGACCACATTTCTCGGAATATTGTCTGTAGGGGGCCATAACTACTGTAAGATCTTGCAGTTCTGGATTGTGGAGTAATAGATCCTTCTAGCATTTGCTGAAGGTATCATGGTCGGTTGCTGATTGAAATGTAAGAGAATACTAGCAGCTGCACTAGTCACTAATCCGCTATTGTGGCATCTGTTGATGTAGGAGGGAGCTACGGCTACAAAACGCGCATGCCCTCAACTCTGAACCCCTCAAGCCGAGAGGCATGAATACGGAGCGCCCTAAACCTGTAAACCCTAGCCCCTTAGTCCCTTAACCCTAAACCACCCAACCCTAAACCCGTAGACCCTGAACCCTAAACCACCAAACCTCAAGCCCCGAAACCCCTGAACCCTTAGCCCCTAAACCCTAAAGCGTAAACCCCTAAACCCTAAACCCTATAGACCCCGCAAAAGGAACCCTTATAGTACCCTTTAAAGGAACCCTGAACCCTAAAGCACCCCACACCCCATGCCAGGTTGATGGTTGAGAACGGTGTCACGAACACAGCAGTCTTGGAGCGCTTGAACCTTGAAGAAGAACTTCTATTTGCTTAAGAACCCCCCAAAAATAGAAAGTATATTCCTTATGGGGGTAATATAGGGACTATTATTTTTATTTTTTGGGGGCTTCTTAAGCAAATAGTAGAGAAGGGAAGGGGTTGAACAGGGTTTAGGGTCTGGTTCTTAGTAGGGAATGGGGGAATGGATCCCTATAGTAGTCCTTATATATAATCCCCAATAATAGTCCCAGTAAGCCAAAGAAGGAGAGGTTTCACACTCCCAGCAAACCCACTAAATAAACCATAGAAACACCTAAAACCCTAAACCTAGTGTGTCCTACCGGGTGGCGACACCGGGCGGCGACATGTTGCCTTGTCTGTGGCTTTTGGAGACATCAGTTGCAGGTGCAAAAAGTAGGCTCAAAAAAAAAACAACCACTTAGAAACCCTAAACCCCAAAGCGTAGAGCCAAGTGTGTTGCCTGGCGCTGCTAGACCCTCGGGATGCAACGGCAGAGAGAGAGAGAGAGAGAGAAATAGTTTTTACCCCTACACCACAGCCCTGGCGAAAGAAAGAGAGAAATACTTGCAAAAGGGATTTTGGGGGTTCCCTATTATCATCTTAGTATAGTGGCCCCTATCCTATTTATTGAGCACCCCTACACGATAGAACCCTACTATAGATCCCGTTTAGATCCCTTTTTAGGATCCCTTTCAAAGGAACCCTATCCTAATTATTGAGCACCCCTATCTTGAAAAGAGCAAGTTCTCAGGACTGCGGAGCGCTGCATGGAGTTGAATCTGCTCCTCAGCCCGGATGTCGGGATTTCCTAGGGGTCCCTTAATTCATTAAGGGTTAGCATACGGGTTTAGGGGTTTGGGTTTTTTTTTGGGGGTTTGGGGTTTGGTTGAGGGCGCGGGGCTTAGGGAGGGTTGCCATACGAACGGGACAACCTAGAAGCAAGCATAGAATGACAAACTACAGCTGAAACTTCCAGCTTGTACAAGCCGTGCCGTTCAGAATCTGTTGTTCTGATCCGTATAGCTGCTTCTGTTGTGTTGGCGTTGTTGTTGATGTTGTTGCTGCTGCAGTTGCGGGGGTAGGTGAATAAATGCTAGCGTCCTTGTGGTTTCTGTTGTCGCGGTGTTGTGGTGCTTGTGTTGTTGTTGTTGCTCTTGCTTTTGCCCTTCTTGTTCTTGTTGCTCTTCTTATTATTCTTCTTGTGGTTGTCGTTGTCGTTGTTGCTGCTGTTGTTGCTCTTGCTCTGGTTCTTGTTCGTGTTATTCTTGTTGCTCTTCTTCGTCTTCTTGTCGCTGCTGTCGATGGTCGTGGGCTGCTGCAGTTCCCACCCACATACTGCATCATTCCTGCTGGCGAATTAACAGCTTTAGCTGGGCAGGCAGGTGTAGAAGACAGGGTGCATGGTTGAAGGGTTTGATTTGGAACATGGATTTCAAATTTGGGTATCTGAACAAGCCTTACACTGAATCCAGACGTGTAGAATTCCTTACCTCAGGAAAATGCACATGACTCTTCTTCACAGATCTAAAGGCCGTGGGCTCTGATTGATGCAGCCCAGCGCCGCTGGACAGCGGAGAAGATGAACATGGGCCAGGAGGGATTTGCTGCTACAGCTGCTACTACTACTACTACTACTGCTACTACTACTACTGCTACTACCACTACCACTACTACGACTACTACGACTACTACTACTACTACTACTACTACTACTACCACTACTACTGATGCTACTACTGATACTACTACTGATACTACCACTACTACTACTACTACTACTACTACTACTACTACTACTACTACTACTACTACTACTACTACTATAGCTAATATAACTACTACTACTACTACTTCTACTACTACTACTACTACTACTACTACTACTACTGCTACTACTACTACTACTACTACTACTACTACTACTACTACTGCTACTGCTACTGCTACTAGTAGTAGTAGTAGTAGTAGTAGTAGTAGTAGTAGTAGTAGTAGTAGTAGTAGTGTGGTGGTGGTAGTAGTAGTAGTAGTACTACTACTACTACTGCTACTACTACTGCTACCACTACTACTGTGACTACTGCTTCTTCTACTTTCTCCTAACCGTACCACTACCATTTTCTACTACCCCTACTGCTACTTCTACCAGTAATGCGATCAATACCGCAACCATTGCCAGTATTGCTCGTACGGTACAAACATGTGGCAGTCAAGTCATCGGCGAAAGTAAACAGAAGTTGTAAGTCGTCGTCGAAGGCGTCGCCGTCGCAGAAGCTGTGTCATGAACAGATCGAGGCAGAAGAACCGTTCGAAGTCGTCTCTGTAGACATCATATTCTCGTAAGGGCATGGTGCTTGAATTTCTGTTCGACCGTGGGGACTGCCAGGACACAGGAGGCAACATCGAGAAGGAAGATCCTTTCAAGAAGCTTCTGGAAGCCAACAAGGACCTAGCATCCTTCATACTGCAGGGAGGGAGAGGGTGATTTCCCTAAAACCCTTCAACTAAACCCCTTAACCAGAGAGGAGAATGTCCATGTACCCAAACAGCATATGCATTGGTCTTAAAGTAGTCCCTACACAGGTACTTTTGGGGCCAAAGTATACCCTAAACCCTAAACCCCAAGCCCCTAAACCCTAAACCCAAAGTATATACTATTTGGGTCCATGTACGCTGCCCACTCATCGCCTGTGTTCGTGCGATTCAGGTCATCTCTCAGGTATCACCATATGGTAGGCTTCCGAAAATCAGGAGCACCTGAATCTGGGGTCCTTATAACAGGGATCCTTCTATTTAGGGTACTAAATTATGGTTCTCTATTTCGGAGAATGCCATTTTTTGCAGCCGCCAGAGGCCCAAGTAAAGTTGTGGGACCTTGTGTTAGGGTTTAGGGTTCGAGTTTAGGGGAGATTTGAGTTGGCCCGCCGTCTAAGTCAGGTGCGCATTGGATCGTCACACCGGTATCACCTTAAACCCCAAACTCTAGACCCACACATCGAGAAGTGAAGAAGTGCACCGAAACCCTATAGCCCCCAAACCCTAAACCCTATAGATCCCTTTAAGGAACCCCTATAGATCCCTTTTAGGACCCCTTTAAAGGGGTTTCCCTAGACCCTAGAAGCCCTAAGCCTTAAACCGTCAAAAGATGCCTCGCCTGGATTGTCCGAGTGTGAGCGCCGAAACCGTCGAAAGTGAAGCTGGGACCCCAAATCATCCCTTTAAGGGATCTGTAAGGGTTCCTTCAGGGGAACTATAAGGATTCCTTTAGGGGGATCTATAATAAAGGCTCCTTTAAGGGGATCTATAAGGGTTGAAGTATCATTCCCAGAGTTTCCAGGAGCGCATGGTGGGCAAGAACCTCGTGAACTCCCTTCCTGGTATGCTCGGGCGCCCGGTAGACCTGGGTTTAAGGGTTTAGGGTCTTGGGGCTTTGGGGTTTCGGGTTTATGCAGCCCCTGCTCAAAAAAGGGTTTAGGGTTTAGGGTTTAAGTTTTAGGGTCTTGGGGTTATGTTCAAGTCTGTGCAAAAAAGGGTCTTGGGGTTTTGGTGTTAGTTTGTTTTGTGTTGAGGTTCAGGTTTCTGGAGGTAGCATTCAGCATAGACACCTGGATCACCTGTTGCTCCCCACGTTGGTGCACAGGGCCTTGGCTGGTGTGTACCGTTTTCATTTTCAACATTACCAACACTAGGCGCCTTGCTGTTGGTCATAACAGTCTTTTCTAAGTGCCATTGATTCTTCTTGAGGTGCAGCATCATGAGGCACATTCTGTGCTAACAGTCACGATGTAGTTTCGACCTGCCATCTACAGACTTCACGCAACTCGGGTTGTCCTTGCAACTCAATCCTCGCAGACTTTGATCTTAACCCCCAAATCCTGAACATTACGGGCTACGGGCACCTAACTAAGCCGAAACACACGCAGCAGTTTTTGGACCGACAGGACGCGGTCAGCGAAAAGGGAGCGGTAAAAAGAGCACCAGTAGGATCCTCAGTATGAGAACCTTCATTCATCAATCAGGATGCCCCGAGTCTTAGAGCCACCCGCCCAAGACGCGAACGGCATTCCAAAGCTTCTCTTGGGGTTTGGGTTGTGGGATCCGTATCGCCTGGTTTCGACCTTAGCCGGGTGCATGGGGAAGCTTTGGTCGCATGTTATCACCGCAGGTGATCTAGAGCAGGTATGTATTTCAGAGTGGCTTTCCTTCGGATTGCAGTCGCATTGCCGAATACCGGGTCCTGTGCTCTTGGTTTTTTGGTCCCTGAAACACTAGGCCTCCCGGTCGGATCTCTCAGATAAGCTTTTCTCTTCAATCAAGCACCACTACGACTAGGTCTCCTACTACTACTTCTACTACTACTACTACTACTACTACTACTACTACTACTACTACTACTACTACTACTACGTAGTAGTAGTAGTAGTACTACTACTACTACTACTACTACTACTATTACTACTACTCCTATTATTATTATTACTACTACTACTACTACTACTATTACTACTACTTCTACTTCTACTACTTCGACGAGGACGACCAATACTACGACGACACACCACTACGACTACCACTACCACCACCGCTACCGCTACCGCTACCGCTACCGCTAGCACTGCCACTGCCACTGCCACTACCACTACCACTACCACTACCACTACCACTACCACTACCACTACCACTACCACCACTACTACTACCACTACAACAACCATTACTTCTACTACTACTACTGCTACTACTACTACTCCTGCTACTACTTCTACTACTACTACTACTACCACTACTACTACTACTACTACTACTACTACTACTACTACTACTACTACTACTACTACTACTACTACTACTACTACTACTACATTTTCTACTACTACGTACCCTGCAATGCAGGGCAGCTGTCACGCCAAGTAGGAGCCAACCAGTACTACTACTACATCTACTACCCCGACTACCACTACTATCTTTACGGCCTCTACTACCTGTAATACTTCTACTACGTCTACTACTAGTACTTCTTATTCTACTGCTTCTATTGCTACTACTTCTACTACTTCTACTTCTACTACTTCTACTTCTACTACGCCCAGGTTCTCCGGTGGTATGAACACCCCTCCCGTGGCGGGCATGGGTATGGGTCCGGGTATGGGCATGATGGACATGGCTGGCATGGAGGCGGGGCAGAGCTAAGCATGCAACTGCACACATGAGGAGAGGCCTGCAGGCTTAGGGTTTAGGGGTTTAGGGTTTAGGGTTTAGGGTTTTATTCCGCTGCACATCTCCTGAATGTTGGGAGCCGGACTTCGGAACAGAGTATAGTCAACAGATTGCAGTATACCTAGCAGCGGGACTACATGGCCCCTTGTTTGTTATTCGCGCCTGCCTGTGAAACCGTTGCACCCGCTCTGCTTGTGGGGGCTGCCAGAGGACGAGCATGTTGACAGACTGCGAGACAGATGCGGGCATGCACACTCTGTTTGCAGATGACGAAGGGTACTTCTCGTCTGCTCAAAACATGTTCGAAACCAGAATCAGCAGCTCTCAGACTGAGGGAATTCCAAGGACGATAGCACTAATGACACCGACGCCTCTGACCATGCCGTCAGCTTAGAAGACAAGATAAGCTAAAAGCAAAGCAAGCAAAAGACCGCTGAGACTATGCCACTTCATCCGTGGTTATGTGGTCGTTTTACAGCAAAGCCTGCGGCTTGCACACAAAGTCTCGCAGCTTAAAAGTCATGTTTGGCCACCCGATCGACCCTACTCGAAACGAAGAAGAAGCACTGTTCGTGATGAGTGTTGAGTCAATCTTAGCGATCACGCTCTCCAAGCTCTGCGAACGGCCACGCTTAACTGAAAGTGTTTTGTTCGTTTCTGGACACCTGGACAGGAGTAACTGCACAAAATTGGAACACCTTCAAGAGGCACTGGGAAAGCACGCCCAAACCATGGAGCGTCGACCGGGTGCGAGGGAAGCCAAAAGCAAGCGGAAACCTCAAGAACGGTGCTGATAATAGATGAAGGCGGGGAATAGTACTCGTCGTTGTAGGACTAGGTCACAGGCAGTCTTGTCTTGGGTGCCCATAGCCTCGGCAGAATCATGGTAGATCTGTTGCGTTCAGCATTGCACCTTCGGCGTGATGAAGTACCACATATCAGTCAAGTAGTTTCCTTATTGACCTTGGTCATTCCAGGGCATGTGAAGGCAACGTCACCTAGGTATCATGGGCTTCCTATCACCACTGGAGCAGGAGCAGATGATGTCCGTGATGAACAAGGTGATGGTTCCATATCAGGACATGGAGCTGACCTCAGAAGTGTGCGATCGGCTCTTGACAAAAGATACGAGGGTTCTCAGAGCTCTGAAAGTGTGAGTTGGAGAGAGCATGTCATTCTTATTCGACCTCTGCTTCTTGCCCTCGTTTGGCAACGGCGCTCATAGGAGCCGGAAAGGGGTTAATTACTGGCATCCGTAACACTACCATAGTAGTAGGAACTTCATTAGCAAAAATCAAGCCAGCAACACGCTCAATTTGGCAAAGCGTAACAAACTCCAGCCCGTCGCAATGCCAGCCGCTGCAAATTGAGTTTGCCAACAAGAGCGTGTTCGCGCACGTGCCAAAGATAGTTGCAACGCCAGGAGGAGGAGACTTTGTTTTGAGTAGAATAACAGTATGAATGCCCTGGCCCAAGCTGTGAAAGTCGAAAGGCATTGTCTCCGGGTCGTCATGTGGACTGCTCCTGAACCCCGGAAAAAACTCTGAATCATTCTCTCTCTCTCTCTCTCTCTCTCTCTCTCTCTCTCTCTCTCTCTTTCTCTCTTTCTCACGGGCACATAAGCAGCACGTCCCAGAATGCTAGACCCAAATCGAATTTCAACAACCCCCAGATGTCAAAATCTCCCAAGTGTCCGCCTGAGGTCATGAGTCGGATGCAGGCAATGGAGGAGACGCATGGCGCCAGATGCCGGGGATCCCCCAGACCATCGATCCCTAAACACTGTGCCCTCCCTCTGTGGATCGGGCACCTATTCCAATTTTTAAGGCCCCTTTTCTGAGAATCTTGGCTTTTGGAACTTCAAGCTCGAAAATCAGACTCCCGAGCTCTGCCCCCAAAGCTCAAGACGACTAGGGATAGGAGTCGGAATGTTGGTCACACCTTGATAGCTGAGTGCGTGCACTGCATCAAATTTGCATAACACCAGCGCTTGTAAAACTGACGGTTTACACTCTTTGGGGCTTATCAACTCAGCAACTCAGATGCCATGCCCTCTTAGCCCCCATGTAGTTATACTGATGCCGAAACCCTATTGTAGTCGTAGGGGCTCCTAGACTGCTTGTTTCACGGGCTGGTTGCTTGGCTTGCATGTGGGACTTAACATCCCATCCGCTTGGATGTCCACATGATTCTTTTTTGCATGTGCCGGAAGTTTCAGAAATGAGGGAAGGGAACCCTATGGAGAGGCCTCCAAATACCGTAGTACGACCTTTGGCATAAGAAACCTTCGACTGAAAACCCGAACCATCTCCGACGTCACAGGAACCCCACTGGGTCCTTTACGGGGTCCAGAGGGGTTTGTCTCTGGGTATCTTTAAGGGTTCCTTGAACCCCAGAGGGGGGTAGGGGTAGGGGGGGTAGGGGGCCAATAAGAAGAAATATGGTCCCCTACCCCCCTCCCCCTTACCCCCGTCAGGGTCCCTACGATTGAAGGGAAATGAACTCCCGATCTCAGGAACCTTCAGCGCCAGCTTGAGATGACACAGGCCCGGGTCTCACACGCGCAAGGGGACTCAAAGACTCCAATATGCCTTAATTGTTAATTCAGGAACATACCTTAAAATTGTAGTAGGATCCCTGATGTGATTTAAGAATATCCCCCGATTAAGGGACATACCTTAAATTATAGTAGGATCCCTGTATGATTTACGGAATATTCCCGATTTAAGGGGTACTGGAGTAGGATCCTTAATATGAGTTAAGGAATATTATTTCCTGATTTAAGGGATATTGGAGTCGGATCCCGAAGATGATTGAAGGAATATTCCTTAATTACGGGATATTGGAGCCTCTGGGGACAACCTGTTCCGGGTTTTTAAGGCGGAGAGTACAGGTTTCATCGTTGAGGCTAAAGTACAGTAGAAGCCAGAAAGTTGGAAGATCATTATCGTAACCCCTTTAAGGTAAATTATAGGGGATCCTACCATCAATCCATTAATCGGGGATCCTACCATTAATCCGTATTCCAACTTTCCGGAGTTCCCTTTAGGGTTTAGGGTTTATGGTTTTCTGTAGCAGCTAAAGAGTCTGGGTTTTAGTTTTTTGGGGGTTGTTAGGGTGACATGTCGCAACTCGGCTGAGTCAGGGACCATCGCTTGCTGTCTTGTGGTGCACCTGCACACCCTGGCGGTCCATGCTCACATTGTGACATCCCTGCCCTACAAGCTTAGACGCTGCATGCTGCAACTCAGCGCCGAAACCCCCAAAAGCCGCAAATCCCTACAAAGGCTCAAGTCTTAAGGCTTAGTATCCAAAGTTTCTTAAATCACTACCAGGTTACCACCCAGATCCGTACTATTAATCCCCAAGCAACAAACGGGATTCGGTGACCCAGAAGGTGGGACTTGGATGGGGCCCGGTGGGATGGAACCCGGATGCTGGAACCCTAGCAAAAAAGTGACCACCCAAGTGAACCCTAAACCTTAAACCCTGATACGATATTTCGTGAAAAGAGGAAGCCATCTCCCAGCGTATGGACTTCTCGCAGGCCGGGCCGGGTTTTCAGAAGGTCTCCCTTATTTGTCTTGGCGTTCTTCTGGTTTTCTCTTAGGACTTTAACTTTTGGGGTTTCTACATGAACTATAAGAATAAGGAGGCCGAAAGTTTAACTTGTAGGAGGGCTTCAGAAGTCAGCCAAGTTGTAGGCTTGCTTCTTCTAGTTCGGTCGTTTGTTTGCTTGACGTCTGTGGTATCATTTAGGCTCGTTCACATTTACAGATTTTGCAAAGGCTCGTTTTAGATTTGAGTTTAGGTTTGTCGAAGTGTCTTTAGTCTTAGCGAAGTGTGTTTAGTTGCTTGTAGCTGCTTGAAGCTCTAACCAAGGCAATGACCGGACTGAAGGAACAAAGACTTCAAAGGTGGGTTTCGGGCAAAAAAGGTGTAGGAAAGGTGTTCAACTCCTTCCCAATCTGAAGCATCAGAGCGCCTTTTTTGATTCCGCACCATTGTCGCTCAGTTCGACAAAGGGACAAGGGGAATTGGGCAGATATGTTTGTTTCGCAAGTCACGACAATCTGTCAAGCGGTGGGGAGATCTTAGGTTTGGGGCTGACATGGAGTCCACCACTGCTCGGGGAGGTGGGGCTTACAGTGTTTTGTCAGGCGGTGAAGCTTGTACAGGGTTTGGGAGTTGATCCGCTGTTGAGCCCCGCTAGCTTGCAACTGGGCTTGCGGGTTCAGGCTTTAGGGTCCGGCTTCCGGGCGAGCACTAATCAAGCCTGTGGAAAAAAAGGGTCCGGCTTCACAGAAGCCTGAAATCTGAATCGGCCCCGCACTACGCCTGAGTTCCGACTGTTGTGTCGACTCGTGCCAAGGTCTCGCTTCTGCAGACCGTCAACGCTTGCCAAGTGCTGCTTCACAAGCTGGACTCGTCGCAGGCCGGTCACCGGTGGGCACGACAGAGTAAGCGGGGACAGTTTCGCTCAACTGCTGCTTGAAGGATCATGGGACTTAGCAAGTGGGGTTATAACTAAGGCAACTATACGTATAACTACTTATAACCTAACCCCAGTTAAGGTACACGTACTTATAACCTTACTCACTAAGTCCCATGATCCTCCTAGTACTGACGGACAAGGTTTGCAGGGAGGTGGAGTGTGGTCGGCGGCTAAGGGCCGGGCAGCTGGCAAGAGGCCAAACAGCCTGAGAAAAGCGTCCGGGGAAAGGGCACCGCAAAGTATCAACTGGCAAGAAACGGCGCCGGATGTTGCGTTTTTTTCGTGTTTCTGGCTCGACTTAGCTTCCTTGTGCAGGATAATGCAGGGTCCAACAAGATTTCGTGTTTTTGCCGGTTGTCGAACCCAGAAACCGATTTCAGTTTCATGTTATTCAGGTGTCAAGCTCCATTTTGATTTTGGGTGGTCCCGGTTTAGCGCAGGAGACGGTGATGCAGAAGATGGACACGCAAAAGTCCATTGTCGACCGCATGGTGGAGTCCTACTCAGGCGAGCATCAGCCACGCACAGGGTAGGCTGGCAAAGGCAATGCTGTAAGGATTGAACGATCCCGACAGTCTCGTGTGATTCCTAGAGGCTGTATGTAATGTAGGGGCCTTAATAATTAGAAGAGAGTTCTGGAGAAATATTACTACTGTACTATATAACTACTATAACTGGAACAAGGAAGTTGATGGGACGACTCGCTGGAAGCTGAGGACCAGCAGAAACTACAGCAATTACGCTTCCCAGACCAACAGGCTCGCAATATAGGGGCCCAATAATTACATGTACTATTTTGGGGGTGCATTGCTATAGTTACAGTATCATATACTCCAAAACCCTATTCTAATTATTACGGCACCTGTGCTAAACCCGTATAGCAACCCGAATAGACCCTTTGTAAGAGCCCTTTAAAGGAAGCTTACGGCCCTACACAAAGCCCTGCACCCTGGCAGTGTGAACTTCTTCAGGCGGCCCAGCATGTGGGTAGTTGTCAAAGTTATAGTTTTTGTTTGGGTCCTTAATATGATACGGCACCTAATATTTAGGGCGCCCCAGAAAGGAGCCTATACTTTTGAGAACTACCCATGTGAGCCCCCGTCAGTTTAGGAAGGGTGCTGAACAGCACGCACCCAAGAAAGCCTGCAAGTGTTGGGTTTCTTGTTCTGAATTTGATTTTAGTCGCCAGATAATCGGATAGTTTTTCCTGGTGATCCAGCTCCCTTTGAAGCTGGAAACGCCCGCCCCAAGGCCTGTGACATGCTCGTGAAGCCCGCTGATTAAACCTGCATGAACCCATGTGAACCAGGGGTTAGGAGCTTAGGGCTTAGGATTTCTACTGCAGGGCTTGCCAGGCCTCGTTCAGAACATCGACAGCGCCAGCGACAACACGAAGAGATCCCTTCTGGACACGGTTTCTTTGTCGGATTCTCTTTTCGGAGTTGTTTCAAAGGGCTCTTAGAAAAAATCACAAACAAATTTAATAGGGTTCTTCACAGGGTTTGAGTGGCAGTGAGAAAGAAGGTCATTGTCTGATTGGCTTTTAGTAGCTTTGCGGTTTTTTAATAGGACCTACTTACTAATGTCCTTGATCCGCTGAGTATGAGCCACGAGACTACTACTAGTGGTAAACCGTCGGGGTGAGAGTTGTGGTATTGTGATTTGTACAGCACTCGCGCTTTATACTAGCACTACTTTGCTGTCGCGATTCGGGGGCAGATTCTGGTCGAACATCTAAAACCGTTTGACAACGGAGAAGGCGGATACATAATCGTATTTGCACTTGTGCCCTCCTTTCTGACCGTGGCAGTGGGTTTCGCTGTGTCCTACTTTTTGACTCCATGGGATACAAAACCGCGGAAGCTCCGTTGCTGTCGCCTTGAGGTCAACACATCCTCCGCTGTGATGCTTCAGAAGCTCGACACCACGCAGCAGGCGCGACATCCCATTGACAAGCAGAGCAATGGTGGTGGTCGTGGTGGGAGCTTTTCAGTGTCCTTGGGTCCAGGAGCTAGGCAGGACGTGGGTAATGCGTCGGAGAATCTCTAGTAATGGAAAGCAGTTCTACGACTCGATTTTTGCATGCAAAGTAATTCGCACGGGTAACAACAGACTAAAATTCAGACGAAGCTTTGGGACCGGTCATATGCTGCGAACTGTTACTGTGTTACAACACGCCGGAAATTCTTGATGCTACTGGGCCGGCCGAAGGATACATGCAATGGCAGCTTACATGAACATACATTGTGCATCATTTTCTAAGATCCCATTTCCGAGGTGCTAGGGTCTGTTCGTTTCTGTCGAGTACGACATCATGGAAAGCTTGGAACAAAGACCCTGTAACTCCTTGTGAAAGCATGTGCTACAGTGCAACGAAGGATTTCTAAACCGACGATCTGATCGCCAGGATCTGCTGAAGCAGACTCATGAGTCTCATGCCGTGCTCCAAGGAGTGGCACAGTCGCAGTCCTTCGAGCTGCAAGTATTTAGAACTACAATAGAGCCTGCGGTTTGAGGAATTCCAGCAGTCGGGCAAGCATAGGGCATGTGGGCAAGTGCAGGCAATCATGTGGTTGCGCAGTCTTCCCTTTCCGATAATACACCTTTGCCGTTGCTGCTTTAGGATGCTGTAATTGTGGGGCTGTGGGGATCGAATGGTTTTCCTTGCGACCCTAAAGTCTGTAAAATGAGTTTCGTCTGTACTGCAAGGACTTATTCCTTTGAACTTCCCTTTAACCGAGCCCAAACCCCCGCAAGCACCATGAACTTTGTAACCCCTCTTTTCACCAGGATTAGGCTGCAGGCCCAAATGCTGCAAACTTCTAGAGTATGATTTCCGAAAGACTACAGGAACCTGATATAACTCTCGCAGGACCGTCCGCAGCCCGTTAACCTTCAAGGACTCGTAAAGAACCCTACAGGACGCAATAAAGAAGGCTGAAGAATTACCACCATGAACCTTAGTGTTCCTTACTATAGAATTATCTACCCCAAAACCCTATTCTAATTATTATGGACGCCCTGCAGTAAATCCCGAAAGCCTCAAACTCCGTTTTCTTCCCGAGAAGCCAAGGACCAGCCTCGCAAAGAAAGTGGACTCGGGCAACGAGCTGCTTGGAGTTGAAGGTTTTGCCTGGTACTTAAAGGATCGTGGGACTTAGTAACTAGGGTTATAATTAGGGTAACTATACTTATAACTACTTATAACCCCAATTAAGGTACTTATAACCTTACTTACTAAGTCCCATGATCCTCCAAGTAGTAGGGTGGCCAACCTTCAACCCTTTTGGGGTACTATATCCCTATACAATCCCAGAAAACTCACAAAGGTTAACCTTTAGTTCCCCAGGATACTGGACAAGGAGGTTTTATCAACACAGGGGCCTAAATCATTAATAACGTTGTGGGGATAAATATTTCAGCATTAGGAATCAGGGGAGCTCTTAATCATTAGAATAGGGTTTCTGGAACCGGTTTCTTTAACAAGTTCCTGTGACGGGGCTTTCATGAAAAGGTTAACCTTAGTAGCTGAAACTGTTTACTTTATACCTTTCTGGTCATGTTTCTTCTGTAGAACTGAAAGTTCATTTTTTGGGGGCTTACAAACTAAGCAATATGAGGGCCTTATTAAGCAGAATAGGGTTCCTTGCAAGGGTTTCTTTAGAGCAACATGGTTCCTTCACTGGTTTCAAAACGGGATAGTATTGGGGCCTCAATCATCAGAGCAGGGTGCCTTCGAAGGGTTGCGAAGATAGTATTTAATACAGGTGCCTGCCTAGCTGGAGCAGGGTTGCACTTCAAAGGGCTACGCGCACACACTTTGTAACCCTAAACCATAAACCTCAAACGGTGAAAATGGCCTCGCACCAAAGACCTTGCCTGGCATGTCCGAGTCGTGAGAGCGTAAACGGTGAAAATGGGGAGCCTTATAGCTTGGGCCGGTTTCGAGCTACTTTGTATTGCGTTTTCTTTGAGATTCCAAGGGACCATGGTAACAATTGTTGTCCCCCTATATAATATATTAGGGTTAAGGGTTGCAGGTTGCGCTGCGTTCCTATCAACGTTACTATAGGAGTGCCATAAGGCCATAAGGGCTTCAGGCTTTGGGCGTTTCAGGGCTTGAGGCTTTTTGGGCTTTGAAGCTTTAGGCTTGAGGGCTCCCTTTGGGGCTCCTTTCGCCTTACATCTCGTGCTGGTTTTCACCGAAGTCTAAGCCGTCGCCCCTAAACGGCGCTGACCCCAAAGCCTTAAGCCCCCGCATCTGCCCTGCATTTGAGGTTTACAACGCGCCGTCTGGTGGAGATGGAGACCTGCCTGAGCAAGAAGGCGGGTTCTGGTGTCGTCGAACATCGCACGAGTTGGGGTCTGCTATTGTTTTTTGAAATTGTTAGAACATTCTCAATTTCTGGACGTTGTTCGTTTGTAGGTTGCGGTGCTAAGAGGGTGCACTCGCTATGGGAATGACACCCAACCCAAACATTGTGAGGCCTATATAGAGGAAATGCCGGATTTGTAGGAGGATAGGCCAGGGCAGCGTCCGTGGCTGAGTGATGTGAAGCCTGCAGAAAGAAGTTAAGACACTGAGTGATTCATGACTGGCATGCTGACTTACAGATGCTGTGCCGGAAAAAAAGCAGTGGCAAGCCTGTTTCTTCCACAAGCTTGAGCCAAGCTAGGTGCAAGCAATTGTTTTGCAGGTTACCGAGACTGGCGACACGATGTCTCGCTCGCAGACTGCTTGCGACCTGTGCGAATTTGAGGTTTATGGTTTAGGCTTCGCAAGTTTTGCGAGGGTCTTTTGAAAGTTTCAATGTGGAAGGTCGTTACAGTGTTTGGACTTCGAGTTTTAACCAGGGTTTATGGATTTGGGTTTTGGGGGGCTTTAAGGATCAGGCGCAGGGTGTAGGTGAGTGTAGATTTCAGAACCGGACATCTAACGACTAGGAACCCTGGTAACTTTCCCATGTTTGGGCTTTTCCCACACCCTGTCGTGCGAGAGACCTCGTCTGGCAGAGTCCGAGTTGCGAGAGCGTAACGATAAGGACCTTGCACGAAAGTATTGCGCATGGTACCGAACTTGCCGGTTACAACTTGGGTCAGTGGGATTTGTGCCAAGAACTCCGCCGGCAGGGGTCCTTTGGGGCGCAATCTCAAGTCGTGGTTAGTAGTAGCAGTGGGTAGTAGTAGTAGTAGTAGCAGTAGTAGCAGCAGTAGTAGTAGTAGCAGCAGCAGCAGTAGTAGTAGGAGGAGTAGTAGTAGCAGTAGTGCTAGTGCTAGTACTAGTACTAGAACAAGAACAAGTACTAGCACTAGTACTAGTAATAGTACTAGACTAGTAGTAGTCGTAGTAGGAGTAGTTGCAGCAGGAGGAGTAGTAGTAGCAGCAGTAGTAGCAGTAATTATTCCTCTTCTTATTATCAGTAGTAGTAACAGCAGCAGTAGTAGGTCCCCCTAACCCTGAATCGCGAACCCCGGCCCGAAGTTTTGCCATGACACAGCCAAAAGACCCAAATACGGTTTAGGAATTCAGGGTTTAGGAGTTCAGGGTTTAGGAGTTCAGGGTTTAGGAGTTCAGGGTTCAGGAATTCAGGGTTTAGAGGGTTTAGGAGTTCAGGGTTTAAAGATAATTGTGCGTACTTAGCCTCCGCATCTCGCCACGAGTGCGATGTGCTTGGGGATTCTGGCCGGGCGAGCACGAATCAAGCCTGTGGAAAAGGGTTGAGGGTTTAGGGTTCCCTAGCTGGCATTCGTGAGAGTCCAGTTGTAAAAAGGGGTTCAGGGAATCCAACCCGAAGCCCTATCTCTGACTCCTATCATCCAATGGCAACTACTAGGGTTGGGAAGTCAAGTTATCACAGCCGCCCCAAAACCGGACGGGTGTCAGCCGTCCCTACAAATCCTTATAAAGCCCTCAAGAAGACCCTAGACAACCGAAAGAGCACCCCTAGATTATAATGACCTGATGATAAGTAGAGCATTGCACTCCAGAAAACCTGAGACAACCGTACAAGCACCGCGATAGAGACGTCATGAGGAAGCCAGCAATCCAAGCAAACCCCAGACAAACTCGTCAGCACCTAAACCCGCAACCCTACACCCTTGAACCCTAAACCCTAAATACCCCCAAGCTCAGGCTCCGAGAAGATCCTCGAGTCCCTGCGCGACGACTTGTCCACCCTTGCCCAGCAGGGCAATGCCACGCGGCCGGCGAAGAAAGGAAGTACGTAGGAGGTTCATTTAGGTTTAGGGGGTGTAGGGTTCGGGATTCTTATTAAAACCAGTACGCATGTGCTCGTTTTTGTTTACGGCTTGGGGCTTGGGCGGTAGTTTCGGGGCTTTAATTTTTGTTTGTTTTTTGGAGGGGTCTTGGGCCTTGGGGAGTGTAGGAGCCGGCATGCCAGCTAGGGGTGATAGATTCACTAGTTTCTAGCGGGTTTGTTTTTTTGTGTTTTTCTTCCGGCTGAGGTGGTTGTTGAAAGGGTAATCAGAGGTTGTCGTCGATCCTAAACTCCCCAAACGCTCGGCCGGTACAACCTCACACTGCCTACGCGTCTACAAACACAACGGGACCAGCGAACCGTCGGACGGAGGCCATGGCCTATCCGATGAAGCACGGCTTAGCCTAAGTTGCCAATACAAGCTTGGGGGGGTTCATTAGTTTAGTTATGGTAGAGTGCGTTTTGGGGGGCATAGGTTCGGTTTGATTGGGCAATGTTGGGGAGTCTGGAGTTGGTACGAAGTCCGCAAGGGTGCAGTCCCTAGACAGCTACGAGGTGTACGATTGTATTCAAAGGGGAACAGCAGGGACCCTTAATGGGGACCCCTACCCTATAATGGACCATATGGGTGGTTTCCAAAATTACGGTCCCTTTTTGGGTCCCTATTATAATACGGCACCTTATATGTATGGCACCCAAAGAGGGACCCTAATGAATGTTGACAACCACCCATATAATGGGTATATAATAGCTATATTAAGGGTATATACCTACGGGTCCTTAGCAAGGGTCCCTCCTTCTACCCTTTAGCCCTAAACCCTAAACCCTGAGCGCCGAAACCCTAAACCCTAAACCCTAGGATGTATCGTCGTTAGTAGTAGCGGCAGCAGAGCGTCCGGGCTCAAAGACAGAAAGCCCAAAGCGTCCAAGTCTGGGAGTTTCCGAAAGTAGGGGACCCTCATATAGTGCCCTCAATAGTAGGATCCTCATTATTTAGGGTTTGGGGTTTAGGGTCCTTATACTGCGAGTTTCGTGGGCGCTGGCCGGCATCTCAGTCCGTGCTGAAACGGGTGATAAGGACCCCAAAATAAGGTACACCGAATTTTTCGGAAACTCCCAAGTCAGAACGTCGTCCGTCCGAAGTTGCCCAGGCCATGGTCGATGCTACGGAGAAGTCGGCGAGTGCACAGGACACTTTATCATGTCTCTCTCTATTTACGTGTGGCTTTCCGTTTTTCTTGCTTCATGGGCTCATAAGAGGTTACAGTACACGGCCTTTTGTTAAACTGCTGTCTATGCATAAATTACATTACGGATCGGTCCCTTAATTTAGTACACAAGTAGTATATACTTATAGGCATCATTAAATGGAGCCTTTTTGTGTAAGGCCTAAGTCCCAAGCGAACACGCTCCGAATGCATGGCCGTAAGTTTGAGGGGGGTCTTGTCCCGACGGCGGCACCTCCACAACAAATGGTGGAGAAGCCTTAATCACAAATAATGCTGAAACCTGTACCTCGAAACTCTAAATCTCGAGGTTGCTATGAGTGTCATGAACCCTCAAGCCCATCTTTCCCCTAAACTCCTAACCGACGCCTGGATTGTCCGAGTGTGCTCGCCGAAACCTTAAAATCCAAGCCACCCTGCCATGAGGGCTCGTCCGTAGGAGGCAAAAAACCCAAGCCAACCCATTGTTCGATCTTGGAGGTTTGTATGTCGGTTGGTGGCGGGCTCGCATGAGGGCTTCCACAATCCTTGTGAAGGGACAGCTTTGCATTGTGAAACCTCAGGGCAACTTAGGGCCTTAGAGTTTGCATTGTATGAAGACTTCGAGTTCAGGTTTCAGGGTTCGCGTGCATGGAAGCCCGGCGCTCCTTTGGAGGAAGAGCGCATGTCAGATGTCCGCCGCCAGAAGCATGTCCGCACTGTTTTGCAGGGCTTCGGGGAGTGGGTTCGTGCCTTAGTGGAATTGGCTGAGGGTTGAGATTTGCTTGAAATTAGTTTTAGCCAGCTATCACAGAAGCCGTCTGAGCTCCTACTCCGAGGTGATCTTAAAAAGCGTCTCAGGACTGAGAGACTGAGCTCGTGCTATCTTTGGCCCAGAGCCCGGCATCCAACTTTGGGAGCGCCAAGCTTTAAGTTCTGAACGAGGAGGGTGGTTGTCAAAATTATGGTCCTTTTTTGGGTACCCTAAATATTAGGTGCCGTATTACAAAAAGGACCCAAAAAGGGACCCTAATTTTGACAACTACCCAGGAACATGATGATCCTCGACCTGCTGACTCAAGCCCAAGAGACCATGCACACCAGCGCCGAGTGCTTTGGTCTGCGTCAGGTGTGCGTATAGACTTTCTTCTGCCCAGAGAATTGGGAGTTTCCGAAAATTGGGGCGACCTTAATAGCAAGGATCCTACTGAGTCCTACTGTTTAGGGTACTAGATTAGGGTCCCTATTTTCGGAAACTCCCAACTGAAGGTTGGAGATGTTGAGGGTGGGGAAGATGAGGGAGAGTTGAGGCTGCAGGGTGCCCCTGGGGGCCTTGGTCATGTTTGGATGGAAAGTGCAGCAGAAAGGGCGATCGGACTGGGCCCATTGTACTATAACAATAACAGTAACAATGATAATAAGGATGGAGGTTTCGGCGTTTGCGCTGCGCGGAGATGAAAACAATGGATTTCCACGCCAAACGTGGGACTGGAGCAGTTTTTAGATCTTTGCAGTATAAGCCGTTCAGCCAGAGCCATTCAGCCGCCCAGGTCTCTTCAGAGCTTCACCCGCTCCGAGATCATGCGCGATTCCGCGGCGCACCTTGGCCGATGATTTGTGTAAGATAGCGATGGCTGAAAGCACGGCGGGTGGATGCCGCTCAGTTCAGGGACCTCTCAGAGCTTGAGCTTGGTTGATTCGACATTCCATACCCTATCCTGTGTTGCCTTGCAACGGGCCGCGAGGAACATGGAGATGCAGATTCGTGATGTGGTCCTGAAACAGATGAACAAGATGCAGGCTCGGGCTGTCGCCGAACACCTAATTTATTGGTGCAATCTTTTTACAGGGTTTAGGGGTGTTTGCGCTGTCGCTCGGCTTCGGCAGAAGATCCCTGGGTATGTCCTCTCCATGCATATCTGCTTTATGTTGATCATGTGGGTGACAACAAAATGTTGGTGAGTTTTGTTGCCCCCCCCTACCCAGCCCAAGCAGCCCCCCTACGGCGCCTTGCCCAAACCCTACTTCACCGCCAACTTTACCTAGTAGAGTGGGTAACCTTTAACCTTCTGTGTTCTATATACATATGGGTGGTTGTCAAAATTATGGTGCCTTTTTTGGGAACCTAATATTTCTGGTACCCAAAATGGGACCATAACTTTTGAAAACCACCCATATTCCTACCACAATTGAAAAGCTTAACCTTTTCCTTACCTTTGGTTAGTAGGGAATGGAGGAATGGGCTACAATAGTAACTACTATTACTACCATTCTTCCATTCCCTACTAACCAAAGGTAAGTTTCTGGGCTAGGGTACTCGGCCCCCACTTGGAGGGTCGGGGGACTTAGTAAGTAGGTAGTAAGTAGACTTATAAGTACCCTAACAGGGACCCTAATTGGGGTTATGGTACTTATAAGTCCCTGAAATAACCAGTTACTAAGTCGCCCGACCCTCCAAGCAACCTTACCTTTCGGAAGCTTCAGGAGGCCTTCTTGGGCGAGGGCGAAGAAGGAGGCAGCTCCTTCAAGGCCGAATTTTTGGAGGGTCTTTGCCAGTCTTTGGGTCTTTTTGGATTCGAAGTTGAAATTTGAGGCTTTAGGATTTGAAGTTGAAATTTTAGGATTTAGGATTTGAAGTTGAAATTTTAGGCTTTAGGATTTGAAGTTGAAGTTCTGTTCGTTTTCTTAACGTGTTTAGGGCTGTGTAGAACCTGCGAGGACGCCGTCACGAACATGGTCGCAAAGTTGGAGGCCTTTCCGGCTCTTGGTTGCTGCCGTCATGTACCCATGATTCTACTATACTACTACTACTACTACTACTACTACTACTACTACTACTACTACTACTACTACTACTACTACTACTACTACTACTACTACTACTACTACTACTACTACTACTACTACTGGGACTACTACTACGACTCCTATTGATTCTTGACGGGCTGCTGGGCCCAGCGTCCAACCTCACCCGCATCTGCCCTACGCAGGAGAGCGCCATGCGCCTCGAAAGCGCCAACTCCGTGAACGCTGGCACTGGCAAGGAGCTGCAAGGGAATAAGGAACCCAGAGACCCCTTTTGCACTTGCAGTACTACATACCACAGATCCGAAGCCTTGGTACAGTAAAGTAGCCTTGATTACACGACTGTTCAAAGATTTTGGGAACCCTGTGACAAGACCCCTAATCCAGCGGTGATGTTGCAGCCAGACGCACCAAGCCCTGTTCCCGACGCCCAAAAGCTTAAAAGACTTATCTAGCTGCTGTAGGTATATACAATATACGTACATGTACATACTGGTTGTAGATTTATAGCAGCCTAAACCCAGCTTCTACCATCACGCTGGGAGTCAGGATCAGAGCGAGGTGACCGAGAGCATTCGCCAGGAGCCACTGTGGACCAGGATTACTTACTGTATTCCCAGATAGCGGACGGTTTCGCACCCTAACCTTCTACGCCCCTTAGGGGTACTTAGAAATAATTTCTAATTTTTTGGTTATTATAATCCCTAAGAAACAGCTAAATTATAGTTTTTGCTAGGGTTCCAAGTTCAGTATAGGCCCGGTCGTCCCCATCATGTGCGAGGGTGGGGCCTCTCGCGCTTTCGGGTGGTAGGGGTTTGAATTCTGGTGTTGATTGTTGAGTACTTGGAGGATCATGGGACTTAGTAAGTAAGGTTATAAGTACCTTAACTGGGGTTATAAGTAGTTTTTTTAGTATAGTTGCCCTAATTATAACCCTAGTTACTAAGTCCCACGTTCCTTTAAGTAACCCTAGGGATCTCAGGACTCATATATTAAGGCTTTTGGGCCCAAAGACCATACTATATCAGGCTCTTGGGCTATTTTGATCCCCGGGGTAAGAAGGCCTCAGGAATTCGTGGATTCGTGAAGGTCAGTGATGATCTTCCCTTATCGCCCGTGTATACTAGTGAATATACTGGTTTACATACCCCGGCCGTGAAACTGCGCGGAGACTGGAAACTACGTGGAGACTGGAGGTTTGGAACTGGTCTTTGAGCGGCCACAGCCAGAAAATTACATTCTGAACCCTAGACCATAAACCACAAGCCCTAAACTGAGAGTCCTTCGTTCTTTTGTTTCTGCATCCCCCGTTAAACGAGATGGCCTTGCTGTCGAGGCACGCCATCCAAGCCTATGCTGAACAAATATCTGGGCCCATTCTTCCATAGTTGCGAGTAGAGCGTATACGGAGATTTCTAGTAGTTTCTTTTTTCCGACCTCTGTTGGCCTCGAGTAGGGGGCAAACAGCCCCTTGTTGCAGGAATTGGCCGCCCTTGCGATGGCACTGTCGCAACAACAGCGTGAGAGCTCGCAAGAGAGCAGCCCGGTTTGGTCGACGGTTTGGGGTTTGGGGTTTAGGGTAAGCAGGTATGTTAAATTGCTTGCACGAGAAGGGGTTCCAATTTTCCTTGCCTCGGTTTCGGGTCTAGGGCGCAAGGTTTAGGGTTCAGAAAGGGTTTGAGGAAAGTTTGGGGTTTCGGTCCTACTGCAGGCTTGTGGAGTTCCCCTTCCTAGTGGTTCTAGTGACAGCATACGCTGCCCCAACTCCCGATTTCAATTATCATGGCCACCTGAGGTTTGCGACTTTCCCCTGCTGTGTGTACTAGACTCTAAAACCACTTGCAAGACAACTCACGGGGTCGTATAAGGTTGACTGAGTTTAGGTATCACATGAGGAAAGCATACGGTTCTCTTTGTATCCCTGTTGCGGTAAGGCATCTTTGCCGTGGATCCTTTTCACTGAACCCCAAGTTGTAAAGTGCAAACACTCCTCTTGCGATGCCAAAAGCTGCAACCCTCAGGTCTGGCACAAGTGAGCGAAGCACTCCGCGTGCAGCTGCTGCCTCTACAGGACAGCCTGCGCTGCTAGGATCGGCGGCCGGGCTTTTCTCACATACACTAGGTGCCGAAGTAATTACCAATACTCTTTGGGGGGCTCCTGATTTAGTTATAGTCTTATGGGTCCCCAAAACCGTATTCTAATAGTTAAGGTCTCTACATTATCTTCGAGGTTGAGGGCCTTCTTTGGGCAGCTATAAAGCAGAAGTCGCTTGTTCGTGCCCGCACCTTCCCCTTTTGAGGGGAGGATCTGGAGGAAACCTAAACCGAACGAACATTCTGATTTACTCATGAACGGCAAGGATTTGCGAAAAGGCCGCAGGTAAGACATGAGTAATTACCACAGCAGCCAACAGGAGCCAATGTGCATCATTTTCCTTGTCAACCTCTGCAGTATACCCTATTCCAATTATTACGGCCCTATATGACGTTGGAGGCGCCGTGTCCTTGCCCACGGACCAAAATTCCGTGATTTCGTGTTCGGCAGCTTCTGTAAGTCATTGTAATAAGATTACTAGGTGAGATCTGCCGTGACTCCAAATTTCAGATAAGACCTCCAAAGTGGCATCCCGAGTCTTCTTCCTTCACAAGAGCCCTACCTTTCAAGACCCATGCAAAATCCCTGGTACCCTAGGAGAGGGTCCTAAGCTGTACCACCCTCAATCCAGTTGCTCACGGTTGAAGGATACCCAATCGCAAGTCTCTGGCGCCTTGGACGCGAAAGTCGCCGAGATTCAGAACACCATGCCCCTTGGTCCTTTCCTGGCTCGCCTTGTTGCGGCTCTTTGAGACAATACATACGTACATACACACGGACATACATGACATACAGCCACAGATTCAGAGCCAATACAAGCCATGTTCTGCTACATCTTGCATAAGCCGGCATAGGCATTTCGTCACAAGAGTTTGGTACAGCAAAGGTGTTTTAGGAGTGGTCCTTATATGAGACATTGCGAATGAACCGCCTTTCAAACGCTTGGTCTTGGGCTTTTACTGCGGGGATCCTCAGTGGGGTTTCTCTCTTCGGGGAGCGTTAGTGCCGAAACCCTATGCACAGGCGGTGGCTTCGGAGTTTCATGCGGCATCGCATAGCAGCGAGATGTCCAGCACTGCAAGACAATGTTCGGCAATCCAGCACAACAGTTTCTGGCCAGAGCAATAGCTTTGCTACAGGTGGTGCATACCATCACCCAGACCCTAAACCCCTAAACCCTAAACCTAGTGTCGAACTTGTAAACCGCCTTAGGACTGAGAACCTGATCCGAGTGGAGATGGGTGCCTCGGCCCAGTGAAGCTCTCCGCGGCGGTGATCATCTACCTTTCACTAAGTGCAGGGGGACGTATTTCGGGTTCATGACTTCAGAGTTTGCTTGTTTTGCTCGGAGCAAGTTCGATAGTGAGTCAGAGCGAGTGAGTGAGAGTAAGTGATGGCCAGTGAGAGTAAGGTAAGGTGTGTGTGTGTGCACGGAGCCAACAAAGAAACTGGCATTTCTTGTTGCTTTGTCTGTGTGCTTGGCCTTGTTGGTAGTTGAAAGTGAGTAGGAGCAACAAATATGAACACGAGTGGGCCGTGGGTTCTGCTCCGCGTGCGGCGCCTCACTTCCGGCTGAAGAGTTGGATGCCTTCCAGCGAGGCTAGCATGCGAAGCAAACAGATGCAAACAGCAACGCGTCAAGGGCATGTGTGGTTTGGGCGGCGCGTGGCCCCAAAGCTTAAAAGCCTTACAGCGGCCGGTTCGAGGTATCGACAAGGTGCTGCAGACAGTGGAGGCTTCAGGTGGCAAGCCGACCCTTTGCTGCAGGGAGTGCAGACACAAACGGGTTGTTGTCAAAATTAGGGTCCCTTTTTGGGTCCTATACGGCACTTTATATTTAGGGTACCCAAAAAGGGACCATAATTTTGACAACCACCCATGTAGAAGAGCTTACGGTGAGTTTCGTTGTTTTCAGGGTTCGGGTTGTCTTGGTTGATGATCGTTTGGTCTGGAAAAGTTTGGGGTTTACGGTCTTTCAGGTTTACTGGGGTTCGGTGCACGCATGGCGCTTAAAGTCCCAAACCCCACACCTTCCAACCGTGTCGCGAAATCACAACCGAGAGAGAAGGTCGAAAGCTAGTCTCTCAAGAGTACCCTCCTTAATCTGATTCTATACAGCAATATCTAACCATTGATATTACGGGAGCTAAGGAGCCAGGGATGATGATAACCTCTATTAGATAAAGAGCTAAAGAGCCAAGGGAACCCCCAAAAACACTGTTAGATAACCTCACATCTTCAAGTGGCCAGTTGAAGGCTCAACAAAGCACTACTTACATAGCCGGGGATACTGATAGCTCATACTATTTCTGGCTAGAGCCACCGCAACGTTCAAGCCGTGCTGCTACGCCCTCTTAAGGTCCTCCTCAAAACCCTGGCCCTAAACCCTAAACCCTAAACTAGGAGGAAAAAAGCCGTAAACCCTACGCCTTCCTGGGTTTCGGGCCTAGGGGTTTAGGGTGGCGTCGGAGGGTCATATATTCTGGCAGCCAGCAAGCCCAGTGTCAAAAAAGGGGTTTAGGGTGACTCCTACATTACAAAATGGAATATGGTTCGATTAATAATACTAAGAATATCAATAATAATAATAATGGTAACAATGAATTAAGGTCCTCCGGTGCCGAGAAGAAGGGCTCGCGAGCGGCCGACCGCGGCTGAAGACAGCGAGGTATGGGTCTGCTTAGAGGATCATGGGGCTTAGTAAGTGGGGTTATACATACGGTAACTATACTTATAAGTACTTATAACCCCAAATTCAGGCACTTAGAATCTTACTTACTAAGTCCCATGATCCTCCAAGTGGGGATTTCTTTCATCTAGAGGAGATCGGGAGACGGGAATTTAGGTTTTTTTGGGGTTTTAGGGGTTTAGTGTTTTAGCGGTTTAGGGGTTTAGGGGTTTAGCGGTATGGTGTACAAGGGGTTTTGGGGTTTAGGGTTGAAACTAAGAGTCAGAGCGTGGGCAGACCTCGCTGGCTCATGCAAAAAGGGTTGACACTAAGAGCCCAGCTGCAAAACGGGCTTCAGGGTTTAGGTGTTTGGGGTTCAGGCCTGGATTTTTTAAATGGTTCTGCACGGTTTACTGGAAGCTACCAGGGCATTCTTATTTATAAGAATTAGAGCAGGATTTTGGTTGTATTGTGGGGACACCAAAGGGATACTGTTGCGAATGTTGCAAACAAAGGGGGTTTAGGGTTAATGGTTGTTAATACACGGTTGCATCCCTTGTCAAACGAGAAGGCCCTGCTGTTGAGGTGTGTTCGCTGGCACATCATCCAAGCCCATGCTGAAAGGATTAACACACGCTCGTAGATTCATTGTTTCTTGCCTATCCTGCTTCTGTGTTGTGGTTTCTTTGCCTGCGGGATAAGCATGAACGACTTGTTTGTTGCACGGTTTTCCTGTTCTTGCAATCTTATCCAAAGATTCCATCAAGCTGGCAAGTATTCCTTCCGAAGACTGCCCCCTAAACCTCAGGCTGCATAGCGAGATCTCAAGAAGGCTACAAGTAGGAGAACTCTCGCACTGATTCTGCGTTCTTGTTAAAGGAGTCACTTTAAGCTACCATTTTTGTGATCTATAGTAAAATATGGTTTCTTTATTATGGTAACTTAAATGGGTGGTTGTCAATATTACGGTCCGTATTGGAGTCCTTATTACAATACGGCACCTAGTATTTAAGGTGCCCCCAAAAGGGACCATAATTCTGACAACCACCCAAATTAAACTCCTTCACAAGAACCTCGACCCTAAACCCTTATAGAACCCTTGAAGGAACCCCAAATTATGGTAAGTTATAATGAGAACCCAGGATTGCAAAGCTAAGCCCGAGAAACAAAGGCGATGCCAACCCAGAGAGCCCAATACCCCTTAATTAAGGAATATGGCTTAAATTATAAGGGGCCTGATATTATGATTTACGCTACATTCCTTAAGTAAGGGGTCTTGGGCTCTCTGGGAAGAGGCGGATGCTTGGGCCGTTGAGGCCTGCAGACGTCGAATGCTAGCCTTGTTTTTAACAGAGGACGATACCGCCATCTACATTTCTCAGGATATGGGAGTTTCCGCAAATTAGGGGTACCTTATTTTGGGGTCATTTTGGGGGTCCCCTATTTTCGGAAAGCCCAATATAGTGTCCTTCAGATGTGGTTGTTCTGTTTTGCGTTGCGTTTCGGTATGCGTCCAACCTCACGGGGCCTGCTTCGACTCGCGCGAATTGTTTTGCCAAAGGCAAAGAGAACATGTTGGTTCTTACGGCTCGTGCTGCAGCGAAGGAGCTGCGCCTTTCGAGACGTTTTTGTAGGTTGCTACAAGTTCCCTCGGCAGGAAAGAACTTCGGTATATGCATGCTCCCTTGAGCCGTCCGTATACTTTTCCTGCCTACCACGTTTGCACAGACCGTTTGTCCTGGGAGGCTGGCGCGCATGTCACGTTCAGTGTATGTGGTTCTCAACATTGCTTGATTTCTGAATTGCACCTGCTACCTCCCTAGCGACGGTTGTGTCACGCTCTTCGCACTTACGCTGCCTAAAGGCAATCAGTGCTACTTCCCATCGCAGGTGTACGGCATTAGTTATCGGTTCGCAGTTTAGGCTGTATATGCTTGAAAGTGTCAGCAACGGTAGTGCTTAAAACCCGCTAGCGCCAAGAGGCAGTGATATAAGGGCGTAAACACTTACCCATACTATTTTGATGGTTCATTGAATTTTAGTGTACTTATAGTAAGAAGGAGCCCAAAGCCTTGTTCTAATTATTATGCTATTTCGAGGTAGCTGGTCGAGGAGCTAGGCAGCCAGTGCCAGGAGGGTAGTCTGCTCGCCTGCCTGATGAGGGATAGTAGCCTGTGGGAGTGTGAGAAGCACAGCGTTCGCCTCTACAAGGCGTGCCACTTTGTATCAAGGACGAAAGGAGGGAATCTCCTGAAATCCTCCGAAACCGTTTGCCGCAGCTGGCGCAAAACCCATTTTGAACGTCTGCAAATGCACGAGGACTCCGCGTTTTGACGTCAAGCATGCATGGGATCAGCAAGCATGCTGTCTCAAGCAGCGCCGGCTTTCGTGACAAGATGCGGTGTCCGTGATGGCGCCGGTTGCTGAGAGCTGAATTCCCGTTCTTTTTGGCGGGGGGCTCGCCCCGAAAGGTTGGTTCCCTTGCAGATGTTGCCCATGCTGAGCAGAGAAGAATTTGAATTCGCTATTCTCCCAGGTGCCCGGACTTGAGTCGGCTGTGCCGGCATCAGATGTGCAAGTCGGGCGTCCTGGGTCGGATCTTTCCAGCCTCTTCCAAAAGAAAGCATCCTTGTACATTCTACTTCCTGCTCGACCTGAGGGTGTCTAAGCATGCCGACCCCGAGGATCGCAGATCCATTGTTACGGTTATGTAGCTCCCATCGAGTTTATTTTTTAAATCGCCAGCTTTGGTGGCCATGTCATTAATATTGCTTTTGCGTGTATTGCAGGCAATATAAGCATAGGTACAGTAGAGATTCGGGTACAGCTGGTTAGCATTATCGGTTGTACAAAGATGCACCTAGGGGCAGACACATGCATTTACCGCCCAACAAGGCCGACAGGCAGAGACAGGCAGAGACAGGCGGACAGGCAGACAGGCAGACAGGTCAGGTCGAGTTTCACAAACAAACAGACTCGGACAACGGCGTAGTGCTGCAGGCAAGCGAGACAGCTAGACAGGCAGGTAGGCAGCAGGCACTCAGGCAGCCAGACGGCCGAAGAACCTTACAAAATGCTTGGCTCCTTTGGTATAGAGAATCCTCAACCTGCGACTTCCTCGGGGCGCATGCAGAGACCCTGAAATCGGCGACTTGCACGGCAAGGAGCCACCAGAGGAGCCTGCGTATGGAGTCCTCCCAAAGACGTGCTCGCGGCTTCAGGGTTCATGTTGTTTTGAGGTTCGGTTTAGGGCAGAGTTTGGGTTCAAACAGGCGGGGGTCTATAAGAGTCTAGTGCTGGGGACTGCGGTGTTTGGCATGCTTTCCATGCGTCTGCAAAAGCTTGGAACCGCGTGGGTTTTGAGCAGAAGGGTGTCCTTCTAGTAGAGTAGCTAACCTTTAACCGTTTTGGGGGTAGTATAGTCGCTATATTATTCTTATATAACCAAAAGGTTAACCTTTAGTTCCCCATGATACCCGACAAGTAGGGTTTGGGTTTCCGGTCGAGCTTTGCTGGAGTTTCGGGGTTGTGCTTTCGCCTGGTGCCTAGAGCCTGGGTTTTAGGAGGCTGAGGGACCGTCGGGGGATGAATTCAAGCGTTTATGACTTCTAGTGTTGACAATGATAATACTAGTGATGGTAGTAGTAGTCGTAGTCGTGGTAGTCGTGGTAGTCGTAGTCGTCGTAGTCGTAGTAGTCGTAGTAGCAGTAGCAGTCGCAGTAGCAGTAGCAGTAGCAGGAGCAGGAGCAGGAGCAGGAGTAGGAGTAGTAGTAGTAGTAGTAGTAGTAGTAGTAGTAGTAGTAGTAGTAGTAGTAGTAGTAGTAGTAGTAGTAGTATCCGTTATGGCCCTGGTGGTGGTCATAGCGACAGAATTGTAGGGTTGTTGTCATCATAATTTTTTCTTGTATCAACGCCTATTTAAGAGAATCTGTTGAGCACTGCGTCATGAGATTCGCTGGGCCTTCAGAGAATCGGCAAGCTTTGCCTGGAGATCCTTGATGTCCTTCTGGGTCGCCGTGATCTCTTTCCTTTTCTCCTCCATGTCCTCCCCAGCCGCCTTCAGATCTATGCTTTCTACGGCGAGAGCTTCTGGCGCGCGAGAGGCGTCGGGCCGGCTGGGCCGGGAGGGGTGAGGGTAATATAGGGGCCTCAACAATTACCTCTACTATTGTGGGGGTTCCTCAAATTAGAGTACAATGGGTCCCAAAACCCTCCTATATTAAAAGTTCTAGGGTTTGAGATTTCAAAAAAAAGCCTTAGCCTGAAGACGACTCTAAAGCTTAAGCCCGCCAGGATTGCAGGGAGAGGATTTTCTCAAATTCCCCACTGCCAATTTAAATTTGAGCTCCCAACTAGACAGCTAGACAAGAAATAGGGTTTAGAATTTAGAAGTTAGGGTCTAGAGTATAGGGTCTAGTTATACATGAGAGGGTCCAGCCAACCCCACTGCTTCAGTCAGAAGCGCCTGAGCACCCTATTAACGTCAGACCCTTGTGCACAAAGACCAAGCTCCATTTTGACGTACTTCGGGATGCTTTGCCTCACCATCTGCAGCCCCGCAAGCATCCACAACTCAGGAGCTTGGTTTAAGGATCTGACCCTAAACCCTAAACCCAAGGTGCCAGTCCAGTGCGAGTGTGCGAGTCGATACCCGATGTATAGGGTTCAGGCGATCTAGAGTGAAGCGCACAAGGTTTATCGGTTCTGGTGTCCGGACCTGAAACTGTTTCAACCCTGAGTCTCCCGCTTCCGAGGAAAGAATATACAACAGAAACGCGCGTGGGCACGGGGTGTGCGTGCAAATATTTCTGTGCGTATGTATGCACAGCTAAGCGTGTCCGGGGCTCACCACCCGAACCTACCAACTGCCTGGTATCATTGTGATTCCGAAGAGGCAACTTTACGGACCAAAATGACCTTCAAACATACGGACCAGATGCCCTTATACTTCGAATCCCCATGTTATATACATATATATATGTATATTAATTATATGGTGATAGACCTCAAACCCTTTTGATCGTGCCTTTCGGTCTTGAGGATGCCCGCGGGCCTCGGGTCGTACAATCCCAGCCTGTCATGCTACATGGGAGTTTCCGAAAATAGGGGAGTACCCTAAATAGTAGGATCCTTATTTTAAGGGCCCAAAACTAAGGTACCCCTAATTCTCGGAAACTCCCACATGAACAGCTCTCAGTTGTTACCCATGGAGCCCACGTGCCAGTAGCCCTGAACCTTCAAGTTTTGATTTCAAGTCAAGGGGGATGATGGTGTTTGTGTGGGATTTAGAGCTTGTCTTCGGTGCGGATGCGCCGTGTGCAGGTCTTCAGGCAGCGCGATGACAAGTTTCAACAGATGTGGGCGACCCAGAGGTCGAAATTTGCGGCAATTGGCGGATTGTAAACCCTAAACCCTAAACCCTAAACCCTAAACCCTAAACCCTAAACCCTAAACCCTAAACCGTGCCGACTCCTCAACCACCTCTCCACACCCTCCAAGCCTCTAGGCCAAACCCGTGAATCCAAGAATCCCCAAACCCTCCATCCTGAAAAACACGCCTCTGTCAATCCCTATAAACACAAGTAGCTGCAAACCCTGAAAAGCCCCAAGCCCCAAGGAATAATCACGCGGAACATTCATATTCGTGATATGTGTAGCAGAGAGGAGAAGACACAGCTAGAGGGCTCGACATGGACAAGCAGGGAAGATGAGAGTTATTTCTCAGTCATATGTTGTCAAGGCATTGCCACTCTTACAACTAGTGCGCGTCTGTGTGAGCATCATGGGCACCGCCGAACAGCAGTTCGAAAACGAGTGCAGAATCATTTTTCTCGCCAGACACCCACATAAGGCTCAGGCAGGAGGATCTTGTGGTCGGTAGCGATTGGTGCTAAGAGGACTTTGTCTTGGCCAAAGCGTATGCATCCGCTGCCACCGGCTTGCATCAACAGCTGCATCTTTACTTATACATCTCTTTAGCTTACATAAGACGCCCTAGACCTCCGAGTTTTGCTCACCACGGCAGATCTCCGGCCAGAAATCCCTCTCTCTCTCTCTCTCTCTCTCTCTCTCTCTCTCTCTCTCTCTCTCTCTCTCTCTCTCTCTCTCTCTCGCTCTCTCTCTCTATATATATATATATATACACACTCGCATACACACAACGCACACAGGTATCTGTATATACTTTGAAAGTTCATATACGCACACATATACATATGCATATTATATATATATATATATATATGTATGTATGTATACATTTGATATTGTATGCCTGTAAGGTCTCTACCAGTCTTGGTAGCCTTAGCAGCACGTAGTTCTTGATTGATGCATGGTCACGGTTTCGGTAGAGCAGACATGGGGAGTTTTGGGATGCTCAAAGTTTGGAGCCTGCGATCTTGGTGAGAAAACCTGAGAACGTGTTGCGACGACCTTTGTCAGTTGTAGTGAAGCCACACGTTTTCAACAGCGCGCTATGTGTAAACCGCATAAAACTTCCTAGAAACTTGCACACTGCTGGGTAAACCGATATCTGGAAAGCCATGGCTTCGGCAGAGCCGGATGACCTTCCGGCAGAGCAGCTGGAGGACCTTGGGCGACCGGGTTTCTTTGAGCCGAGCGAAGTGCGATGCAAGCCCAAGGCTCTTAAACCACAGGCCCCAGAGCAGTTCGCAGGATTTGATAGTCTGACAGTCGTCGTAAACGAAGCGACAAACCAGGTCATTGCAGGATGCACAAGTGTTACTCCAGGACCCCAAACCCTAACTAGGTCGCAGCGCAGGTGTGGGCGGACAGAATGCCATAACGCCCTAACCCCTAAACCCAAACCCAGACCTCGTCTGGCAAGTCCGAGTTGCGAAAGCGTAAACCCAAGCCCCAAGCCCGCTCCACAAACCCAAGCTCCAAGCCCTGGTAGCTTCAAACCCCTACAGTAGAAGCCAGAAAGTTGGAATATCATTATCGTAACCCCTTTATCGTAAATTACAGGGGATCCTACCATAGGGAACCCCCCAAACCACGAAAGTTACCCTGCAATGCGGCTTTGGTCCTTGCTAGGTAGGAGGGCAAAAGAACCCCGAAAACCCAAAGCCCTAAACCCGAAAACTCCCAAAAGCCAGTCCTGGAAGAGTAGCCATAAGTCCTTAACCCTAAACCCTGAACCTGCAGGCGGAAAAGAGCCCATAAACAAACAAAAACTGAACCCCTAAGCCCCTAGGACCCAGAGTAGGCCCTTATTCCCTTTTTTAGGGGTTCATGTTCCCTTATAAGCCCCTTCAAACCAAAAAGGGCACCCTTTTTATGCCTAGGTTACTCTTGGGTCTAAGCCCTAAAGACCCCTAAGCCCTAACGACCCCAAGCCCTGGAAGAGGACATGCTTTCCGAGCTGCTGGGCAAGTACCAGGATGCGGGATTCCAGGGCGCCTTGAAGCAGGCGACTGATCTACAGTACCTGAAGGCTCCAAAGTAGTTCCTTTTTGGGGTTCATATATACAATTATAGAAGGTAATCCCAAAAAGGAACTACTATGGAGCCTCTGGGTAAGCCCCATAAAGTTGGAAACCGGATTAAGGTCAAATAGTGCTGGGATTCCCTATATACTACTCTTAAGGATTGAGACTATTGGGTTTCCAGCTTTTCGGCTTCTACTGTAAGGACGCCGACCCTGAGTCATACAAGAATACTATGTAAGATAAGTTAAGTGGAATTAACTAAGCGAAGAGACAAGTATATATGTGTTTATATATATATATATGTGTGTGTAGATATGTAGACTGAGGCTTCTGGGCTTCTGAAATTTGGAGAGCAGGTTTTCTGGGCTTCTGAAATTTGGAGAGCAGGTTTGCACGGCGGTTCATGTGCTTACGCCGATCGCTGGAGAATCGCTCCTGCGGCGGCTGACTGAGGTTTGGCTCCTCCTGTCTTCATTTGGGAGTTTCCGAAAATTAAGGGTACCTTATTTTGGGGGTCCTTATAATAAGGGTCCTACTATTGAGGGTACTAGATTAGGGTCCCCTGTTTTCGGAAACTCCCATTTCTACTTCAGCAGTCCGCATCATTGTTGCTGAGATCAGCTTTATCACAGCTGGGCAAGCGCAAGTTCAAGAATCCACCGTCTTGAGACAATCTCAACCCCACATAACTCCCACCACTCCTCAACAAATCCAAACTCACCTTACATGAGTCCCATCACCTAAAGTTTACAGTTTACACACTGTGTACATCTCGAAGGCGTACGCGGACTGCGTGCGCAAGCGCCTGGGTCTGCAGGCCTTGCCATTGTTTGGGTCCATCTGGAGTAGTTGGAGGATCAGGGGATTTAGTAAGTATGGTTATAAGTACAATAATTGGGGTTACAACCGTATCTATAGCCCCACTTGCTAAGTCCATGATCCTGCAAGTAGTCGGCACTCCTGCGAAGAGCTCAGGGTCTTGACCTAGAGATCGTTTCCGACTATGCGAAGGCAGAACACCAGATCATCTTGCTTGCCACCGGCAATACAGCACCAGCACCATCCTGATCGCGTCGTCATCAACAGTATCACAATCACCACTACCACTACCGCCATCACCACCACCACCCCTCAACACCATCAGTCATCACAGCGGCCAGCATCTTCAACACGTTCCACACCGTCGCAATCGTTCTCTCCGCCCATCATCCTAAACCCACACCCAGTTGCCTTGCAACATCGTCATTCTCTCCTGAAGTCCATTCATGGCCGGAAAAGCTTCAAGCCTCCGCAATGAAGCATCGCGTTCAGGCGGCCCTGGGACCCTTGGTACTGGAGGTGCAGAAGCCGGTGCTGGACACCTCGCACACGGTTTATTTTTGTTTTGAGGTTCTTCTCCTCGTTGCTTCGAACGGTTCGCACTTGCAGTCATGCTGCACCGGCATGTTCCGGGGATTTTTTGGAGAGAAAGGTCCGACTGGGCTTGACTGCATCATCATGTACTGACCAGGCGTGCATGATGCATGACGATGCAGGTGTTTGAAGCGAGTGGTCACGTACTATGCCTCAATAATCCAATAATTACCTATACTATTTTGGGGTGCCTCATTATATTTCTAGTACATTGAGCTCCAAGACCCTACTCTAGTTACAAAGGCATATTAAGGCCCCTGTATTGTCCTTCAAGCTCCAAGCGCCAGAGACCGAGGAGAAATATGGTTTGCCCCCGGACGCCCGTGGTGTGGACTTGATGAAGCACGCGGTCCAACGACGCAACTAGGATGTCAAATGCATAACATGCATGATGACGCATGCATCCGCGCAAACAAATTTACATACACAAGCATTGATGTGTGGCCCGATCTGTACTTCAGTACTTGCAATGTGGTCAAGCACATCACCATTCTATTGGCGCCCGGGACCTAGTGTTTGCTAGCGGTTCACACAGCTCAAGCGGAGTCCGAGGTTCTCCGTCAACCCCGGTTTCTTAGCATATCTTGTGTCTCATCGTGTTTCCCTTTTTCGGACGGTGGGTACCACACCGAAGACATCCGCAGACTTGTTTTCGAGACATTCGCTTGCATGGGTTTCCCTTGTTTTAGACCCTTGGCACTCCCTATACAAGCTAGTGAATTACTTTAAACTATACGCCCGTGCCTTTTCCTAACGGAAGCAACGCGTCTCAACCTGAACCCTTGGAGTTTCCAAGCCCCGGGGCACGTCGCCCAACGAAGGTATCTGCGAGGGATCCGACAAGCTGGAGGATCTCGCAAACGCAGCACGTAAGGCCACGATGGGTGTACAGCACCTTTCAGGGAGTATCGGGGCCTGTGTCCTGAAGTGAGGGTCCTGATTGCCGGATGTTTGGAACAGCCTCAACCAAGATTAAACCCTGAACGTTCGAAACTCGAAACCCTTAAGCCTGAACGGTTCAACGTTGGACAGTTCGGGTCAAACCCGAATAGCGCACAACCCAGCACGGCATACTGAAAGCTTGAAGCTCAAAAACGCAGAAGCGTTTACATTCCCACTTACATGTCTGCGCGGAGTTGCTGTTTATGGGCGTGCTCAGATATCGCGGCTCAGGGCCTAATCGTGCAGTCATAAGTGGATGGTACAGACGGTGCTAGGACCTAGGAGTGGTGAAGATCACAGATAAGAACCAGGCAAGGATGGCGGTCAAGGTGGTGCAACAGCAGCACGGTGCGGTAGCAACAGCCAGCAGTTTGTGCAGCACAGTGACTTCAATGAACAGTCATTCGTAGCAGCAGGACGCAGACAGCATCGGATCGACAGGTAAGTTGCTTGATTTGTGCCTTTGCTGCTGTAGGCCAGCCAATCGCTAGATCATTAGACCTGGTGCCAGTCCTGCCTTGCTGACTACCCCCATCAACCCTTGCTGCCGACAACCAGCTCCACAACAACAGTAGAGAGCTATAATATAGCAGAACATACTTAATATAGTAGAACATACTATAATTCAACATACAGTAACATGATATAACATAACCTAGCAGCTAGCATAATATGACATACTATAGTGTATTTTGTGTTATAGTATACTATGATATAACATAGTACAGGCCTTGGGCATCGAGCCGCTGCCCGAACGCCACTCTACTGCGGAAGCCCAGCTGGCGAGGGGCGCGGACGAGACGGCACTGTGACGAATTAGGGCATGTCTAGGTAGGGCTTTGGGACGTTTTATATTTGCTCTTATTGGGCTTAAGAGGATCTTACCTACTAATGTTTCTCCAACTCTTTAAAAGCACCTCCTAGATGTAGTTTTCGGGATTTAGGGTTGCAAGTTCCGGAGGCGCGGTCGGCACCTCAGTCCGTGCTGAAAAGGGTTCGAATTCGGGCTTGTAGTTTTGGGTGGTTGAAGGATACTGTTTCGGTTGTCAGGGTTGCTGAGGAGACAAGCGAATAGAACTGTGTGCATGGAGCTTCCCCGACTGTTTTGTCCTATATACCCTAAGGCTCCAAAGTAGTTCCTTTCTGGGGTTCATATACAGAATCCTATAAGGTGATCCCAAAAAGGAACTACTATGGAGCCTCTGGGTACATCCTTCTTTCGGTATGCATCTCCTAACACTTTTTATTCAGCTGCTTGGAGCCAACGCAAGCCTGTAGGGAGAGGCCAGCGCAGGGGCTAGCGAAGGGCTTCTACTTGAAGGCAGGCGAACCTGGACTAGGCTTTCCATTAACTTAGATGCACAAGCCAGTTTGCAGTATGTTCCATATGTTCCAGACTGAAAGCTTCCCCACAACAGGTTTGTGCGGTTCTCGATGCGCCTGACCCTTCGACAACTCCAGGCCGCCAAGTTCTCGGGCGATGCTGAGATGCAAAAGCAGCTGCGGGATCAGTGCATGAAGTGGCATGGCTGCAGCATGAGCATTTTATGAATGGCATGGTCGCCACTGGGCAGAAAATTTTCGTTCTACCGGTCAATACTGGAGCCACTGCTCTTCTCGATTGCTTCGGTACTCCTGTCTTTTCAGGATGGTCGAGTCCGCGACGGCAAAAGGCCCGACACATAGACACAGACTCAGACACGCAGCGACGTATACGTACATACACAAGCAGAGAGACGCATATCGTAGGTGTGTTGCAAGTTCGAATGCCGGGGGTGGTGTTTCACAGCTTGGGACGTCCTATGAACAACGGACAGAATGTAGGAACCTGGTTAAGAAACCTTGGACCTTTATTAGGGTTCCTTATATGAAGGATTTGGGGTTGTAGGACCAGGGTTTCTTAATCAGGCTCCTACATGATGTCTAGGAATTCGGCACCCAAACATACAGACCCAAGGTTTCTCTACGAATCCTACTATGTTGGGGTTATAGGCCCAAGGTTTCTTAATCGGGTTCCTACATTGTTATTATTATAGTACCCTTATAGATCCCTTAGAGTAACCGTTATAAGACCCGCTTACAGGAACCCTTAGGCCCAGGGTTTCTTAGTCAGGTTCCTACATTAGGGTTTAACAGGAGCTTAGGAGGCTTCACGAGGGCAGGAGGTATGTTTCCTTGAGCTCGGGTCATGACGATTTAGGGTTTTGGGTTTATCGGTTTTTGTTTGTTCATACTGGCTTGTGGTATGAGCAGTCTATAGGCCCCTTAGGAATTTGTAGCTTTTTTTGTTCATATAGAACCCACGAGAATAATTACACTAATTATGGTTATTATGGTTCTCAGGGTGGTACGGGCAGTGCGGTGACACATGTTTACGCACAACCTATTCCGAGCAAGTCATGACAGAAACAGTGGCTAAAACCTAAAAACGGAAGCAGCAGCAACAAAGTATAGACACGTACCCCTCTACAGAACATCGATTTGATTGTGGAGCGCTTGCTGGTGCTTCGACGTCGCTTGTGGACCCACCGTGCCAAATTCCAAATCCCAAAGGCGAGGTTTAAGGCTTTTGGGGGGCCCTTAAAAGTAGGGACCCTTAATACGGACCCCTAGGCATATACCCATAATATAGCTAGTATATACCCATTATATAGCCCATTATAGGGCAGGGGTCCCCATTAAGGGTCCCTCCTTTTCCCCTTTGATCTAAACCATCTCCTTCTTGTGGCCATGGCCAGGCTCCGTTCCGGCTGCATCTGCGGCTTTCCTGTACCTTTGCAGCATTTGCGACGCGTCTTGTTCCGCCGGTTGAAACACTGTTTTCTATAGGGGTCCAAATAATTACCAATACTATTGTGGGGATTCCTTTCCTTAGTAGTAGAATATACCCCAAAACCACTATTCTAATTATCAAGGCCCCTAAATTACAGCAATTGCTTCGGCCCCCTTGGGCTCTAGGCCCAGCAGACTCGGGTTCCTACTGTGAGTGCTGGCACCCTAACGGTTTCGGGTTTAGGGGCAGTGCGGGTCGTAGACTGGCTAGACTTGAGTCCAGTGGCAAGAAGGAGCTTCTTGTCCACCCGGCAATACTGGCTTCATCCTTGCGAAGGCTAGGTGTTTGTTCGTTTGCTTCCTCGCTTCTGACCCTCACGCACCATGATGAAGCATCGTGGGACATGCTAAGGTTAAACAGGGGGGCAAAAGCCGTAAACCGTTTGGATCGTTCAAGTTGTGAGCGCCGTGGCCTTAACAAAACCTCTTATTGACCCTAAACTCCCTGCCTGCCCTGAGCGAGTGTGCGAGCCGGAACCCCCTGCCCCCACGGAAGCATCAGTCGTCCGTTCCAACAGCCTTGCATCATAGCGAAGGGGCGGCGGAGCTTCAGGAGACTGAGTGTCCCAGAGATCCCAATACTACCTCAGTACACTTTAGTTCAGGAGTTCTTAGTTAATGGCTTTCTGGGAAGTACGCTTACAAGCAAGCTGTAGACTACGAGGGTGATTGTCTGCTGAGAGCATACTAACCATCCTGGAAAACAACAGGGCTGCACAGTCGTGACGCAGACGGCTCAGGCAAGAGCTGTTGACGGACGATGTGGCGTGGCTTCAATCTGCCGGCTTCGGGTGTTTACTAAACCCTAAACCCTAAACCGTTTGCGATAAGAGTCTATTCTGCGGGGCTGAGGGTTTACCCTAGGCCGAAAGCCTTCAGAGTCGAAACGAAGAGTTTTCAACCGCACCCCCAAGTCTTAAACCGAATCCCCCCAAAAGATATGGGGGTTTCCGAATATAGGGGGCCCTAATATAGTACCCTAAATAGTAGGATCCTCACTGTAAGGACCACAAAATATAGTACTCCTGTTTTCGGAAACTCCCATTTTAGACCCGGAGCCTAAACTCTTCTATTTAAATACCGCGCGAGTCCAGGTTCAAAAGACTCCCATCCCAGCCGCTCTGTGCATCTTCAGGACAGGCCCCAGGTTCGAAGCTTGAGAGTTTCAAGAGGGGTTTATGTGAGGCTTACCTTAACCCTGAAGGACCTACCTTTGTACGGGCTTATATAAGGAAACCATAATAAGGAACCCTAAAAAGGTAGGTTATTCAGGGTTAAGGTAGGGCTTTGGTCTGAAGGTCTCCAAGTTTTTTTTACTCGTACGATAAAATCAGCCCTTCGGCGCGAGGATGGCCCAGATGGGAATCCATGTGGATTTGCTGCGCTGTCGGCAACTGCCGAGTGAAGTCCCGCTGCTGGAGCAGGCACTGTAATAATATAGGGGGTGTAAAGTACTAGTATTGCCTTGCAGTTCCGATGCTATTGTACCATAACGTGCCCCAGCCCAGACCCTTATTCTAATTATCAACTTAAACTATTAAGCCGCCTCTTTTGGTTTAGCTTTGCTGCTGAGGGTTGCGGGATGCCAGCAGCCGAAACCGCCAACCCTTACTGACTTAATGCGCCAAGCCATGTCAGAAATAGCTACTCCAGCTTTCACGAGTCGCTTTGACAGGCACCTACGAAGGAGGAGTTCTTCCGACAGTATGTGCTCAGAGGGGCACCTGTTGCGGCTGGGAGGCATTCAGTGATTCCGGCATGGGCACTACATGGCACTACCTACAAAACCCCATGTCTCCAGACTGTGGAAACCGCAGACCCGAAAGCCCAAGAACCCTGCACCAATTATGGAAGACTTGGAGTACCCAGACCCTACTGTGAGGCCTCTGAATAGAGGGACCATTTACGACATTTTACAACCGCGCCCAGGTCCTCCGCGGAGCCTTCCGTGCCGAGCACTTCGCCCCTGCTGCGGCTTTTGCCGACTTCTCCAAACTGCGAGCAAAATGCGGCCATCGCCGGGCTGCCTTTCGTGTATTATGACGCTTTTTGTGGATGGAGTGGGGGAGGTTGGGGGAATTGGGGGCTTTGCTGCTGAGGATCGTTGGGGGCTTGAGGGCTTCAAAATTTAGAGCTTCGTCGTTGAGGGCTGAAGATTTATAAGCACCGGGCACATGACAGCGCCCTGGCTCAAAAGGCTCTTGGCCGAGGGGTAACCCTTGGATGTTGGATCCCTTCTGACGAAAGCCTGGCAAGAAATTCAAGGAAGACTTCTCAGATCAAGGCTTTTTTGGGGTGGCTTTAGCACTTGGAACTGGTGACCTGCATTGGACCACCAAGGTCTTGGTCAAGAGCTTGGGTTTCAAGGACGAAGACGGCCGGGCACAATTCATGACGGACCCGGCCGCGCGACCGCATGAGCTTGAAGCTGATGTGGGAGTTTCCGACAATTGGGGGTACCGTATCTTGGGTGGTCCCCTATTTTCGGAAACCCCCAGATGTGTTTGCCAAGGGTGTTCTGGAGGCAGCTGTCAAAGGTGACATCTATCGTCTACCCGGGCAAGTTTCAGACTCGTGAACCCTTGTTGGAACACTCTCAGCGCCTAGGTGTTTCGAGTTGCACGTCACTCATGATACGATGTGAGACTAGATTCCTGTTGTTGTGGCAGACCTATTCCCTTCAAACGTTCGTGCCAAGGGTCCCGCAAGTTGTTAAAGGTTCCTTGATTGGTGTCCTCTAAAGGTTCTGTTCAAGCTTCCTTAAGCGGTTCCTGTAAGGGTGCTCATAGTAGTTTTTACAGGGTCCAAAACCCTTCAATGGTTCCGAAACTTCAGACATCGATCCTTTCCTTTCAATGCCGGCCGGAACTGGGACCTAAACCCTACGCGCTGCAGAATCCTTGCAGTGTTCCCTATGCCTGTACAGCCTTGAACAAGCCTCTGGAACTCCGAAGGACACCTTGTCAACTCGGAGAAACCCTTATACGACCTTCACAGAAGGCTCTAGAACCCCTCTACAGCCTAGGCGCCTCTCCAACGTACCCAAACAAGCACATAAGCATCAGCTGTTGCGACCTATCCGCCTTGCGGGAATATTATTCTAAGAAAGCGTATGTTTCGATAGTTTCTTGGGCTCCCGGAAAACCTAGATCTAGACCATTCTAGACCCTAACCGTCAGAAAAGCCCTGTAACTCTGATCCCCAACTCTGAACTCCAAACCAACCCTGATAAAATCCTGAACCCTTCAAGGAACCCTATAGTTGGCCCTAAAGGGCCTAAACCCTAAACCCCTTCTAAAGGGGTCGAATTAGCTCGCCTCAATGATGCTTCCGTAGGTCGTACCCACGTGCAGACGGAAAAGAGCCTTCAAAAAAAAACCTTGTAAAGGAAGAAGACGCTCAGGAGCTGAAGCTTCCTTTTGCCGCCTATCTGGAGGCCGTGGAGGCACCTTTAGAGACCAGGGGACGATCCCCAGGAGGGCTTAGGGTTCCGGGTTTAGGGTCTTACCCCCCCCTTGGCTCAGGGAATGGGGAACCCTAAACCCTCAACAGGGAACTCAGACATGCCCGGAGCACAAGAGGCCCTGGAGGCTGAGCCAAGGCGTAAAACAGGGTCTAAGCGTGACGTGCAGTTTTGGGGCTGCCGAGGTTTAGGGTTTAGGGTTTAGGGCGGCACGAGTACAAGCTCATGGTTCACGTGCCTCAAGTCCGTAATAAATACGGGGGTTGACTGAATTTGATTTACTGCATGCCTCTATAGCCACTATATGCACCCAATCGCTTTTCTAAGACTTGAAGCCCCTCTAACAGCCAACTTGGCGGGGCACTGAGAGATCGAAATTTGGGTTTGCTCTAAATCAACGTTCGGAGCAGCCGCAAGAAAAAACGACCGCCCAGATTCACAATCCCAACCGACAAAATCTCAATCATGTTGTTCACGACTCCCCTAGGCGGGATTACCAAAAGGGCCTTGATAATTACCCATTCTAATTTGGAGGTATGGCACGGCAGAGAGAGAGAGAGAGAGAGAGAGAGAGAGCGAGAGAGAGAGAGCGAGAATTTAGGGTTCCTTGCTCTAGTTGAAGCATAACGGGCCCCAAAACCTTGTTCTAAAGACTGAGGCCCCTACACTACAAGCCCCTCAGGCGCCAAGGGCCGTGCGGCTGACGCTCTAAATAATAACTACCTATACTATTTAGGGGGTCCCTTATTATAATTATACAAATATAAAATACCCCCAACCCTGTTCGAATTATTAAAGCCCCTACCTTAGGGAGGCCAGGGCGTGAAGCTGTTGTTGACGCTGCGCAGGCATGCGAGCGAGATGGGGCGGCGATGCCCTACTATCTGGGCAAGGCACGCTCTGGACCCTCAACCTAAACCCTAGATCCCAAGCAAGAAATCCACGACTTGAAAATCCCCAAGCCGCAGAATCCCAAAGCCCGAGCAGGTTGTTGTTTTTTTTTTTGTTTGGGGCTTCAGGCTTTCGAGCTTTTTAATCTTGATACCCTAATGAGGATGTGCGCGCTTGGCGGCTCAGTTTTTCATATGGGCTAGACACCCTACGCCTAAAAACGCGAACCCTCAATGCAGACCTTGACTGGCATCGTCCGAGTGTCAGCGTCACACTATCCTCAGACCCTCATTATATGAAAACAGGGCTTTGCACTATTTTGTACTATAATTCCAGTAAGGAGCCCGACTAAAGATCTGTGTAATTGTAACTATTCCGTCCTCTATACTAATATAGGGGCCTAAATATAAGGTCCAATACTATGTTGGGGGTCTCTTGTTATAGTGGAAAATAGTGTATTTATACAACTTTAGTTTACTTATTAAGACCCCTCAACTACGACTGGAAGAGACTGGCAGCCCGAAACCGAGCGCAGGTCCCTCTCCGCGCCGAGCTTCCGGAATTATCCAAGGACCAAGCTTAAACTGTTGGGGGTTTCGGGGTGCAGGGATTCTACAATTCTAGAACTAAAATTCTAGAACTTAAACCCTAAATCCTAAATCCTTAACCCTAAAACCCTGCGCCGGGTGTTAGTGTTGTGTCTTAAGTTTTCAGGCTTCGGACCAGCCCCTGCAGGCTGGACATTTACGGGGTTCTTAATAAGATTGTTTAATATAGGGGCCAGAAGAATTATATACACAGATTTGTTTGGGGCTTCTTGCTATAGTCAGCGTCTAGTTTGGTTGGTATGCCCCAAAACTCTATTCTATTTGATAAGGCCCTTATGAAAATTATTTGGATTGCCGCACTGTGGGTTCTGACAGGAAGAATCGAAAAGAAGCGTTACACCCTAAAGCTTCAGGTCGTGCTGCTACGAGATCGGTTCCTGTGCAGTTGCAGGTAGCCCAGACCTGATGAACTTAAAGCTTGACTTTAGCTGCAACCTCATCCCCGCATCAGATGAAACGTAGTCTAGTTGTGCTTAACTCGGAAATTGCACGATTGGAGGACAGTCCCACGCTGAGATGGCTCGGACTGTGAGTAGTGGTACCTTCTGCGGAATGCCATAGCCGTAGCATACTATACTAGGTATCGATTTGGAAAATTTTGCCCTCCTTTTTCTATTGTCGAGGCCTCATCATCAAGATTTTGGGGACTGTCGAAATCGACACCTAGTAGAAGAGGCCTAATATACGGGCCCGAATAATTACCAATAATATTGTGGGGGTTCCTTATTATTATTATAGCATAACGGGGCCCCAAACCCTATTCTAATGACCCTAACCATCGCACGCTTGAAAAAACACTGGATTTCGCTTGAAAATACCAATCGATTCTGCTGCGCTTGAAAATACCATGTGCGCTTGGCATTTTCTATCGGGCCCGCTAGGAATCGGTTGGGATGCTATTTTCTCCGCTAGGTTCTCCGCTAGGTTTTTATCATCGATTCCGCAAGGTTTTTCATCAACGATTTCGCTTGGTTTCCCGTGCCCAGCACACCAAAAACATCGAGCCCAACCCGGAATTCTGAAGCACACAGGTCTTCACAGGTTTTCACAGAATTTCACAGGTTTTCACAGAATTTCACAGATCTTCACAGATTAGTCTGTGAAGATCTGTGAAGATCTCTGTGAAGATCTGTGAAATTCTGTGAAGATCTGTGAAAACCTGTGAAGATCTGTGAAAACCTGTGAAGATCTGTGAAAACCTGTGAAACCAGAAATCGCAGGCTTCAAGCCCGGTCAAACACCCGTGCTCCTGAATGCTCCGCTTGGTTTTTGCTATATGCTGCTATTGGTTCCCCGCTAGGTTTTTGTTTCGCTTGGTTTTCACAGAAAACTAGTGGATCCGCTTGAAAATATCAATCGGACCCAATCCGCTTGAAACTACCAATCGAATCCGTTTTTTTCTGTCGGCCGATGGATAGGGGATTAAGGCCCCTATACTAAGCCCTTATAGTACTCCTTATAGATCCCTTTTGAAGGACCCTTTAAAGGGAAGCCTTATTCTAATTATTACAGGCCCCTACTTAAAGGATCATGGGACTTAGTAGGTGGGGTTATAACTAAGGCAACTATACTTATAAGTACTTATAACCCCAATTAAGGCAGTTATAACCATACTTACTAAGTCCCATGCCCAGAGAGCCCAATACCCCTTAATTAAGCAATCTAGTTTAAATCATAATATGAAGCCCCTTATATAAGTTAAGCCATATTCCTTAATTAAGGGGTATTGGGCTTTGTGGGTGATCCTCCAAGTAGATTGACCCTAAACCCTAAACCTTATAGATCCCTTTTTAAGAACCCTTTAAAGGGAGCCTGATTCTAAGTATTAGAGGCCCCTAGATGAAAGTCAAAGTTCGTCTTCAGGAGATCGACGCCTCGGACCGAACGCCTTTGAGCGCCAGCTGGCAGAGCAGGTTTGGGGGGGGTTTATGAAGGGATCCCTTAAAGGGGGCTCTATTTTAGAATCCCAGGGTTTGGGGTGTTGGTAAGGGATCCCTTAAAGGGGACCCTATTACAGAACCCCAAAGTAACCTGAGGGTATCCTTAAGGGATCCCCTTAGTATTACCTTATGTTCATAATCATGACAAGTTTCACTGCTGTTGCTGGGAGTCGTGACGGTTTTGGGTGTTTTGTGGCTTTGGGGTTGAAGGCACCCACCCCCTTCAAGCAGGCAAGCAAGCAAGCGAGAGAGGCCATAGACACCGGACAACACTACAGTGCTGATCCTCTTGTGGTCCCTACTCGCATGTATCCCACTGGACCACCGAACACTGCTCTGTTTGTTAGCTATAGTCATTATCCTTAACCCTGAACCGTAAAGCCTGGCACACCAAGCTAAGGAGTACGGAGGATGCTTCGGAGACCTTCTACCTGAAGGCCAGCGAAGATAGCCACAAACATGTCGGGCGTGGTCGAAGCCAAAGCCGTTTAGGCTTGAGCATTCGTGAAAACTCAAGCGTACTGTAGTGGCGAGCAGGGCTACACCCCTAGGGATCTAAGGACTCATATATTAAGGCTTTTGGGCCCAAAGACCATACTATAGAAGGCTTTTGGGCTGTTTTGATCCCCAGGGCAAGAACACCAACGATCGTTTGGCCATCGGTTCTGATGGGATTTTGGTTGTCGGCGCCACACGTCTAAGAATTTATAACATAAGGAAATCATAATAAGGAACCCTATAGTCATAGCTGCCCATCCACGCTCAATTACAGTTTTGAGTTGCCCAGACATTTGGGATGGTGCTACGCCAGGCGTGTTCACCTACTTTGGCTGCGGCCGCAACTCCACATCAGCCCCTTGATTCAATATAGACCACTTCGGTTCGGGGTTGAGCTCTTCAGCAGACACCTACCTCACAAGGACCACCGCAACGATCTTCAACCCTCAACTCATATGTATAGGGGCCAAAAAAACCAATACTATTGTGGTGGTGCCTCAATATGGTTATAGTATACTCTAGGCCAAAACCGTATTCTAATTATTAAGGCCCCTATAGTAGCCTTCAAGTTCAGAGCTTGGGTTGTGCGTGGCCAGGGTAGCTCGCGGAAAGTTGGGAAATCGCTATCCATGCCCTACTGGCAGAGAGCATAACTAGACAGTGGGCACTAAGCGTCTACGTTTGAATTCAAACTCTTGTTTTTCATCGCCATTACTCCTCAGCAAATCCATGTGCAATTCTTTGGTTTGTTCCGGCTTTTGGTTGGTGAGACCCTTCAGCCAAGACCCTCGCACAAGAGGTACTGCATGCTTGGAGCCTGTGTAACTTTTGACACGTGTGGCGGAGGGCTCAACACGGATCACATCCATCACGGCTTACGGTCTACATAGGAGGGATCATTGCTCGTGAGGGCACTAGGTCTAGGTCAGCTGTTTCCATTTGAACTTGTTATGTGTACCGGAATGAGCCGTATGTATGTTTTTGTCGACAGACGTGGATGGGTGTGCAGTAAGTCGATCTCTTCGAGTTTGTGGTATGTAGGGTTTATGGGGTGCGGGTTTGGGCTTTTTCCTTTCATTCAGGCGTGCGAACTTTGACTAGGACTTTGTTTGATCAGGGTAGACCAGCAGTTTGCCATCATCAACCCTGTTGCAATATATGGGTAGTTCCCTACACGAGGGTCCCCTACCCGGTTCCAAGAAAAACAGGGGACCCTTATAGAAAGGACCTAAAAGGGAGCCTAATTCTTAGAGAACTACCCATATCAGCCAAGGTCCATTATGACTGCCACGAGAGCCACGGTTGCAGCTTTGCCCCCCCTCACATGTTTCAGCAAGACGCGGTGCATGGTAGTCCCTGCCGCCCAGAGGACTGAAACACACGTCTTGACCTCAGACCCAGACTCCTGAACGATTAATGAGACTACTCCTATCCATTCCCCATAGATCCCTCTTTGTCTCTACAAAAAACCCTCCACACCCTCAAGCCCAGGGAGCCTCAGCTCACTGTAGCTTCAGGGCTTAGGGCTTAAGGGTTGTGCATATTGCTTGTATACTCTTCGGGGCATTTTGCTCCGTCCTGCTACCACGGTGCGATGGCTTAGGGTTTAAGGGTTTGCGTCTGGAGCTCAGCTGAAGGGATTCAAGGCTTAGTGCATTGCAGTTGCTACTCCAAAAAGGGTTTTGGGGTTGCAGGTTTCCATCGCGTTTCGAGGAACCTTATGGTTTGCGTCTGCGGCACCAAGCGGCTGTGGCTGTACCCACCTGGTGATGCGAGGCCGGCAGGGTTCGGGATTCAAGGTTACTCAAAGGGTCGGAATAGTTCGAATTCCCGTATCGTCCCAATTTTTTGTAATTTATCTCAAAACAATGAGTCTCGTAAGAGGAGATGGAAGGAACTCAACAGTGTGGTGCGTGCACCGAGCACACGAGACGGGCGTGACTGAGACGAAGGGGAGAGGCAAGGTAGCAAGAACAGGAGAGTGAGGATAACACAGACGGCCAAGATGAGCATGGTGGGCCATTAGCAGCAGCCTAAAGGGCCGCTACGGGTACCGACACCAGAGGGAGCATGTCGCACAGAAGAAATAAGTCATACAGAAATTTCCGGTACTTTGCGAGCACGGGTTCCAAAGGGTCATAAGATACATTGGGTAACGACCCCAAGCCTAAAACGTTCAACGCCGGCAGAATTCGTTTACCGTGCCAGGTTCGTCTACCCCATCTCCAAAGACAGGCTTGCCTGAAAGAGTCTTATCATGGGCAGCGCTAGGATCCAGTTCCATCAACTTCAGAGGTGCAGGGTCACGACTTCTACCGGGGAAGACCATTCCCCCTTGGTACAGCACCATATGCTGCTAACCGTTCTTGCGGTATTGCCCTTATCCTGAATCCTGTACTGTTCCAGGCAGTTCTTCGGCAGACTTGCGCGGTGTCGTAAGATGTAAGACCCGAGCTTTTACACGAGCAGGATCGTGCAAATGTTCACCTTGTTCTTCTTCGCAGACTGTCATGCTCTACACCTTTCTATACATATGTTTCTTTACTTGTGTGAAATCTTCCTGCTGGGCTCGGATCTACCATGGCCATAGCGAGGTTAGCGGCCAATTCAGCTACCTGCTGATTTGAGTCGCTTCATACTGCTTATGTCGCAGATGACACTATTTTCGGAGTGTGTATGTATCTATGTTGCGCGCGCTTGTACGTATGTATGTATGTGGCATGTATCGATGTACCGGTGTATGTATGCATGCATTCATGTATGTATGTATGATGTATGCATGCATGCATGCATGCATGCGCGAGTGTGTGTGTGTGTGCGTACGTATGTATGTACGTATTTATGTATGTAGGTATGTATGTATGTATGTATGTATGTGCAGTATACAATCATACATTCACGTACCACAGCTCTTTGAGCATGTCTTCGTGTGTATGTACGTACATATACATATATATGTATATATTACAGACGGACTTACAAATATATATATATATATATATATTCATAGATAGATCGATCGACATATACATATGTGTTTTTGCAGTTCTACAGCTATAGATGTGTATCCATGTAGAAATCCAGATCTGTATACCTTCCTTTGTCCAAACCTCGGGCCAAACCTTGAGCATCCGGGAGCCAGGGGTTCGAGCACGGACTTCTCCAGATCTTCGATCCTCCCCTTCCGGGCCTTTGAGGTGCCAAAGAAGGGCATTGGGGTTTAGGGCCTTTGAGGTGCCACAGGAAGGGGCAGGGGGAGAATTTCAGCAAGGGTTTCGGGATTGTTTTTTTTTTTTCTGGGTTCTAGGGGTTGGGAGGTAGTTTTGGGTTTTTCGGGGAGTTGTAGTTCAGGGTATGAGGGTTTAGGATTTAGGTTAGGGTTTCAGGGTGCATGGCTCAGGGTGGAGGGGTCTCTTGCTGAGAGCTCCTTGGACGGTCGATCTCAGGGTTAAGAGCCTACCTACATCAGGGATGCAAACCCACCCCTAAACCCTAAACCCTTATGACATCGTTTTCCGTTTGTCCCAGAGCAGTTGGGTGTTGTTATGGTTCAGGCTCGGGGCACCTTTGTCATGGTGTTGGCGGTGCTTTTGCTAGTGACTTGTTGCTCTATTGTGGTGCTGATTCGTTTGAGTGGTCAGGACCCAGAACTCGTCTTGGGTATCGCTTGCAAAATACACCAGGCCCGTAAAGACTAAAGCCTATAACCCCTAAACCCCCAAACCCTAAACCCCTAAAGCCTGTGAGAGCGTAAGCCCCTAAAGCCTAAACCCCGAACCGTAAAGCGTAGTCCTCGAAAATTGCGAGGAGGAGTGCGAGTGTAGGAGCCCTACGCCACTAAGCCGTCAACCCGACTCTCTAGTCTACCCTAAAACCCTCAACCCTAAACCCCTGAACCCTAAACCCTCAAGTCTTAAACCCTCATTCCATGGCCAAGGACCTGGGCCCAGAGGACAAAGAGCGTTACCCACTTCTGCAGCATGCCACCGTGCTGGAGGCATGTGACAGGGTTCAGGGACGTCACGTAAGGCTTTGAAGCTAAGGCGGGTTGCGGGTCTTGGGTTAGGGATTTTGTTGCATCCAGTTCCTGACCAGCTGCAGATAGGCTTGGAGAGGGTGTTCTGCGGGAATCGTGGCTGTGTTACTTGCACCTGTTCCGTTCCACGTGCCGTTGCTGCTGCATCGGGTGATGGTAACCGTTGATAATGTCCTAACCCCTGAGGTGGAACACTGTATGTTCTGGCATCTCTGAATTCATGGACTTTTGAATTGGTGAATTCAGGCATGAGAACTGGCAAGGTTGCCTTGAATTCACGAATTTGACGGTTCAGGAATTCACAGATATGCATGGAAGTTGTGTCCAACATCTCTGAGGTGCTGCGTGTATTATGGCTGAATTTACTGCATGACGAACTGCATGGTGGAGATATGGCGTAGCCTGTGGGCTAGACATGGAAGCATGACATTGCACAACGATGGAATTCAACCTGCATGATGTCTGCACTTGTTGGAACGAGCATGACGGTCAGTACTGAGCACCACGAGGGCCGAGTAGACGTGACTTTGATTTAAAACAGGGGCACTTGCCCAGAGTGAGGCTTGCAACAGTTCCAGTAAGCGCTGTGATCATGTAGTCTACTTGACCGTAAGTGGTTGGCCTTTTGGTCGCTATGTGATACTTATTGCGTTTTGGCTGGAGTACTGGAAACTGCTTGCTGGTCTTGTGTAGTGGAGATACGGTGGACTATGTGGACCCTTGCCTGCCTTGTGCGAGTGTGAGCGTCGAAACCCCTAAACCCTAATCCCTCAACCAGGCGAGGTCTGTAGTACCTAGGACTCTTTGGGTAAGTCTCCCCTGCTAAGACTTTTTTAGCAGCCTCAGGAGTCGGGCACCAAGACCTTGTCGGCTCTCCCTCCCCGGGTTTAGGGTTTGGGGTTCAGGGTATCGAGTTTAAGGATGTCACCACCGACTACTGCATGAACCCGTACAGACGATTACAGACTTAGAGTGCGGAGACACTTTTCCAGATGCGAAGTGAGTGGAGGTCACTGTTCAAGCTGGTGACGCTTGGGATGCAAAAGCAGAGGTTATCAAATTTCATCGGGTTTGGCCCAGCCTTGGGATCCCTGCTGAATGTCATTTCTCGTTGACGCACATAACGCAATGTGGGCTCCTAGCTCGGACAACTACATGAAAATACCCGACGAAGAGCCGGCGTGGCTTCCTCCAGTATAAGTTGGGGGCTTTGCATTGGGATTCTGCTCCAGGTACCTACTTGGCTAAGACATGCTACTTGTAGTAACAAGTGCCTCTAGGCTTGCAGTGGAGATGGATTCGGTAGAAACATGCCGCACACTTAAGCCCGCTAGCCTCGGTTCCTCTTTATCCGGCAGAATTTGTGGAATGTGACACGTTGCCACACGCTACAACTAATTTAGAGAGCTTGAAGGCACAGTGGGCTCGGACCAGCTAAGGACATGCTTTATCTGCCTGCTTGCTGGTGGCACTGTGTGCCTGGGCGTGTGAGTGGGTCGGATTTCTTTTGCGCCGACAAGCTCTGGGCCGACCTCGGATAATATAGGGGCCTACATAATTATCTATACTACTTGGGGGTTCCTTATTTGAATTATAGTATGTAAAACCTACCCCCAAACCCTATTCTAATTTTTAAGGCCCCTATGTTGCTACGAGGAGAACCGGACTTACAGAGCGCCGCAAGAGCGCCAACTTCCGAATAATGTAGGGGCCTCAGTAATTACCTAATTACCTATACTATTTTTCGGGGTCCTTGTTATAATTATTTTATAAGGGGTCCCAAAACCCTATTCTAATTGTTAAGGCCCCTGCAATAACGCCCCAAGGTGGAAGGCTCGGACGACCGCCGCCGGGAATGCAATTCTTGCTTGGTCTATGTCAGGGGTCAGAGTGCTTTGTTTTCTCTTAGGGGCTTGGTGTGCGTGCGTGTGTGTGTGTGTGTGTGGGTGGTTTGTTAGGACTTCTAGGTTTGCCCTGAAGCGTCTGTCGGCCAACTCTGCGTGCCTGCAATCTTCGGTCTACCCATTCATTTCTGCCAGCATGATAGCGGTTTTGCCTTTGTTTTGCACCCTTGAACCCTGCCGACGCCATGTGTACCAATTCCACGACTCAAGTCAGAGGTGCTGTTCATTAGTTTGTGAGCTTCTGTGAGGCTTCAGCCTAAGGGCATTGGGTTTACTCTGAAAAGATGCGACGGGGTAGCTTGAGGGGCATATCAAAAATGTGGTTACTCAGCATCGAGGGGATTCACAGGGATTCTTCCCTTGTACCCCTGATCTGTGGTCTTCGCAGAGTCGTTTCAGGTCTTTGGAGGCTGTACACAGATGTTCCAAGCCCTGCTTAAGGTTTCAAAGCCACAACCCTGGAGTTTCAACGCGTACTCTAAACCCAGAGGACCTAGTAGTAGAGTAGGAAACCTTTAACCATTTGTTTTTGGGTAGTATAGTCCCTATATAATCCCTATGTAGCCAAAAAGGTTAACCTTTAGTTACCCATGATACCCGACAAGTAGGAAGATGCGGATGATGATCAGCTGTGAACCACCTCCGCCTCAAACCCAAAGTCTTAAATGGGAGTTTCCGAAAATTTGGGGTACATTTTTTGGGATCCCTATAATGAGGATCCTGTTTTTTGAGAGTACTTCACTAGGGTCCCCTATTTTTGGAAACTCCCAAATCAGTCGAGGCAACATCATCCTCAACTGGTGGTTCGGTCAGCACACGGAGAAGAAGCAGGCCCCCATGTTTCGGATCTGAGGCTGCAGGCTCCTAATATAGGGGGGCTTTATTGTTACCTCGTTGCCTATACTATTTTTGGGGGGGTTTCGTGTTATAGTTAGTATTATGGGTCCCAAAGCCCTGTTCTAATTCTTCAGGCCCTAAAGTAGGCTCGAAGGTTTACGCAAGGTCGACATGCGCACAAATGGAGAACGGTCGAACACCTACATGCATGATGAAAGATGAGTAGCCGCTAAGGTCCAGAAAGCACTTTTCCTGACGGATACCTGGAGCATCTTAGTATTCTCCAGATCGGGCTTTCAGGCTTTCGTGTTTCGTGTCGCTTAGCATAGGTAATGGCGGAGTATCGTGCCAGTACCATGCCTAACATGTTGTGATGTCTAAAGTCATACAGACTGACACACCGATGCACGCACGCTCATACACACACCCAGATACACACACACACAGACACACAGACAGAGACACACAGAGACACACAGAGACACACAGAGACACACAGAGACACACAGAGACACACAGAGACACACAGACACAGACAGACACACAGACACACAGACACACAGACACAGACAGACACAGACAGACACAGACAGACACACAGACACACAGACACACAGACACACAGACACACAGACACACAGACACACAGACAGACACACACACACACACAGACAGACACACCACAGACACACACACACACACACACACAACACACCACACAGACACACACACACAGACACCACACACACACACAGACACACACACACACACACACACACACACACAGACACACACACACACAGACACACACACACACAGACACACAGACACACAGACACACACACACACACAGACACACAGACACACACACACACACACACACACACACACAGACACACACACAGACACACACACAGACACACACACAGACACACACACAGAGACACACACAGACACAGAAACAGACACAGACACATACACACACACACACACAGACACACACACACACACACACACACACACAGACACACACAGACACATACACACACACAGACACACACACACAGACACACACACACACATGCATGCAAGCATTCGTTCATCTCCGCATGCATGCATGCATGCCCACAAAACTATGCACATATATACATGTAGCCGTATGTGCTCGTGGTTGCCTGCTGCCGTGATGAGGCTGCATCTCGAGCCACGCCAAAGGTGAGCAACGGCTATGCTTAGGGCTTCGTTGCAATCGCTGTAGTCTAGGACATACGCTGGCCGCTTCATCGGGTCGCGTCGAGATTTGAGCGAGCTATGTGCGCCTGGTCTTGACAATGCCGATGTTAAAAAAGACGTATGCTCCTTTGAGGTGGCTCGTGGGTTGTGACGCTTCTGGAGCATCATCATCAGCCTCATCACGCCTTCAGTGGCAGTCTTTCAGTGTGACCGCGTACGTAAATCTGAAAGAGCCGAACCCTAGCCCTACATACGAAGAAACTACAGCAGTGACTGCAAAGCCTACCTACCTGGACCCTGTTTTGGAAGAATAGGCCCTAAGCCCTACCCTCCAGCTCCAGCCCTCCTAGTTTACGGCCAAAGGTCAAGCAGCCGCAGCAGCGACCGGCTGTGCGAGCAGCAAAAGCTTGCCTAATGCAGGGTTTTTCGCGGCTTTAGGGCTTGGGGTTTAGGGTGCTACTTTTGGCTCAAGTTTTTTCTGGTGCCACCGGTGGACCGGTGTAATACATTGAGGCACCGCCGTGTTGTGGAGATGGCCTCTCAGTCCTTCTTTTTGTTAGGGACCGAAAAGCGCATAAGCAGAAGCATGTTATCGGGATATCCCTACCTTATTGGGCTTCATTATACGGGGGCTTTTGTGGGATATCCCTATCCTTATTGGGCTTCATTATAGGGGGCTTATATGGGATATCCCTACTTGGAGGGGCCAGGGACTCAGTAAGTGGGTTATAAGTAGAGTTATAAGTACCCTAAATGGCGTTACCCCAATGATAACCCTGCTTTTTACCTACTTACTAAGTCGCCTACCCCTCCAAGTAGACCCTAAACCCCATAGATCCCTTTAAGGAACCCCATAGATCCCTTTAAGGAACCCCATAGATCCCTTTAAGGAACCCCATAGATCCCTTTAAGGAACCCCATAGATCCCTTTAAGGAACCCCATAGATCCCTTTAAGGAACCCCCTTTAAGGAACCCCATAGATCCCTGTAAGGAACCCCATAGATCCCTTTAAGGAACCCAATAGATCCCTTTAAGGAACCCCATAGATCCCTTTAAGGAACCCCATAGATCCCTTTAAGGAACCCCATAGATCCCTTTAAGGAACCCCATAGATCCCTTTAAGGAACCCCATAGATCCCTTTAAGGAACCCCATAGATCCCTTTAAGGAACCCTATAGATCCCTTTAAGGAACCCTATAGATCCCTTTAAGGAACCCCATAGATCCCTTTAAGGAACCCCATAGATCCCTTTAAGGAACCCCATAGATCCCTTTAAGGAACCCCATAGATCCCTTTAAGGAACCCCATAGATCCCTTTAAGGAGTTGTGGGGGCCTTGTTTTGGGAGCCCCCAGGCCGCTAGAAAGTCAAAAAGCGGTCGGATGCACTGTCTTAGGGGCAGGGATCTACACTAGGGTCCTATTTTTAGGGGCCTTAATAATTACCAATACTATTTTGGGGGAGCTCCTTATCATAATTATGGTATAAGGGGCACCAAAATGGACCAAAACCCTGCTCTCATTATCAAGGCGCCTATGTTAGGCCCCCAGGGGTCCGAACAAAGTCCAGGGAAGCGAAGTCTTAGTGGGAGGCAAAGGGGCCTGAAGAAAAAAAAAGGAGCCCAAAGCCCTAAACCCAAACAGACTGACCGACATGCTGAGCAGGGCCGAAAGTCTGGGCATTCGTCCCCAGCAACAAGAGATTTGGCAGGGCTTGAGCCTTCTTGCAGAACCCTGATATAGACTCTCTACAACTTGCTCCCTATAGAACCCATTAGAACCCATCATGCCCTTCATGCCGCAAACACACCCCAGACCCTAAACCCTAAGCCATGTTCTCGCACTATTCCACTGCTGCGCGGGTCCAAGGTTTCTTGGGAAGCCTGAGCCTTGTGCCTTCCTGCAAAACCGGATGAGACACCTGATCTCCAAAAAGTATGTTGAGGAATACAAGAATCGCCTTGTATGGCTGTTAGGCTATTGTTTTGCTCAGGGGGGTTTGGTAAAAAAACCAGGGATGACTAAAGTCTAGGATTGGAGGTCGAAATTCTGGCTTGACTTGAGCCCAACGGTACAAGGAGGAGTTCGCATGTGTGCAACCTAAGTTTCAAAAGGCCGAGCTGAGAATAGCCCCAAGGTCTAGTTGTGAGTTTCCGAAAATTACGGGTGCCTTCTTCCATTGTAAGGATCCTACTGTTTAGGGTAATATTAGGGTCCCCTATTTTCGGAGACTCCCAGTTTGCACCTGGACCTAGCCGCGCAGTGCAGCCTGGTGGGGCCATGGGTGCAGGGAAAAGCAACATGGCAGCATCGAGAAACTCAGCAGTTTCGGATCTTTGCTTCCCGTTGCTCGTGCTTTCGGCACCGTTCCTCTTGCTGTGATCGTGGTTTTGCAAGGAGGCCCGGTGTAATTCGAGATCGAGCCTGTGTAGCAATCAGCAGTCCACATGTCACATCCAATTGGCTGCTTTTCCGATGACACTGGGCCAGAGGTTTTTGCTGGTGCTGGCCCTACGAACCTATCTTGCCAACGCTTGGAGCTTGACACCTCTGCCTGTAGCTTCAGGTATTCACAAGATCGACGAGGCAACAAAGATCTTGCACGGGGGGGGGGCCCTAAACCCTAAACCCTAAACCGTGGGGGGGGGGGGGGGGGGGGGGAAGCATCATCTTAAACCCTAAAGACTGTCGGGCCGGTTGTGTCCAACCTGAGCGATTCTGGAGTTCCTGCTAGGTCTAGGGGCCCAGGGTTGAGGATAGGTTGAGCCAAGAAGTTGAAACTTGCGCTTGTCGAAAGCAGCTTGCGGGGAGCACGTAGTGAAACTCTATTGCCTTGCTTCTTGTGAGATTCTGCCGTGCAAGATGTCGCACCAACGTAGAATTGCATATTCTGTCGCCAGTGCTTGTGATGCTCTCGGTTAGCGTCGAACAGATGCTTCATCGAACATCATGCTGCATGCTCTTCATAGCTTCGATGTCGCTCTTCCTTGGAATTATGAGTCTCATGGTATCCGGAAAGCGAAGCGTACACAGCCATGGCTATGCCCTGTCGCACGCAGACAAAGCCCAGATATACCATAGAACCCTAAACCCTAAACCCTAAAATAAACCCAGATAGCGGTGTCAGAAGGCATTCGGGATGTTCGCGAGCAGTAATCTCAACACCCGAATCCTTATCTTCCAAATAACTCTAGTTAACTTTAACCAAAACCCTAAACGCTGAACCAAAAATCTTAACCCTAACTTCCCTAAACGGCTTAAAAACTTCCCAAACAACTCTAGATACTTTCAATCATACCGATGACAAGAAGCACTCGAGTGCCAGGGCTTCTTCATCTGCGGGGTCGATGCTCTGCGGGACCACAAGTACCTCCACAAGCTAGGCGTGACGGGATCTACTATTGCATATATATATATATATATATATATATTTACATATATATATATATGTATGTATATACACACATGTATTTATCTTTTTTCTTTTGCTAATTTATGTACATAATTAGAGATCTGCATATATGCGTATACGAGTTGTATGTAGTTCTGTCTATTTTGTATGTTGTAAGATGGTTGATTTTCGTGTTTGGGAGGACCGGAACCGAATTGGGAACACTTCCCCTCCCCTGAACTATCATTGGCATTGGGGGTCTTTGATCGAAAATCCGATAAACCATAAGTTTATTGCATTATACATAGGGTCACATGATAATGAAATACATGTCTGTGAATATGAACTTATGAGGATAGAAAGATAGATAGGTACATAGATTAGATAGACAGATCGAGGATGATATGTGAATCCTCATGCAGCTCACGGTTCTTTATAGCAGAAACGGAGCCCAAAGCTGAGACTTCCAACTACAACTCGGATTCATTATTTCCTGCACGTCTCGGATGGCATTCTGGTGCTTTCGGTTTAGAGGTTTGGGGTTTAGGCTTTGGGATTTTGGTGTGTCTAGCGGCCATGCGGCATATGTTCAATCCACATCAGCTCTGACACATGTACCTAATCTGAAGCTACAAGTCTTATATATATATAGATATATATATATATATGAACCGCACACGCCTCAAGCATCAGCCAGTCAAGGAGGCAAGACATCCACCTCTTTTCATTGCTACACACTGCACCGTTGTTGTTGACCGTGTATGTCTCAACTTGGGATTCAGAGTACATAGTCACACCCGTGGCCGGCATGGTCTGCGGCATTGGCCCTCATGTCGGCGCGGCAGCGGCTCGATTGCTTCAGACAGGGAGCACAGGGGCTTCGTGTTTTTGGGGAGCCAGTCCTCTAGCCGGAAAAAGGGGCCTGAATAATTCCCGATATGATTGTGGGGGTTCCTGATTATAATAAGTTTAGGACAATATACCCCCAACCCTGTTGTAATTGTGAAGGCCCCTATTTCAGCCGATCCGTCCCCTGCCTGGCAATTTGTTGCGGTTTGCAGAAGCAGAGGGCAGAGAAGTTGCGGACAATTGGCACTTCTTCATGTCAGGTCCTACAGTCATAGCAGTCATGACACCACCAATGAGACCCCCCCGGTGCTGTTTCATCCGGCCACATTGTCAAGCATCTGTTCGAAATTTAGCTTGAGTCAAGACGTTAGGGCAGCGGCGCAGGCTTTCCAGTCTGAGTGATGGGAAAATCCAATTGGTAGTCATTTCGAATGTTTAGGGTTTAAAGGCTTAGGGCTTAGGGCTTAGCGGACTTTTTTTTCTGGGACAGTCTGCCGAGGGCTTGCGGCACAGCCTACCGCGACCACCTCGATGTGTGGCTGGAACTTTCTCGCCAGACGCGCGGCCGCAAGGACCCCAAAGCCAGAGAGTTCATGCGCTACCTAAACCCTCCAATTATATGGTCATTTCTATTGTTTGGCTCGTTTTATGGCTGCAACTTTTGACGGCGAGCAAGGCAACCAACACAAGAACTACATCGGAGCGTGGTAGGGTGTAAATTCCAACCCTGAGCAAACCCTTAACCCTCAACCCCTGGAAGGAATTCCCGCCGCAAACCAGTTGGAAAAGAGCCCCTGAAGCAAAAAACATCGCCTGGCTGTGTCCGAGTTGTGAGAGCATAAAACAAAGAACATCCTCAACCCAGGCCTTCCAAAATCCCTTCAGTAAGGAATATACCTTAAATTATAATAGGATCCCTAATATTGGAAGGTCTGGGAACCCCCACCTCATGAAGCCGTGCTTGCGTTGAGCGCGTGCGCGAGTCGAAACCCTCAACTGCAGCCCAAAGCCCTCAGACGCCTAAGTCCCGCGCCCAAGCCCGAAACTAACACAGGGGCCTTCACAATTGCCTATACTATTTGGGGGGCTCCTTGTTATAAGTATAGCATAATGGGCCTCAAGACCCTATTCTAATAATTACAGCCCTGTATTAAACCTTTATAGTACTCCTTATAGATCTTGTCCTAAGTTTTAAGAACCTTTAAAGGGAGCCTTAAATGCCCCTATAGTACCGGCTGCTGAGGACCTCTGAGTTCACCGATATCGGGCAACGGCCACATTGGTATCAGCAGGCAGCAGCTTCAACGATGTTTTTACTTACCTTTGGTTAGTAGGGAATAGGAATGGGCTACAATTTTAACTACTATTACTACCATTCTTCCATTCCCTACTAACCAAAGGTAAGTTGAAGGAGGTAAGCGCGGCAAGGTGTCAGAATGAAGGAAGGCATCAGAAGCGTAGGAGCAGGCGGTGTGGCACAGTTTGCAGACTTACGAGGCTACCCAGAGGCCCCATAGTAGTTCCTTTTCGGGGTTCATATATAGAATCCTATAAGGTCATCCCAAAAAGGAACTACTATGGGGCCTTGTATAGCATCATACTTATGTTGTTCCTTTTGATGCTTATAGGCCTAGGTTTCTCACGACACGGCCCTGAACTCTTCCTGGCCCTCCTCCTCAAGTCCAAGGTCTCGGCTCGGTTTCTGATTTGCGGTTTAGGATGTCTTATAGGGGCCTTCATAATTACCTATACTATTTTAGGAGTTCCTGATTATAACTATAGTATAATATTACCTATTCTAGTTATTACGGCCCCCTATACTAAACCTTACCTTAGCCCTTATAGTACTCCTTATAGTAACCCTTGTAGACACTTCCTTTAAGGAACCGTAGTCTAATTATTAAGGCCCCTATCTTAGGGCTCCTCAGCACGTGCTAAAGATTCAGAGCTTGAGTCTGGGTTTCAGGGTTCCTACTCTTATAGAGGTACGTCGCAAGCAGGGCCTTATGGTTTGAGGCGTTTGAGGTTTAGGATTCCTCATATGGTTCCTAGAGAGGGAGAGCTACTAGGGTTAAGGTTTCAACCCTCTTGTAAACGGCACAGGCAACCCGCGGGGGCGCGGGCTTGTCAGGCACGGTGAGTCATGATTGTCGTGCTGGCTTCGACAGATTTGCAGTCATGACCTTCAGCCAGTGATTTTATCTTCAATAGTGTGTTACCATTGTCATGAAAATCCTTCCTGTGTTCCTTCCGCAGGGGCAGACACCGAAAAGTGGGCGCTGCAGATGTTCGATTCAGCCAGTATCGAATGTGCCAAGACAGCATATCTGCACATTGGAGAACGATGGCGACCAAGCGCATTGAACCATAAACCCCTGACCCAATTGAAAGCTGAACAAAATTCTTGAAGTCTTGGGGGCCGTATATATGATAACCCGGAATTGAACCCAATTTTAAGTCAGCCTTCCCCGCTGGCCCGGAGGGCAAGTATGAATCAACCCTTACCCCCCTCTCCTATAGATTCCTTTTAGGGAACCCCTTTAAGGAACCCTAAGGCCTAAACCCTTAATCACGGTCTGTGGGCTTGAGGGTCGCCTACTCAGGCCAGGGCTGCTGTCAAGCAAGTTGCCGGGCTTCTGACAAAGGGTACCTTTATTAAAGAGCTACTGTCTAACCTACATAGCTCCCCTGAAGCTCCGTACCCTAACCCCCTAAACCCCAAACCCCCTGAACCCCCTAAACCCTAAACCCTCAAGAATCTCCAAACAAGGCCTAAACCCTAAACCCTAGGAGCCCGATGTGAGCGCCGAAAATCTAGGAGCCCCCTAAACCACCCTGAAACCCTTCAAAAATCCCTGGTAGTAGAGTAGGTAACCTTTAACCTTTTTGTGTATTATAGTCCCTATATAATCCCTATATAACCAAAAAGGTTAACCTGTAGTTTCTCATGATACCCGACAAGTAGGTAACTGCCCTAAACCCTAGACCCTATAGCTCCCTTAAAGGAACCCTTATAGCACCCTTTAAAGGAACCCTAAGAACCCAAGTCCCGATATAATCCCTATATAAACAAGTAGGAATCTCGCCAACCTCAGGCCGGGGGTGCTGGATTGCTGGCGGCAGCTACCTCGAAGTTCAGCTGCGCCTCGAGGCGCTGAGGATGTTGCCTTTAGGGCTCTAAAGAGAGAGTGGGATGTCTAGAGCAAAAGGGCTTAGGGTTTAGGGCTTAGGGCAAACAGGGCTTGGGGTAATACAAGGTTCAGAAGGGCTAAGGCGAGTTGAGATTTTGGAGTTGTGCTTTTCCTGATGTGGCAATATTGTAGGTCCGGTGTTTGGGGATGCTCAGTGGTCTCTGTGCCCTGTCGTTTGTGCGACTGCCACTGCTACGTTGTGTGTACGGTTGTGTTGAAGATGAAGTGCTTAAGCCGGGCTGGGGCACTAGTGTAGTCAATTCCCGACCCAACGCCACTCTGCCATGCTGTGTATCGTGTAGTGTTAAGCATCTGGGAATGCAGCGTTCCATGTGCAAGTGTATGTATGGTTGTATATGCCTTCTGTAGTGATGTCTACACTTTGCCTGGTGTACCGTCGCCCGTGCGTAAAGGATCAGGGTGTTGTTAAGCAATGCATAAATGGGATCATATCGACCCCTGCTTTGGGTTTTTCCACTTATCCTTGGACCCCTTAAACCCTAAACCCTCTCTATTCCCGAATTGTTTCAGTGAAGGATCTCGTCCGAGAGGAGTCCGGCTTACGATCTTGGCGCAACGTGGCACGGCAGACTGGGATAGTTACTGAGGCCCCCGAGACAGAAGCCTAAATATCTACCAGTGGTATTCCTTATAGGGTTCCTAATTGCAACAAGTATGCCCTAATATACGTCAAGGCCCTGTTCCAGTCCCACGCCCTGAACCCAGGCTAACGCACAAGAAGCCCAAAGCCCCCAGGAATTGTAAATCCGACATTTCAAATCCTACACAACCCCAAACCACGCTGAACTTCCCACCAAAATATTAGATTCCCAGGGCCCCGAACCCCATGGATCTGAAACACCCCCTCTCATTTAGGGAGGCAAGAGCACCGGAAAACTTCTCCCTTCCCTTCCAAATCCCCATAAAACACCTACCCGAAGGATCCAAAGTAGTACCTTTTGGGGGTTCATATATATATAGAATCCTATAAGGTAACCCCAAAAAGGAACTGCTATGGAGCCTCTGGGTATAGACCCGGAAGCCCTAAACGTGTGAAGTCAAGTTCGTCGACGATGTGGGCTGCCGTTTGTTCCAAGGCCGGAACCCCTCGGCCGACTGAACTGTTTGGGAGGGTTTAGGGTTTAGGGTTTAGGGTTTAGGGTTTAGGGTTTAGGGTTTAGGGTTTAGGGCAACAGGGTTTAGCGGAGATTTTGGTTTTGAGCGTAGGGTTGAGGGGAGACTTCTTTACGGGTTTTAGGGCTTCAGCATGAAGGCCATTTCATTAAAGGGTTTCGGGGCTTCGTATTTTTCGGGAAGAGTTGCATAAGATATAGCAACGCTACCATGGCGATCCGTGTTCTTTTGCTTGCCTGCTCGCCTTGGCTGGTGCAGCCGGCTGCGCAGCAATGTAGCCTGTTTGGAGACGTGGAGATGACAGGCGTGAACTTTTTACAGCGGAGTGCTGTGTCCGCCCCGCAAAAAGCCCTTACGACCGAACGCTGCCTTCGCTTCATGCACATACCGAAGACAGGGGGCACCAGCATCGATGCAGCGAACATCTATCTCCCAGCGGGACACCATGCTTTTGACTCCATCATGTTGCAAGCTTTCTTGCGCGCTGATCCGAAGGAAGTTGACATGGGCGCGATGTTCGACCTGGCGCACAGCAGCTCACTGGCATATGACATCTTCTTCGCCACGCATCCCGGCGCTATGCGTGAAATCCCACCTAACGGACCGGATGCATGTGAGGAGGTGCACACTCCGCCCCCCCGCAGCGCTGAGATTCGGCAGTTCTTCCGGGATCCGAAGTGCACCACGTTCTGTGCCGTGCGCGAGCCCCTCAGCAGATACATGGAAGCTTTTAAGATGTTCTACAACGAGTGCGATGCGCAGTCTTTGGAGAGTCGCACTTTGGGACTCCTCTCTGAACTCCGCTCGCGCCCATACATGAACAACTGCATGTTCATCACGCAAGCCGAGTATGTGTACGGTACATCTGACGAGACTGGGGCAACCCCGCGATTCTGTCAGCGCATCCTGCATACTGAGAACCTGACAGAAGGCTTTGCTGCATTGATGGCCGAGTTTGGACGTGATGTCAAGCTGCCAGACACACATTTCATGGCCAGCTGGACGGACCACTGCAACATGACCCCTAGGGGCACCTAGAAAACATTCTTAATTTTTGGTTATTACAATCCCGAAGAAACAGCTAAAACTATAATTGTTGCTGGGGTTCTAAGTTCAGTATAGGACGGCTGATGACCTGACTCCCAGAACGAGAGCCGCTCTTTACGAGCATTTCAAGGTGGACTACAATGCCTTTGGCTACTCAAAGCCAGATTTCTGAGTTCTGCCAGTGCCCTAAAACAGTTCTCACAGTCTCACAGACGAGCCGAGCAATTCATGCTCATGTTTAGGGCATAAACATGCAAAACTGGGGTTCAAGCTCCAAGCTTCGGGTAGGCTTGTCCCTCGTGAACCCAGCAGGGTTGAAAAAGCTCGACTAAAGTCAAGCTAAACAGTAAGGTCAATCCCCAGACACTCACACGGAAAAGGAGGGCCCCAACTTGTTTGGGGCCATGAACGGAAGTTCCTCGGCTTCAGAACATTGCGAGATGATCGTCCCAGGCTGGGTAGAAGCAGGCCTTTGTCTCCTTCTTGCTTCGTCTGCTTTGAGCTTTGTTGTTTTTGTATAGTGCCATGAAGTACCATCATGTAAGCCTAGGCATGAACACCACACCCACATTTCAAAGATAACAGGTTGCAGGTGCAGTAAACAACTTCTCTTCAGCACAAAGCCCGCGACGCTAAACTGTTACACCACTCGCAGCTTAAACCCGGCCAGTCAAAGCACTTCGAACACGAGACCTCGTCTGGCAAGTCCGAGTTGCGAGAGCGTAAACCCATCATGCGGCAGAAGCCCTCGAAGGCCAGCTAATAGCAACCCAAGCAAACCCGATACCCTACGCCCCGAAAACAGGCTACGAAGAGAGATTCCTCAAATTCTTAAACCCCACCGCCTCAAACACGAAAAGTGCTGTCCGAAGTCCGAAGGCTTCCCCAAGCCCTGTACGCTTAGTTCTTGCACTCCCCGAGGCCAGTGCCCTTGAACGAGCCCTTGTGAAAGGACTCGCCAAGGAGTCCAGCACTGCGGATTTTGAAGGGGTTTTAAGGTTCAACAGGTTGGTGTGTAGGATTGTGGGGTGCTAGGCGTGCAGGGTTTTCGGGTTCCGACGTTTGGGGATGTTTGGGGTTTGGGGGTGCAGTCTTCTTGGTGGCAGAGATCTTGACCTTCGACCACCCACCAACCTTGCTGGACATGCCTGTAATGAAGGAGTAGACCCCAAATCAATACAGGATCCGTAATAGGATCTAGAACCCTTAAAGTTGTATCAGTATCAGCTATGCACTATAGAGTGTGTGGCATAGTTACCCGTCGAACCTGAGTCTCTCTACAGACCTCGCCTGGTATTGCCGAGTGTGAGCGTCAAACAAAGAGTCCTTTCCCTAAGGCTCCAAAGTAGTTCGTTTTTGGGGTTCATATATAGAATCCTCTAAGGTAACCCCAAAAAGGAACTACTATGGAGCCTCTGGGTAGTAGAACCCGTAGAGGAGCCCTGAACCCGAAACCGTTGACCCTCAGCTCGAAATCTGAACAGGGTGCATGCAGGGTTCTGGCAAAGCAGACTGCTTCGCAGTTTCAACCCGCACAGCCCTCAACCTAAGCTCCGCCAGTGTATGGAGGTTATATGCGACGGAAAGGGCGGCTCAGGAGAAAGCGCGAGAGAGAGAGAGAAAGAGAGAGCGAGACAGTGGTGATACTGGATTGATTGATTGAGTTCCTAAGGAAGCTTTTGATTGCGTGAGCAACATTGTATCTTAGCAGAGATGAGTATTATACAGTATAAGCTTCCGGCACTGGCAACGGGCACCCAAAGCCAAGCAAACACACAACCAAGCAGCAGGCCACATAATAGATTCTAAACCGTATTAACCCGAATACATGTCGTCATGGTTTGCACAAGCATAACATCAAAACAATACACATACCCCACCCCGCAAGACGTAGGACTTGCAGCTGAGCTCCCTGCCGAAAGTCCTGCAGAACAATGTCTGCGTGCCAGCGGGATGTTCTCAGAGCCTTGCCCTTTTATTCCGGCCTAGTTTTGTCATCGTAAGTAAGCCCTGTGCCAGTGGTTCCGCATTAATACAGTTCTGCCACTGTATTACGCAGAAGGCAGAGCTCTTGGGACTAGGACTAGGACTTCTGACTTCAGTCCCGGTCTCCAGGTACAGGTCAATCTGAATCTACAGTGAGCAACGTGCGAGATTTGGGCCTGCCTGCCAGTACCTGTGTTGTGCATAAGAGGTTTGTGGTATGAGAAGCTGAGGTCTTAGTAGCTGAGTGGATACACTCTACACTTTTGCGGATAATATGTCCCACTATAAAACTGCAAGTGTGCACTTTTGGGGGCTTATGAACTCAGCAACTAAGAGGTGCAGCGACCAAATGGGCAGGAGCAGGTCTGATCAAGTATTCGAACAGCAACCGTAGGAATCCTGGAATCAGTCGTCTGTGCAGTACATGTTCGGGGTTTAGCGTTTGCGACTAGGTGTGAAGGTGGATTCGCAGTGCAGGTCAACAGTCTGCTTGGCCGGATCTTTGCGGCTTGCGTTGCGAGGCAAGACATAGCGGACAACGTGCTGCCACTTTTTTATGCTCCATGGCCTCAATAGCATCGAATGACTCCGTTTTTTCTTTGACATACCAAGTCCGGGTGTCATGATGTATTCTTTGACAGGCCATGCCTTTGTCTTGGATTTGGGATGATGTGCTCCAGCATGTGAACAATGCCTTCTTGGTGCCGAAGCCTACTGTAATCCCCGACCGTCGCGAAACTCTATAATAGCCCCAAGCCCTATAAACCTTACTGCCTGGACCTTGAACCCCACGCCTCGAAATAGAGAAGTGTGCCGAGACCTTACGCAGTCCGGAAGCCCTAAAAACCCCTAATCGTAGACCTTCGACCTCCAAGCCTCAAGCTGTAACATCAATCCCAGGAGGCAGTACTGTTTCGTCACTGGTCTGCCACCGTAGCCGTCGCGCGGAGCAGGTCGAGTCTCCATTGAAGCCGCCGTTGTCTAGGGTGTCGTTGTGTTCGGGGTTGGTAGGGTTGACTTACCGATTGGGCATGACCCTCGCTCCTGAAGTATCTTCGAGCTTCAAAAAGGGTTCGGGGTTCGGTGTTTTTTGCCGGGTTGCGCTCATCAAGTTCAGATGTATGAAAAGGGTTGTCAGGGTTCATGGTTTTGCTTTTGTGACGGGATGTCCACGTCTCAGAGCGTACCTCGGGACGCAGGTCGCATGTCAATAGGCATTCCTGGCAGAGTGTCTGCAGCAAGAGATAGGTCCGCAGTGCACGCAGCCGGCGCCCAGCATGTTCTCTTCAGTGCATTTGGCGTCCAGCTTGTTCTCGTCAGTGCATTGGTCGTCCTATCCTGACCCGGTTTGAGAGAGAGACTGAAGGAATTTGCTGCTGAACGTGGGCCCCTTCGTGAGTATCCACGAGATGGGACATTGGCAGGCCTGCGCAAGCCATCTGTAAACACCGCTCAGTTGAAAAGATGTTGGTCATGAGAGCATCCGTCCTTCTGCGGCATTGTGCTGCTTGTTTGCTTTGTGCATGGGCACCAATCATCGAGAAGCCTGACGGTGCCTGCCATGCTGTCCGAGCACGGAAAAACTCGAAACACTTCGTCAACACCATAACTCCTGATCCTGCCATTGCACTTCAATAGTTCCGAAACCTACACCCGAACCCCAAACCACACCCTTGGAGCCCGAACCGAGATCCCCACACCAATCCACGCCCGAACACCGATTTGAAGTGGTCTAACGCTCTCTCGGCGGGTAGAAAGCTATTAGTAACTTACAGCAGGTAACTATAGCCACAGGTCTTCTTATCGCAACTGCGGTACTACAACCCGGCTCTTACCTGCCCACGAACCTGTGAGTCGACCCTGTAGAATGTAGAGCCCCTTACGACACCCTAGGAAAACCCTGCTCGAGATAGCCATGAGCTCTCAAATAGAGGGTTCAAAGTATCCCATATGCAGTATCTTGACTATAAGTCTATCCTTGTCTGCAATCAGGGATCCCAAAACATGAAGACCATGTTGAACCCTAGAAAAGCCAGTAAAACCTCATCGCCGATGGTGGCAGGATCTCCAGTTGGACTTCGCCATCCTCGGAAGCTTTTCTGTGTATGTTTCAAGGTTACGAGTTCGCGAGGGCATAGGGCAAAGGATTCAGGGTTTCGGGTGCAGGGCTTCGTGTTCTCTCTCTCTCTCTCTCTCTCTCTCTCTCTCTCTCTGTCTCTCTCTCTCTCTCTCTCTCTCTCTCTCTCTCTCTCTCTCTCTCTCTCTCTCTCTCGCTTTATGCACAGTATACATCCAATAATCTAACAGAGGTCTATGGGTCTACGGGCGTACACGGTTTGTATGCTTGTAATTTATGTAAAAAAAGTACGTGCGAAACGGCATTGGCATATCATATGTACTTACACGTGTGTCTTTCGAGTGTATGCGCGCATACGTGTTAGTATATACATACTTATATACACACAAGTATAAGTAGAGAGAGAGAGAGAGAACAAGGAACCAAGAGCGACCTCACTGTCTCTTGGCAACGCTGATGGCGATGTCGTTGTTACTGGTGACGATCGTAGTGGTGATGTTGCTGCCATGCTGGTGCTCGTGGTTGTGGTGATGATGGCAAGGACGTGATGCCCGTGATGATGATTGCAGATTTGATGGTGATGGGGTGCGTTTTTTGAACGCAGTGACCATCACCGTTTGTCTCATCGCTGAACCCCCCTCCCCCCCAATTACTGACGTAGGAGATGATTTAGGCGTGGACCACTGTGGGACGACTTCGCTGCATCGGCACCTTAGCGAGCATCCGTCAATCGTGCGTCTCGGTTGCACTAGAGCTCAAGCTCTCCTTATAGTGTGACGGGCTGTTGGCCAAGGATTGAGCATCGGCGACGGGGCGGGACTCTGCGAAAAACGTAAGAATGAAGAGCAAGCCCCGGGTTTAAAGTCACTCATAGGGAACCCCATAACTTAGCTGTGAAAACCATAGCTGCTGTACAGCTGTCCAACCAAGACTCCCTGCAATGCGGGCTTCGTCCTTGCTAGGTAGGAGGGGAAAAATGTTGAAATCGACTGACGCCAGCACACCTTGTAGAAGCCTGAAGGGAACCCTATAGCACCCTGTTAGAACCCTTGAAGGAATTCTGGGAAAACGTGGTTTAAGAAGTCCCAGGTTCGCAGAAGAGGGTGAGGACTGGTTCTTCTGGAACAAGGCGCGACGGCTTCTCCCGTGTCTTGCAGGCATATACCTCTTTTCAGTCTAACGTGTATTCTGCCGTTCCTTAAAAGGCCATAGGCCACTGTGTCATCTTCGCATTCCCTCGTACATCATATAGAGGCCCAAATAATTACCAAAATTACCAATACCATTTTGCGATATTCTGGGTGTCTCAATGTAAGTATAGTATAATGGGGCCGAAACCCTATTCTAATTATTAAGGCCCCTACATTACACCCTTATAGCAACCCTTATAGATCTTTTTTTAGGAGACCCTTGAAAAGGAACCCTATTCTAATCTGCCATGTATATAGCTAGACTTTGACATCTGGAGCTCTAGGCCTTTTTTGCCCTGTTTGGGGTTTAAAGATTTAAGGCTTTTGGCTTGGAGGTTTAGGGCGTAGGGCTTGGGTTTTTGTTTAGAGGTTTAGGGCTTAGGGTTTGGGGGGTGAGGGTTTGGGGTTTTGGGACACTAAGAGCCCAGCTGCAACGGGTGCGACGCGTGGGCTCCACAAATTGGTTGTCTTCTCTTTTCCGTCACCACCTCAGCGCAGTACAGTGCTCTTCACAACCATCTTCCCGATATGTGTCCTTACTTGGAGGGGCAGGGGACTTAGTAAGTCGGTTCTAAGTAGGGTTACAATTGGGGTAACGCCATTTCGGCTCTACTTGTAACCTACTTACTAAGTCCCCGGACCCTCCAAGTACAGTAGGCTCAGAAACCGAAGAAGGCGGCGCGAAACTTCGAACCTTGCGAGACGCGTATGTAAAAGCACAACCCCGAACCCATGGCTTTGAGCTCAGAGTGATTGTGCTGCCAAAGAACCCATAGTTGTTTCCTTGTGCGTTGTCCTTCTCCCAGGCATCGCTCGTGGATCTCCGATTTTGAGAGTCGAATGGCCGCGGCAGCTGCCGCCAAGAGGACTTCCAAAAGCTTTATAGTTTATAGGCTTTCATAAGGCGCTGAAATCCCAAACCACACAGAAAGACTGTTAGGGTTTACGCTTCAGGGGGGTTTGGGGCTGAAGAGTCCAGTTATTTAAGGAGTTCCGGGTAGTTCTTGTAAAGTGCGGGTTTATACACAGGTGCTTTCGGCCACAGCGGAAGTCTGGGAGCTTAGGGAATTCCTTTTTATTTTAGGGCGTATGAGAGGTCAAGAGTTTGGGGCTGAAGGTGATGCATCAGGCCGCTTGGGGGTTTAGGATGTGGGTTCTCGTTGGATGACAAGGAGATAGAATCGGATTTATGATTGAAGTTTAGCCCTCAATGTAAGTTCGCATCTGATCTTGAAGGCAAACCCTTGTACACTCTGTTTGTAGTTTCTCCGTAGTCATGTGTGCGTCATGACGAGGATCGATCTTGAGCATACTACATATAAAAGCCCAACCATGCGGGGGAGTGGTCATGTTTTGATGGATATTCAGACTGCGTAAAACCTCTTTTTCACTCATATGTGCCCGCCCCAACCCGGCCCATGTGCTAGGAACTGCAGCAGATCGGTAGAGTTGGTAGATGCGGAGGTGTGCACCTCATCTTCCATACAGACTACTCCGTATCTCGATCAAGGAAAGAGTTTTTGCCATTTGCCCCAGCTCTTGCTACTAATTCCTACCAGGCATGTTTCCAAGGGCCTCTCTACTTTGGAATCCTGCATCAATTTGAAGCTCTCTGTTTTCCTACATGCCCATGAAGACAACTGGCACGAAACCACGATTGACTTCTTGTCCTCTAATCTTTGGATGTGGAGCTGCACACACGGGCAGGACCTTGACAGGATCTTCGCCCAGCGACTGGTCAAGACAAGTGAGAAGCATCCTGTCCTGTGTGTTCCTTCTCGGCTTGTGCTTGGATTTTACAAAAAAGGAAGGCGAGGGGACCATTGGGGAGCCCGGGCGAACCATGCCCCAATGTAGCAACGCTTCATGCTGTGGCAACCAGCTTGGGCAGGTAATTAACCTTCGGGCCCTTCAAAGTCTACTGGATGTCTGTATCGGGCCCAGGACATTATGATACTAAACCCGAAACGTTCTAATTTAGACGCATCCCAGGAATTGGTGGTATTGTCAATCCACGCTTCTTCTTCAACGCTCTTCTGCGCAAAGCCCTCTCCCTCATTCCACAGCTGAAGGCCGGGAGGTCATGATTTTGGCTTTCAGGGTTTCATCGCAACCTATAATTTAATGTAATGTAGGAACCTGATTAAGAAACCCTGGCCCTACAACCCCCAAATAGTTGGATTCAGGAACCCTAAGAAAGACCCAGGGTTTCTCAATCAGGTTCCTACATTACCTCCAGAGCCTGGGATCAGTTTTGTTTAAGGCTTGCGTCCTTTGGAGCACTATTTTTCAGGTTTGTCTGGATAGGAGTTTATGCATCTCTTGTGGGGAGGATGGTCATGCTGGCTCACATCGTGGTAGGTTTGAAAAACACATGCGCCGCATCTCCGGGAGTCTGGGCAATGGCGACCTCTAAACTTCTCGCATGATTTTAATAGCGACTAAAAGTATATTTCAGTGTACTTATACTTACTCAATGAAACTTTCAGACACCGAAGATCTTTTGACCAGGTCCTGGTCATCGTTTGCGACCCACTGGGCCGGCTGGAGCGGCGGTACGCCGACTTCTCCGCCTGTGCTACGCGAGGGAGACGCCAGGGGGTTGGACTGCGAGAGCAAGTTTTATGCAGATCCAGGGGGGAATTAGTACCGCACCATTATTCCGTCGGGTTCCCTATTCTACTTGTACGACGGCTATTATGGTATTCCCCCACAGCCCGATTTCAGTTTACCCAGGCCCCTCTGTGTGGGGTTTGAGGGTTCATTGTTGGTGGGTTTTAGTTGTTGTGCAGGCTTGAGAAATCATAATGCCTTACAAAAACAGTTTTTTGAGCTTCAGCCCTTGTTCTTGCGAGTGTCTCCTCGGCATGACAGGAGCGTTGGTCCGGACCATCCTCCTTGCTCGGAGCGTCTCGGCAGCCGCCAGGGGCCGGGGGGCCTGGGGCAAAAAGATAACCGAGGATCACCTACACCGTTGCTTTGTGGTGTCAACTTGGAACAAATATCAGAGGCACTGCAACATATCTCTAGTTCTCCAGGCTCGTAGAACAGTAGGCCGTGCAGGAAAACTCTGCGTTTTTGATTGTATGTGCCATCGACGCCTCAGTTTTGTCCCAACCTCGAACGATCTCACAACACCCCTCCTGAAGTAAGGAACGTCGTTACCCAAGATCAGAATCACAGGCCCTTTGTGGTTTCAGGAGTTTACATGTATATGTATACAGTACCTAGATTACATGTGTGTATATCTATATAAATATGTTCATACTCCTACTCTCAGGAGCCCAGGAATTAGAGAGCCGAGTGCCCCGAAGGTGAAGCTGTTTGTGGCCCCAGCCTTTTATGGTCCTCGAACTCTCAAGCTGCACCCAAACGGACGTCTCCGTTGACGCTTCGCCGGACACCCCGACACCTTTTTATGATCTACTTCGCGAATCCCAACCCTGAATCGAACTGTCGTCCCACATGTCAGTACGGGAGCTTCCGAAAATTAGGGGTACCTTACTTGGGGTCCTTATGATAAGGATCCTAATGTTTAGGGTACTATAATAGGGTACCCTATTTTCGGAAACTCCTGTATATTTCAGGGAGAGACAGAAGCGGCATGTTGTTTCTACGCTTAATTCGGTTGCCTCCTCAACCTCTCACCCTCCATCCACTGGCTAAGCGCGCGGACAAAATAGAACATAGACCTCTATTGAGCCTTGGACAACCTTACCTCGAAAACCTGAGAAGCCCTATCAATCCCCATGATTCCCCATAATTCAGGGGATTGAAAAATTTCAAACACTATTTTGGGGGTTCCTTATTATCATCATATATACAAACTATAATGGGCCCCCCAACCCTATTCTAATTGTTAAGGCCCCTATATAAAATCCTTACCCTTGCAAATCTTCAAGAATCCTGCATGCAGGCAGGTGCAAGATCTGCTCGAGCACCGGCACGCACAGCAACTCGGCCTCGGAAAAGATCCGGCGTTTGGTTTAGGCTTTGGGGTTTCGGGGGCTTTGGGGTTTGATTCCTGAAAAAAACTAGCAATCGTGTTCCCTCCGGCTCCCTGTGACACTTCTAGCATGAAGGATGTCCCATTCGGATTCCGGAGGCCGCTTTTTTAAGGCTTCCGTAAAGGTTTCATACCTAAACCCCCCAGAGTAGGTAACATAATGGCCCAATACCCATAAACGGCTATAATTCTACATACTTTTGGGCTCCAGGTAGGGCTTCATCAAGTCCAGGTTCCAAGAACCCTAAACCCCTAAACCTTAAACCCTTAGGCTCCATCAGAGGTTTCAGGGTTCTGGGCTCCGGACCTAGGAGCAGGTTTTGGCGAATCAGGTTCCTACAGTGACTAAGCATTGATATTATGGGAGCTAAGGAGCCAGGGATGATGATAATCCCTATTGAATAAGGAGCTAGAGAGCCAAGGGAACCCCCAAAACCAGTGGTTGGTCAGAGCTCTAGCGTGTTTTTGTATAGGATCGGGATCGCAATGCCAATCCGGGATCCGAATTTTTCCCAAACTCTGGCCCAGGGTTTGCACTGCTTCCTGAAACACACATGAACTTTACGTCTACGTTTTGTCTTTGCAGTTTCTTTGGGCTCTTGGATCCCGACTGTTCCGCTGGGATCTGGCGATTAAGCGTCCTTATCATAGTTCCACAGGCCTGAACCCCTGTCAAAATTCTCAACGCTGGTACTATCCTTACTCGAATCTCTTTACTGTAGCCCTTAACGGAAGCCTGATTGTTCAAGCCCCTGGGTTTATGTTATTCTCTCTTGGGTCCAATTTGGAGGCACCGCGATCCTCGCGTTGAAGTGAAAGTTAGGGTGGAGGAGCTATGTCCAGGGCTGACACTGAAAGCCCAGCTGCAACAAAAGGGCCCTAGACCCCAAAGCTTCAGCAGGTGGCAAGGGTTTTCATGAAGCCGTCTCCGTCATAGTATCAACGCCATAGCGAGTCATGACGACGAACTTCTGTTGACATCTCGTTCTGCGACTCTGAAGATCTGATGGCTTTTTCGTTATGCCAAGTACGTTTCGTATTGTTCGTAGTTTTACTTTTATGAGTACTGCTACTATGACTCAAATTGTTAGTACCGCTACTAGTATTAGTTCTATGAGTTGGCATGGTTGACTAGATCAGTTTCAGTAGTACATCGCGAGGTGTTGAACGAAGACTCCTGAATATGCTAATGGTCCTCAAGTCAAGGAGAGGCGCTTCCACCAGTGCTCTACACTATGCCTTCTTTCCTAAACCCTTACCCCCCATATAGCTTCCTGGGATGGACTCTTCAATGAGCGGCTTAATGTCAGGAACCTCACCAACAAGGCTCCCTTGCCAGGCTCGACTGGCTTTGGCGCTCATCCGAGACAGAGCAGCCACTGACGTCAACTTTTCAACTTTTCAGCGCCTCGGCTCCACTGCAAGGGTAAGCTTACAACGATGATCGGGGGCCATCGGGCTCTATAAGGCTTACTCGACTGGTGTCCAAGCGGGTCTTTACAGTACCAACAAGGTCAACCATAAGGGTTCCATAAGGGGCTACTATAAGGCTTCAGGCAGGCTTAATATGAAGAGAAGGTTACTACGACGGGTACTCTAAGGATGCGATTCCAAGCATGACTACAATAACTGCATATCAGGTCTATCGACTCCTGTCGCTGATGATCTACGCCTTGATCCTTAATTAATCATGCAAATAATCACCACCCCAGTTCTTTGGCAGTAATACTGATAATCCCTAATCCTTGTCAAGAGTAGGACCTGCTTGCCATGTCTCTGGGTTGACAGACACCTACATGAAAGGACCCTAAATGGGCCACGGCCAGTCAGTGCAAGACACATGCCACAGTACATATGCCACATTACATCTTTCACATGTTCAGATAGCATAGTTCTCCGGTTGTGGAAGTGTATGGGATGTGTGCAAACAGAAACCAATAGATATGGAGAGATACGTTTATATTGGTTCATGACACACCAAGCAGCCAGTGACTCAACGGATATGGAAGGGAAGCAGGAACATCGTCGCTAGATGTCACTGGATACAGTACGAAAGTGCCCGCGAGCTTCGGGTCTGCGTAGACTCGCCGGACTACAGCATGGTTGCTGAAGTCGCGGCCAGACAAGTCTGACAAGTTGATTTGATTCTTTAGGTCTTTGGGTTTTAGGGCTCCAGGGTAAGTGGATTTGGGGCTCAGTCAGGGTTTTAGTGTTTCCTGTTGCGACACATCCGTGCGGGATTCACAGGAGCCTGTGCAAAGAAGTATTACCTGTTCGGCTTTTCTCACTCAGGTGGGTGAAGGAGAGATAGTGAGTGCTTTTGCCCGTGCTTTCCCGCTTAAGGTCACCGTACACTCCTTTTGCATCGTGACTGGATGCGCGATGTGGCTCGGAGCAAGCATGTCTCCAACATTCTTCCCTTTCGAATCCTAAGCTCCCAGACCAGAAATGACTGAACTCCACATACTTTCAGCCAACCCACTATTTTGCCATATTCATTTGTTCTTGCTCGTTCTGAAGCATTGACGACGACTTCTCTGCTGCAGTTGTTGCTTTTTCATGGAGTTGCCACTGCCGCTGTCACTGTCAGTGTCACTGCTGCTGCTGCGCCGCTACTGCTGCTGCTGCTACTGCCACTTCTACTACTGCTATTGCGGTAGAACCGAGTATACAGAACCCAAGCCTGCGCATGTCGAGTTTTCAATCCTTACTCTCCTATGCCGCAAACTCGAATCCCTTGAATGCCCCATACAAGTAAATCTCAAAAGCCCACCCTCAACCAGAGTATGTAGAGCGTCAGACCGTTTTAATTTTGGTAAGTCCCGTGATCCTGCAATTAACCCGATACAGCGCAAAATTTACCTTTGGTTAGTAGGGAATGGAAGAACGGTAGTAATAGTAGTTATAATTGTACCCCATTCCTCCATTCCCTATTAACCAAAGGTAAGGAAAACCAGAAGCACGAACCACAAGTGAGCCGCGCAACATCTCCCCAAAGCAGACCCGAGGCACCAGGGCTCTTCTTCCAGGGGGTGGCCAACTTCCTCGGCGTCTCCTGGGAGGAGCTTCCAAGCCAGCGGCACAGCATTCAGAGGAGTGGATTTTTGAAAGGGTGTTATAGGGTTTCATAAACGTGCTAGGAGATTTTCATTTCTGGTTTACTCTTGGTCACGGAGGGCTTGTCCGAGCTTGGCACTACAGGGGCTTCTACAGATGACAAGTGGTTTAAAGGGTGCCTTTACAGGTTTGGCGGCTGCGTGACCGCTAGTACCAGCTTACCCTTGGAGGCATTTGGGGTTTCGTGTCCTGAGAAGGCTTCAATCGGTTCCTATGTTTCCCTGTAGAGCGCCTTCCGTTCCTTTGGGTGGGGCTCCTTTGTTAGGAGACTTAGAAGAGGGTTTGGGGAAAGTCACGGAACCCTGCAGATTCTGAGCCTCCTACAGCAGGTTCAAGTTGTGTGTGTTCAGGGTATAGGGCGACATGCCTGGAAGTCTGCGGGATCCTGCGAAGTGCTGTCTTATGGCCGCTGCCTCAGCAGGCTTGTAAAGAAACACATCCTGGAGGATGCTGATCAGGTTTTAAAGCCTAATCCCGCTGTCGAAATAAATGGGTACTCCTATCTATGTACAACCGTACTCTGATGCACCCGAAACACACCATTTCGAAGGCACGTAAATCAAGCACGACGTGTCCTGTCATCAGGCAAACGTTCGGAGCTCTGGCTCGGTGCAGCCAGGGCAACAGGGGCGGGGGGTGTTTGCAAATGAGGTTTCGTATAAGGTACCTAGGAGGACCAGCGAGGCTACAACAAGGCTCACCAAAATGTCATATGTGCACTGTGCACCTCTTCATTGCCCTGCCCTGAGATGTTCGTTAGCCAAGGCTTCCGACGATTCAATGCATGGGGCGGTCATCGGACGGACCTTTGCCGCAACAGGACCGTCGCCTTCTGGATCGAACGTGCCTTCAGCTCTGCGCATGCTCGTTCCCGTCAAGGAATGCTAAGCATGACAATGCTTTTCGGGCTGTTGTAGCATCTGATGTATAAAAAGAGCCGTCATGCAATGCAAGTTAATTCGCCTACTTCAGACTTCAGAAGCAAGAACAAAGGATTATCGGAAGCATCGTGATTCTGTACGAGTTACTGGGGACTTCGGAAGGCTGGAGCTGGATTGTTCGTCCACCTTCCATGACCATTACTATAGGCTCCTTAGGAACCATTTTTCATTTTTGTTCATATAAAACCCAAGAGAATATTAAACATATTATGTTTATTCTGGTTCTAAGGGGTATATTTTAAATTGGAGTCTCAATGAATTTGGGACAAAGCCCCGCCTTCCGATTAAAGGCTAAACGGCAAGCCACAGAGCTCTACGCTTTAACAACCATGCCCATCTGAAGCCCGATGCTCGTTAAAACCCTGAACCCTAAACCGCTAAGCCCACCAGGTATTCCGACTGTAGCAACAAGGAAAAGGGCCCTCAACAAAAAAAAAAAGACCGCTAAGCCCCGCGACCTGGGCTCTGAAACATGAAAGCTGAACCTGTGAAGTGCAGGTTTCCGAAAATTAGGGTACCTATTTAGGGGCCATTGTTGTAAGGATCTTACTATTTAGGGTACTATATTAGGGTCTCCTAATTTCGGACACTTCCAAGTCGACACGCTCAAGAGGACACTGACTCGGGCCTTGCGCATAGCGTTGGAGCCAGAGTATGCCGCTCTTCAGAGGTGCTTGCGTTGCTGGTTTCTACGCTTTCGGTATGTTGGAAAATCTAGTCTACGGCTTGAAGGTTTTCTTTGGTATCTGTTTTCTATGTGTGTGTATATATACACATGTATATATGACAATAGAGAGGTACAGCGAAATTTAGGGTTTCTGACTGCTGCGGGTCGTTTTGAAGGTTCAGTCGAAGGTTTGAGGGTTAGAGCTGCACGCCCCGGTCACCGGCAGACTCGCAGACCTTGAGCCATCGCTGGAAGGCTGGAGATGCGCACAAAGGACTTCGGAGTTCTAGAGTTTGGGTTTAGGGTTGTGCTTCCGTTTTTTGCAGAATCTTGATCCTACGAAACCCTCTAGAGCTGCATGGGAAGTGCAGGGTTAAGCAGTGTTGGAAGTCAAGCAGCTATAATATAGGGGCCTAAAGAATGTTTTTTGGTTTTTTTGGGGGCTCCTCATTATATGTATAGTATAACCGGCACCAAAACCCTATTTTAGTTATTAAGGCCCCTATATTAAACCAACTAGTTCTTGCATTCGAGGCTGAGGTACGTACTACCGATACATAACTCCATGCATTTAACGAGCTATGACTCCTCAGTCGCCATAGTCATCCACACCCAACGGTGCAAAATGGGGAGACCACCCACTTGCACGCACGAGCTTTGAACTAGTGGGGGCCAGGCAGTGCCTCTTACCCTTGCCCCGCCTGAATCCGCAACTCTCCCCTTGTCCGAGTGTGAGGGCTGAAACTCTTGAACCCCCTAAACCCTGAGTGTGAGCGCCGAAACCCTGGGGTACCCTCACAGCCTCAAACCTGTGGGATCTCCAGGTTCTTGGAGCTTTCCGGCGCTTTGCCCAGTGCCCTGCGCCTACGCCGCTCGCGATGCGAGGAGGCCACGAGCTACTGAAGCAGCGTAGTTATAGGAGTAAAGACACGGGTTTCTTCGAGTTTGAAGAGTCTTTCAAAGTGTAGAAAGGGGTTTCCAAGACCAGTACCTGAACAATTAGGCAACGTGTACCGCTACTGCTACAGCAACAACTACGATTACCACAACGACTACTACACCACGACTACGACGACGACTGCTACACCACGACTACGGCCACGATTACGACGACGACTGCTACTACTGCTGCTCCTGCTGCTGCTACTACCGCTACTGCTACAGCGACTGCGACTACGACGGCGTTACGGCGACCACTGCTACTACTACTGCTACTACTACTACTACTACTACTACTACTACTACTACTACTACTACTACTACGACTGCTGCTGCTACTACTACTACTACTGCTTCTACGACATCAGCTACGACGACGACTACTACTGTTGTACAAGAAGAACAACTGCTACTACCACCACCTCCTACTGCTTACTGCCTACTGCATACTACCTGCTACCCACTGCAGTACCCTCTACCTGCTACCTGCTGCTGTAGCTGCTACCCACAGCCCAGCACCCACTGCCTACCACCTGCTGCCCATGACGACGATTGTGACTACGACCCCGGCGACGGCGACGACGACCACCCATACGGCAGATACTGGGCCAACTGCACCAGCGTCAACGACAGGAATTTGGGGATTTCCGAGAATATGGGAGAGTGCCGTAGGGCCCCAGGATAACATTGCATGTTTCGGTTTTGAGATGTTATTTTTTTCAAGCGCATAATTTAAAGCGAATCCCGAAGTGTGCACTTGAATCTTGAACACCCCAACATGAAACGCCTAAGCCCTCAACTCTAAACCCTAACTCCTATACCCCTAAAGCCCTAAACGGTGAAACCTTGATTGCCAATGCTGTGGTCTGTGGTCTGCGTTTCGGAGTCGAGGTTCGAGTCCGGAACTTAAGCCCGTTACCGGCGCGGTATTGTTAAAGATAGCCCAGTTCAAATCCACGATGACTCATGCTAATCGTTGTTTTAGCCTTAGAACAGCCGTGATGTAGTGGCCCTTATAGTCCGCGCATTGCTTGAAAGTGTACGGCTTGTCCGTTTGCCCAGGCTCAAGCGGAACGCGTACACATAAGTTTTGCTGCTTGTGTAAACTCCCAGGTGCCTTCAAGAGCCGCAGATGTTACGTGTTCACTCAGTGTCGGGGGAAGTCCTTGTCGCAATCGAGCTACTTAGTGGCTGAGTGGTAACCTTTAACCTTTTGGTGCTTATGCAACCCCGCCATCAATGAACAGGTTAACCGTTTGGGCTTAGGTGCTCAGCCACCAAGGCTACAGAGCTTTCTCGACATCGCTGCAGAGACAGAGAGCCACCCCGTCCGGGCACTGAAGAACTACTTGCAGAGCTTCTGCGGGCAGCCAAGATTCAGGCAACGGCTGGTAGTGCTGGAAGATGGCATCGTGTTGAATGACACGGAGGACGAACACATCTTAAATCCCGGCGATGTTCAGCTCGTGCTTGTGAACTTCAGCTCAACATCTAAACTGCATATAGAAAAGCTTCGGAGTGCTGCCTTGAGTGGACAGACATCAGTCCTGGAGACGATTCTGCGAAGGCCACAAGACCCGGATTTGGGTGCTCCAGCCTCATTGCTCCTAGCATCCTCAGGCGGCCACGTAGGGGTGGCACGCCTCTTGTTGGAGGCCAATGCGGACAAGGACAAGACCACAAATCGTGGCGCCACCCCATTGTTCATCGCAGCTCAAAATGGGAATTTAGAGGTTGCACGCCTCTTGCTGGACGCGAAGGCTGACAAGGACAAGACCATGAACGATGGCGCCACCCCATTGTTCATCGCAGCTCACCAAGGGCAGTTAAAGGTTGCACGCCTCTTGTTGGACGCGAAGGCTGACAAGGACAAGGCCAGGAGCGATGGCGAAACCCCATTGTTTATCGCAGCTCAAAATGGGAATTTAGAGGTTGCACGCCTTTTGTTGGACGCGAAGGCTGACAAGGACAAGGCCGAGAATGATGGCGCCACCCCATTGTCCACCGCAGCCCAGAGAGGGCATTTTGAGCTTGCATGCCTCTTGTTGGGCGTGAAGGCTGACAAGGACAAGGCCATCAACGATGGCGCCAGCCCATTGTTTATCGCAGCCCAGAGAGGGCATTTTGAGATTGCATGCTTGTTGTTGGACGCGAAGGCTGACAAGGACAAGGCCAAGAACGATGGCGCCACCCCATTGTTCACCGCAGCCCAGAGAGGGCATTTTGAGATTGCATGCTTGTTGTTGGACGCGAAGGCTGACAAGGACAAGGCCACGAGCGATGGCGCCACCCCATTGTTCATCGCAGCTCAGGCAGGGCATTCAGCGGTTGCACGCCTCCTGTTGGACAAGCAGGCTGACAAGGACAAGGCCAAGAACGATGGCGCCACCCCATTGTTTATCGCAGTTCATCAAGGGCAGTTAGAGGTTGCACGCCTCTTGTTGGACGCGAAGGCTGACAAGGACAAGGCCACGAGCGATGGCGCCACCCCATTGTCCATCGCAGCTCAGGCAGGGCATTCAGCGGTTGCACGCCTCTTGTTCGACAAGCAGGCTGACAAGGACAAGACCATGAATAAGCATTGCAGCTGAGGAAAGTGCTCAGGAAGGGCAAGGGCAGTTCGGGAGCTTCTGGCAGGAGGCCAAGAAGGACCAATATGGGAGTTTCCGAAAATAAGGGGTACCTTATCTTGGGGGTTCTTATAACAAAGATCCTACTATTTGGGAGTACTATATTAGGGTCCCCTATTGTCGGAAACACTCATATCTCACGGTCACGGCCGCTCACGTTTGCAGCGCATCTCTCTCACAGCACGTAGCGAGATGTCAAAAGTTGTGGCCACACGTACGTGAACCTGCAACGACCCTCCCCTTGCCCATACGGCTGAAGTTTCTGCGAATGATTGTGTGAGACTCTAAGATTCGTACGACGAAGAGCATCTTGGGGGTGAAGCCCTTGCTGCCGTATTCGGCACAATTTCGTTGTAAAACAACAATACGGTTCTTTCGGGTAGTGTTTTGCATTGGTTCCATCGCTAAAGCAATATGATTTGTTTTGTTGCTGTGGACCTCTTTCTCATTTGCAGGATGCAGACCTCACTGAAGTAGACGAAGATATTCCGTCCCAAAGTTCGCTTTCAATTTTTGCCAAAGACCTGAGTCAGAAAGCTGAGACTTCCTTGTATGCGATAACAAGACACTACACCCTGCACATCCCTGCACACTAAATTTTAAACCCTCAACTCCCAAACCCCAAGCCTGAAACCCCTTTACCCTTAACCCCCAGACCCTATAGACCTTACACTCCTAAACCCTGCACCCTTGACACCAAGACCCTATAGAATCTCAAGCCCTACAAAAATCAGTTCCTTAGTAGCAAGGCCCCCAAACTAAGGTATCCCTTATTCTCCGGAAACCCCGATAGCACCTCCTGTTTTGGGCCACTTCCACAGTTTCCCTTGACAAACCACCCTACAGCTCTAAACCCCTCAGCTGCTCGTTGCCGACCAGTCAAACTACTCGAACCAGACACCTCGTCAGGCATGTCCGAGTAGCGACAGCGTAAACCCCCAAAAAATCCTGAGCCCCTCTAAACCCTAAACCATGAGCCATAAACCCTATAAAGCCATAATCCCGAAACCCTATAAGGCTTATAGGGTTTCGGGATTATGGCTTTATAGGGTTTATGGCTCATGGTTTAGGGTTTACTATAAGCCCTCATGCCTCGCCTGGTTTGTCCGAGTGTGAGCGCCGAAACCTTGTCTGCAGGAGTCGGAGCTTCGATTGGAGCTTCGCTGCCCTCATCGGACGGAGTGTGCAGAAAAGATGTGGCCGGGAGCAGTTCTGGGGTCCCAGCCTTCTGAAAAAAAAAGGGTTCAAGGTTTAGGGTTTAGGGTCCAGGGTTTAGGGTTAAGGGTTTAGGGTTTAGGGTCTTTGACAAAACAGCCCCGCAGGTGGACTTAGGATGTACGTCATGGCGAAGTGCAGTTATAGGAGGTGCTGTGAACCCAGGACCTAAGTTTAGGATCCAGGCTTTACAGCGCTTAGGACAATGCACCGACGCGTGTGTGTTTGTCTCTGTGCGTGTGTGCCTGAAGTTGGTGCCTGACTGACAGCTGATGCCAAGAACTTCAAGCTACAACGCTTGCAGGGTCAAATGTTTAGCTATCAGCAAATACCCAGGAGAAGCTGTTACCGGGCGCAGTGGCCCATACAAAACTATAGGTTAGTGTGGTTCGGCTTTAGAGGTTCATCGTTGCTGGCGCCTTGTTGCGACTTGAGTAGTTCGAAGCTTACAGCTTAGGGGCGATCTGACATCGGGTGGTTGATAATATACAGTATATGTATATGTGTATATGTATATGTATGTATATATATATACACACACACATATATATATATACACGCATACAACTTTTATATAACTATAGCTTCTCCGAATGTTCTCCTTGTGCTATTGGTGTTTTTCCTGTTTTCTTGGGCAAGACTGTCGTTTGAGGCATCAAGGCCGTCCTCAACGCCGCCCAGAAGAATCTCTATGAGATGACTGCGATGGCCCGGGAACCCTGAGTTTGCGAACGGGTTCTGTTGGCGGAAAGTGAGGAAGCAGCAGTAGCAAGCAGAGGCAGAGCTTAGATCGGGTAGCGGTGGTTTTGGCAGTGGTGGTGGCGGTGGTAGTCCCAGCAGCTCAACCAAGCAGACCGAGAGACTGTTGTCGATACATGGTGCCATGTTACTGGCCACGTTTCGATGTTGGCGATTACGATGATTGTTGTCGCTGAGAGCATTTTTGCCTGCCCGAGAAGCGAAGTCCGACAGAACCGTAGTTACTCTGACACCCCAACCCCTCAAGTTTGAACGAAAAGCCGCAAGCAGGGCAAAGGAGAGGACGACCTGCTTGATCTCGAGAAGAAGTTCGAGGCCCTCCGAATAGGTGTGTCGTTTGCTTTCAAGCCTCCGTTTCGGATGGCAGCTTTCAGGATGCTTGGCTTCTGCTCTCGTCGGCTCAACCCAAAACCCTGAAACTTAGACCCTGATGTCGTGGAGGCTGCCTCTACGAAGCCGTGCCTGCCCAGTGCGAGTTCGCGAATCGAAGGCCCTAAACCCTAAAGCTTTTTGCCTGGATTGTCCGAGTGTAAGCTCCGAAACCTTTTTGCCAAAGCTAAACCCTAAACCAAAACGCTCTTTTAAAAGATAATGCAGGAATCTGATTAAGAATCCCTGGGCCTATAACCCCACAATAGTAGGATTCATGTAAGGAACCCAAATAAAGGCCCAAGGTTTCTGAATCAGGTGCCTAGAGTAGCCACAGCCCTGGTGGGTAGGTCAAGATCATCGGCGCAGATGACATAGAAGATTGTACCCTGGCCGGGGCTTGAGGCTTGATATAGCAAGGTATTCGTAGGGTTTCGGGTATTCTTAGAGGGTTTAGGGGTTTAGCCCCTGCTCAAAAAAGGCCTAATCTTTAGGGCCTTAAGCTTCGGGCCTTGATCAGAGTAGCTCTTTGCGTTAGGAAGGGCTCATGCCAGACTACTGTTCAGGCAAGAGTGCCTCAGTCACAGTCTGGCAGATTTTGTTGGAGCCCCAATGCAAGACAGAGCCGATTTAGAGCACGAATCTGCTGGCTGCATCTGTGGCCCATCTGTGGGTCTTGAAGCAGGGGTCGGGTCTTACGGCAGGTTTTATATAAGGCTCTCTCCTTTGCCGGGGCTTAGCCACCTGGTTGATGGGCGATGCACACCGTCCCGTTTCTGTAAGGCAACATCAGCGTCCACTTCCAAGAGATAGCGGACTTTATTGAGGTGCCAAACGATCGAGTTCACGGGTCGGGGTGTTGACATTCATCAAGTCCAGGTGTAAAAGAAATGTCACCGTCACTGGTACCTGTTCAATGCTCAACTTTAGCATGTTTGACAAACACCCCCGTGCTACGATCTCACGAATAGAGACGGGAAGGGATCCTGTGATTTTGTATTTGATTTAAGGAGAGTAGGATCCTGAGAGAGGGTGGGTCTAGCAGGATACGGTCACTCTAGTTGTTGAAAGACGATTATTGCTTGTACTTGACCATTCCTCTTAGAGAAGTATCACTCATCAGACTCCGAACCATATGCCTCGCCTGGATTGTCCGAGTGCGAGCGCCGAAACCCAAAGCCCTTCTGCGGACGATGTGTCTCTTGTCCTTTCCGCCTGTGTTTCTTAGTCGGCTTGCTCGGAGCATGGTCGGTTTATGGCCATGGCTCTAGGTCTGATGTTTGTCATTGCACTACTAGGTTACATTACATTTTTTGTAGCTGAGTGGATACACTTTACACTTTTTGGGAGAAGGTTTCGCATTATAAAGCTGAAAGTGTGCACTTTGGGGCTTCTGCATTCAGCAACTAAGTATGACTTTCTTGACGGCTATTATGATTATGACAATTCTTATGATTCTGGTTGTGTTGTTAGCGTGTTTACTCAGTACTGCTGTTAGCATCATAATGGGGTTTGGGAGGATGGGGCCGATAGGCCATGGCGGCTGTTTTCCGCTCTCATGACGACGGATGGGTCGATAGGGGAGTTTCCGAAAATTAAGGGTGCCTTGTTTTGGTGTGCTTATAATCAGGATCCTACTATTTAAGGTGCTATATATCAGGGTCCCCTATTTTCGGAAACTCCCATAGGTTGATCATGAGACCGGACAGTCTCAACATGGTCACCCGGAGTAGCAATTAGGTGCATAGTAGCAACAGCAGGACCATGACCATGAGCATCATCATCGTGTTTATCCACACCACAAACCCTCAATCTTTTGCCAAAACGGTATCCAGGCCGGGCGCAAGAAAGGCGGTGTCGTTATACACTGTGCCGCTGGTGTCTCTCGCGCATCGACCTCGTGCATGGCGCCTGGGTCCCAGCTGGCTGCCGTGGTTTAGGATACCGGAAATAGATGGACTGAGATGAGGGAGGTTGTGCTGAAAGCCCAAATTCCTTGTGTTGAGGACTAAAGGGTCGGGTTGGCTCAGAACTCACCGTGTGCCGCGACAACGACGGCTGGATCGTCTTGCTAGTTAGACACTCTCACCAAACTACAACGGCAACACAGCAAGAGCGTAACTTGCTGTTCTGTTCCTTGCTGACGAGTTTTGTCTGTTCTGAAAGACAGGACTTGCCAATGTTCCAGACATGTTTGCTGTCAGGGTATGCTTCTTGTTGTGTTGTATACTACTATTGCTACTACTACTACTACGACGACGACTACTACTCCTCGCTACCGCCACCGCGACCGCTGCCGGTACCGCTACCGCTACTGTACTTACCGGTGCCGCTGCCGCTACCACCAGCGTCACCGCCACCACCGCCACCACCACCACCACCACCACCGCTTCCTGCCGTTGACTTTGGATTACTGTGATGCTTACCGGAAGGTTTACTAGTTTTACTTTTCTTCATCATGTATTTTGACAGTTACAAGGCCGAAGTCGCTGCCCCTTTGGTCGAGGTACATGATGATCAAGGAGCACTGGAGTCTGCAAGCCGCTCATCGCCGGGTCCATGCGGTGAGGAGCCGGCATGAACCTCCAAGTAGTGGGTAGCCGGGCACCAGCGACAGA